GACACCATGTCACTAGCAGCATCCAATGGCACCAACAACACCAACAGATCCACTACTGCAAAGGAACCAGCTCCAGCTCCAGCTCCAGCTCCAGTTCCAGCTCCTTCCAGAACACCTGTGGATCCCCAGGCTGTTTGTTACCACACCACCACAGCGCCATCCCCAGCTTTGCTTCCTCCAATCTAGCCAGCCATGACACAACAACAATGATCAGCCAACCTTTTCAGCAGCTGACATTGGCATTGACAGTAGCATCAAAGCAAGTGCACTTGATTCCTTCAATGCAACTCTTCCCTCCATGGCATACATCCCACTGGACTCCATTCACTAGACACCTGTGTAAACTCAAGCCCAGCGCTGAATAACTGGAGATAGTAACAGGCAGTTGCAACAGGCTTTGGTTGGGTGCTGTTACGGGACGCCTCTTGGTTATACCATCCACTGAGCCTTTGCCCAAATGGATGTTGCCTCTCCACCCTTTGCAGATGGCTACTATGACCAAGTAATCGGGCCCCAATGGGGAGGATACACCCACCAACAACAACATCCCACACCTTCAGGGTAGAGAACACTCCCAATTCAACCTGTGTCCTCCACATCCAACCTACTGGAGTTGGTCTCATCCCAGCACACCATGTATTCAGCCATCCCTCAATCAGCCAACCTTTTGTGACTCTGGAGGAGCAGTCAAAGAGGAACTCCATTCCCAATCCTGGGGAGACAATTGCCACAACCACAGGTGAAGCAATCCATCTTCTCCAACATGCATGGCATGTCTCCCATGAAAGGATGCAGGGAAGCAGTCCCAACAATGTAGCAGGTCCTGTTGGTCAGGAAACCCAGACTGCTTTGGTGGCAATCCACAAGGTAATGACAATGGTGGCCCAGGAGATCCTGATAGCACCGATCCATGTCCTGGAGGAAGTGGAGGCGTGTGGCAATCCAGAACCGGAAGGCAGGTACTTCCGTGCCAAGGCAGATGCCACAGCCTACCCTACTCTTAGATCCAACAAGGAGTTCGACACTTGGTATGAGGCTTTCATCGTCATAGCCAGAGCACAAGGCTTCTACAAGGTCTTTGACACTGAATATGTTCCCATGACTGCCGAGTACTTTGCAGAACTCCTACGATGAACCGATGGATCTATGCTGTCCTCCAGAACACAGTCAAGACAACCAATGGGAAGGTCATCATGAAGTCTCACTCCATGATGCTGATTGCTTTGCAATCCTTGTGGAACTGATCCAGGATGCACATGCATCAGTAGCAGGCTCCCTGGACCATGTTGAGGTCCTCCATTGGCTTTCAAGTGTCCAGTACAGTCCAAGGCAAGGCTCTGCTGTTGACTTTGTCATCAAGTTTGACGAGACCATCACCCACTACAATGATGGCCACCGAGATCCTAGCGACAAGCTCAGTGACAGCATGCAGAAGCTGTTCCTGCAGCGTGCCTTCACCGATGTCCAAGTCCTGAACGACATCAGGTCCCGTGAGCATGAAATGATGTGCCGTCATGGTCCCCAAGAACGCTTCACTTACGAAGCCTACAAGGAGACACTCAAGAATGCCGCCACCCACTACGATGTCAACCGCCGTGTTCCCGACTCCCAACTAGCCAACCTAGGAACTGTTGGTGTGGAACCAAGCCATACCGGTGATGGGAGCAGCAAATCCTCGGACTCCCAAACACAATTTGGTTCAAGCTTTCGCCTGCCGGCCGCCAAATCTGGTGCAAGTTCTCTGATGCCGACAGACAAGTCCTGATAGGTTCGACGCCGCCTGTAGTTGATTCCAAGAGTGAAGCTGACCCAGCAGTCGGGGACACCTTGGATTCTCCCATGACAGATGACGAAGCCTTCAAGGGCAAGCCCAAGCCCAATCCCAACCTGGATTTTGATGGGGCGACTAGTGTACGTGCTGCACCGGTCAAGCCCAAGGAAACCAGGCACCGCCCATGTCTGCGGGTAGCATGCCACCCACAATGGGGCTACCTTCGCAGGAATGGCACCGTATGACAAGTCCCTTGCTAGATTTGTCATCATGATTCAAGCATAACCGTTTTGTGATTTACAACTTGTCTATTGTCACCAGTGGTGTCAAAAGACTCATCTCTGCCTGAGATGTATGTGTTGTAACGTTTTGTCAACACGTATTGATTCCAATATGACTACTGACTGTTTGTCTATGCCCCTCTGAGCTTTATGGGGAGACAAACAGATGGCTTCTAAGCCAATTCCAAGCTATGGTGCAAGTATGGGGAGACCAAGTGGGATCCTTACTGACGTCCAAGTGCAATAGGTTCCTTGTGAATGGGGAGTATCTACAGATAGCCTCAAGACATATTCCACACACACCTTCGCGAGTGACCAACCCAAGGTGGATGTGTATTGTCCATCCCAAGGAGTACCTCTGCGCACACCACGTCCGTCCTAGATCCTAACACCTTTTCTCTCTTGGACAACGATGGCAACCCAATGCATTTGCTTTGGGGCCAGCCGTCTACTTTGGAGGGTTTGAGATCACAAGTGTGATGTCCCTTCCTTTGTTCCAAGTGGTACCCAGCAATGAACACCTTGATGTATTCAAGAGGGCTGCTGACTTTGTATTAGGTCACAGCCAAGGTCCAAACTGAGGAACCAGATGCTCCCAGTTTTGTGGGAATGTCGAGGAATGACCCAGACATAGAGAAGCTTGTTGACGCCCCATTTGATGACTCGAATGGTGGGGAGCGATGAAATTAGCAATAGGAGCCTCTATGGGTGCGCCACAGCTGTGCTGGTTTAGTCGGATGGAAACAATGCTTTTGATCGTGTACAGTCAATCAGTACACACAGCATTGCAGCCATGTGACAATTTGTATATAGCTGAGGCATGCCTATGTGTTCCAGAGCATATAGCCTTCAGCCTAGATACAATGGAATGATCCAGGCCAACAGTCCTCTCCTAGGATCTCCAACAGTAGGATATCCTCTCCAAAAGAGCCAGTTCTGTCAACTGGAGTGAAATCGTGGTAATGATGTTTAGCTTATAGTAAGAAAGATAGTAATGAAAGAGTAACCCCTGAGACCCAGTAGCACCCTCAGCCCTGCAGTAGATAGATTCCTGTGTGGTATGTGCTAGGGCAATGTAACCAGCTCCCCAAGTACTTTGAAGTAGTGATTGGGTAGCATTGATCCAGCTCTTTTGAGCTGGCCTTTCAGCCAGTGGAGGAGATCTTCATCAACCAGAGATCTCCCTCCCAGCTCTTGTGTTCCTACAACTGAGTTTCCTGGCGGAGATTCATAGAGGTGTAGTAGTTATGGAAGTACTTGCTTGCATCAGCCACTGAAGTCCATCCTCCCGTGTAGAGTTGAGGGAGGATGTCTTTGCTGCTTGGTAGGTAGATTGGATCCAAGCTGCAGCAGGGGTTCTGCCCACCGGCCTTCATGTCGGCAATGCATCGCCATTGCCCGGGCTGTCCTGGTTTTGGTACCACAAATATGGGACAAACCCGACGCAGCTTCTGGGTGGCTTCCCTTACAATTCCAAGGGCCTCGAGCTCATCCACGAATTCTCCCACCACCTGGATCTGCTCGTCGGTCAGGGCCGGGTTTGGGACGATCTCTTCTCCTGGATCCACTAGGAAACGCATGGACGATCCCCGGCGCACCGCTTCTTGGTGCTCCGGGGGGAATTCCCACCATAACACTTGAAGGTACTTTGGCCCGGCCGGGGAGTAGTTGTCTCTGTGAATCTTCAGCGCTTCGAGTCCGTCTTGGTAGGCCTCCTCCTGGTCCGGCAGGTTTCGGGTTGCTCGTCTCAGGGACTCGACGCGCTCCTGATACCACTCCCCGCCTTCGCTGAGATCCGGTAGGGTGTAGTCCCAGTCCTCATCTTCTTCTTCGTCGTCGGCCCAGGTTTCCGCGGCCGTTGTCACTGTGTCTGAGTCGGTTTCTCCGGAGGAAGTAGTGCCGTCCTTGGGCGTGGGGATCAGCCACCCGGCCACCGCGTCACAGACCACGGTCCAGATGTGTACGGCGGTGGCTCCCACCACGGCCTTGTATGGCAGCTCTCGGGTCTTGTCGCGCCATTCCCCAGGCACTCCTTTGCCCTTGGCTAGCTCGTCTAGCTGTAGCTTTCGAACCCGACTCCCATCGAACACCCACCGGCCGACGCTGTCGGGCATGCACCCGGTTCCGTCGTAGATGGGTAGGTTCTGGACATGTCCATAGAGCTGGTAGTGTTCCTGATAGGCAGTGGGGGTTGGGAGCTTGGAGATCTGACGGAGCTTGGCTCGATCCTGATCGGGATATCCAATGGGTAAGAGCAAGTTACTCATTTCCCTGGGTGGGAGCCCTTGGTGTGTTGGCGTCATAGGCAGGTTCTTTCCTAGGGAGGTCAGGCTGAAGACTTCCATGAGGCGTTCCTGTACCACAGCACCTCCTTGGTCGTGTCCTCCTAGGTACCACTCCTGCCCAACGTAGCCTATCCGTTCAAGGTCTTTGCGGCGCCCCTTCCGCCATAGGGCGTCTTGGGTGTCGTATCCCCTGCTCACCGGGCCAGCGAAGATGATCGACTTGGGTTTTCCGGTTTCCTGGCAGTGTTTGAGCTGCGTTAAAACCTCCTTGCGTTGTTTGCCACAGCCTTCGTCTACTAGTAGTGCATCTAGTCTTTGGGAGCTGAGGAAGGTCTTCTTCTGACGTTGGAGGTGCTTGATTTCCTTGGTCTTGGGTCACTTAGAAAGCGGTGACTGTACATCGATGTCTTGGCATGAGAAAAAATGGTTCTCTCCTGCCCATACCAAACGGGCCAAATCCAGGCCGTGCCCGATGGTTCCATATCGAATCTTGTTCCTCTTGAGGAGGGGTGGAAGGATGCGCGGGCAAGCACAGAGGATATCCTCTGCTCATACAAATCGTTCTGACTCACCTACGTGTGGAGTAGGACGACAACGAGAAAGGCATTAGTAACATAACGGGTGGTAATTGTTAGCAAACTTGACAGATTGCCTTCTGCCCCCCTTCCAAATTGTCTCTCGGCTGGAACCAAGAGCTCGGTGCTGACGTGAAGTTGTGGATCTTCGGTCGTCACGTGTTGTAGTCAGCTCAAGTGCTTGTGGACCGTCGCGCGGCGGTTCGTGCACTTGAAGACTTCTTTCTGAACATATATAGTATTTTGGGCCCTTGCGGGCTCAGTGGTAGTGGGGTGCCGTCCTCCTTATTCGGGCGGGGGTGCTCCTTCTCTGGCTGCCAAACGACGTAGAGCCTCCTTGCCCGCCTGCTTCGCTGCGTTTCCACGTAGGGCAGTCCAGGGACAGCCGGTCCCGCCGTGGAGGATGGTCTCGCATTTCTGGCAGAGGGCGATTCCGCGAGGGACAGCTCCCCCGTTCCGGGCTCCTTCTGCTCCTCCAGCCTGCATGAGCAAGGAGTTTACTTTCTTGTCCGTGAGCTTGAGATGTAGCCAGTCGCCTTCATATCCATCGCGGAGAGTGACATAAAGCTGGCATAGGGCTAAGAGCCGGGAGTGGCAGTTGGCCCGAATGATGCGCCACTTCTTCACATAATATTTGATGACCGTGTTGGTGGCGTTCCATCCTTGGCTGGACGACAGCTGAATGAGATGATCCAGGAATGCCTTGTAATACTTGATCCCCTTGCGGTTGAGCGTGGCCACGTATCCCTTGCTGCTCCAGGTGTCGGCAAGGCTCAGCGGGTAATCGTTCCTGACGAGGATGGTGCGTTGTTGCTCGATGGCCCGGCGCAGGTGTTGTTCCTCCACTTTTTCCACATCCCGCTTGAGTTCCCATAGGTCTTCGTCGTTCTTGCAGGTTGTGACCGAGTTTCGGGAAGGCTGCTGCCATTTGAGGTCGGGGGGCACTTCCTCGTCGTCGACAGTCTGGCGACTGACGGCGGCGAAGAGAGAATCTCTGATCTCGCTGGTAACATCGTCGCGTTCGCCGGTCTGTGTCTTACCTGGTAGGGACAATACATCTAGCATGGTATTGCCCAATGTCTTGGCCGTTCGCGGACTGATTCCTTCTGGGGCCAAACCTTTAGCGAGAGCTGCCGTGCCCTCCTGCAGGCGATGTTGTAGATCGCATCCTTGTCCTTGGTAGACGGGTCCTTCCGGCGAGCATGGTGGGTGGGCCGGCTGGATTGCGTACCACTCGACTATTGGCGGGCTCAGGGACTTCCCATCGCCGGATCTCGTCGGGGGCCGGGGCGTTGTCAGCTGTATGGGCGAGTTCGGCACTCACCCACTCCCAGGCTTCGGCAGCCGTGCTGCGGGCACAGGCAAGAATCCTATCGCTGGCGAATGGCTGCATCTTGCGCTGTTCGTTGACCACTCCGTATGCTCCATTGACCCCGTTCACATACCCGTACCAAAAGCGGCTGGTTGGACTGGATGGTACTCCAGGGGAGAAGCTGGGTGTCGGCGGAGCCGTACCGTCGCCTGTCCCCGGGTGCCTATCTCGGAGTCCTTCCTGGCGAGCCTTGGCGGCCAGGGCTTGTTCAACGCGTCGCTGAACCTCTGCTTCCTGCTTGTATTTGGCGGCCTCAGCGGCCTTCGCTCGTTGTGCTCCGGCTGCCTCGTGTTCACGTAGGAGCTTCTGGACGGCCATCTCAGTGGCTCGTTCTTGCTCATAGTTTGCTGCCGCGAGCCGCTTTTCTTCTTGGGCGACTTCCTCCTTAGCTCGTTCCTGGGCGGCCAGCTCCGAGATCTTTCGGGCTCTCTCTGCCTCGTTCAGCGAGCCTTCGGGTGTTTTCTTGCGGGCAGCGATCTTCTGATGACCCGGGATGGGGGTGCTGAAAGATCCGCCGGTATCGCTCGAGAAGGTCCCGGCGAGGCCGGGGGCTTCTTCGCCTTCGAAGGAGATCGACCCTCCACGTCCCTTGGTGCTTCCACTCGAAAAAGCTCGTTTGGCGTCAGGCGATCCCATGTTCACGGTTTCCACCGTGATCCCGGGAGAGCGTTCGGCGGGTCCTTCATGGAGCGCGGCTTCGTCCTCAGCTCGCTCTTTGGCTTGAAGAGCGGCCGTTTCGTGGGGGGACAAGGCGGTACTAGCGATTCCGTCAAAGTATTTGTCATTGCGTCTAAGCACCCCTTCAAAGGAGTACCCCACCTGGTTGGACCGAGTAGCTCCTCGGTGACCGGCTCGGTTACACTCGATACCACGGTCACTGAAACAAACATAGACGGTACCTTTCATGACGAATCGGGCTCGACAAAACATCTCCTTGCACACCACTCGGCCGGTGTGCAAAACGCCGCCATCTCCGACACCGGACCCTAAGGAAGTCACACTGTGTGACCCGCCGCTGGCGTCATCAAACTCTAAGTCCATGCTTACTTTTCTTCAGAGTAAGGTTTGGCGAGGGAGGCGGTCACTGTCGGGCAGCAGATACTTTTTCAGGTTGCGGACGCTCACACTAAATTACCCCCAGTCAAAAAGGAAAATTGGTGTCGGGCGGCTGCAACTCTGGTTCAGAAAAAGGAAAATTGGTGTCGGGCGGCTGCAACTCTGGTTCAGAAAAAGTGAACCTGATTTGTAGCCGCCCGATTAGTAGTCCTTCTAGCTAGTCATCAACACCACATAGGCACACCACCTGTGCACCCGACACTTCGGTCCACCACCTCATCCTTGGATGAGTGGCTCTCCCGGATTCCTGTCCGTCAGTCTCCCTTATGGTCGGCTCCCTGTTAACTCATACTCTCCGTTCTGTAGAATCTCTTCATTCCCTGTCTGGGAAGGTGGGCGATGTTCTCCCGTGGTTTTCGGCGAACCACCGATCGCTACATGGTGGCTTTGCTGGTTGTCAAGCTTCCGAGCCACATGATGTTGTTACTGGGACACGGTAAGGCAAGGCAAGCTCTTTCTTTACCTTGCAATCCTTTGTCATAAAACCTATCTCCCAAGTTATCAACAAGATTTCTTTCCACGCGAAGTTCAAGTCAAATCGAGGATCATGAGGACCTTTCAACCATTCCAGCGACTCTCTGTTATGCTACTTTGCCTTTTGGCGGCCGCAAGAGCTTTTCCCAGTTGCGATGATGGAGATTTAAATATTGAGCAGACCTGTGATGTATTTGGTGATGATGGTTTGTCTTGGGCTGTCATTGATTTTCAGTATCCATCTGCATGCTGGGCTAACATCAGGTGCAGTGGGAATTTGGCCGGTGTCCGTTGCTTCACTGGGGATGGCTTTACAGCTCGGAGATACAACCGATGGGAATGCCTCGAATCTTGCTCCGTTCCACCGGAATAGAGGTCTGGACACAGGTCAAATCAGCTGCAGTGGCGAAAGAAACACTAGTTCCAGCAAGTCTACTACTAGTACCCCCTTTCTAGCTAAAAGCGTTTACTATAATCATTCGCCATGAACATTTTACCATATTGGAATACATGTACTAGATGTATAGAGCAGTAACTGCTTGCCCACAGTGCAGCAAACCCAGGCAAATAAGCGGGCTATACCACTGCACACAGCTTCGTTTCTGTCTGAAGTATGGTACCAGCCAGGAACCTGGGAGACAGCTAGCTCGCCACAGCCAGCTGGTAGCTATCATATCTGAGCGAGTCAAGCACGGCAACAATGCCTTCAGCAGCACGCAAGGAACATCTGAGCAACTTGCTATTAAGGTTTCTTGTCGCCTCTACCTCGCTGCCTCGACAACCAGGCAAGGATCAACATGGACACTGGGTGCTTTTGGGATGGGGTTTGTTCTCTGAACCTGCGCCATGGCTAGCAACGCACTTTCAAAGGGGACAGGTGTGAAGTTACATTTACGAAAGATAGGACCGCCAGAGCCATCAAATACTACCCAAGAATCCAGGGAAGAGCATGATGTTTTTTCTGGAAGAAGCATCACAACCTTGTCCGGTTTGCATTTTTAAATTTTGCCCAAGCCCGCGCCATTGCCATCTGGCAACACAAGGACACGGAGAGAGAACATAAGGTGTCAATGATGGCTTTCTCACCCCTCTATTTATCGAATATCCGATCGGACAAACCCTGTTCCTTGTGAGAAATGGTGACGAGATGATTTCCCAGTAGAGGTAAGGGTATCAAGAATCTCGACCTCGACGGAGAAAACTTCTTCCCAAACATTTGAAGGAGGTGGTGAAAAATGAGGCGTAGGCCAAATGAGTCATGTTGCTTCCAGCTGCACCCTCTACGTTCAGCTCGCTCGTACGCCGCCACCTCACCCATACAAGGATATCAATACCTTGATTATTAGATTTATTGTTCAACTGCATGCATGCGCAAGACCAGGAGATCGTGAATGCTGCTGATAGACTATATATATTATGTACGGTACTACGGTCGAGACAAGCCTTTCACCAGATAGGCTTTGTCTGTAGGCAGGTGATAACATGATGGAAGTCGTTCGAATGCAATCTGCAGAAGATAATTGGCAGTTCGTAACTAAAATTAGGCAGCCATTCTTGAGTAGAAATGTATGATAAGTGCTATTCATGGGTCAACTTTGCTTGATAATTTCTGCTTTAAAGAGCTTTGCAAAGATGCTTGGCTGGGTGTAGTATCGGTGGGTACCTACACGCCTTCTGTGCTAGCTATCTACTACTAGTCTAGCCAGTAGGTAACTACAATGATAGCTGGCTGCTTGCTAGCTAGACGCTGGCTGGCTGGCTAGACATGCAAAACCAGTAATGCATTTCAACCAAATTCATTTGTTTCTTATAATGAAGGCAATTATACAAGCTAAACCCATCGCGTGAATGCGGCATTCTCAAACATGCTATGACGTGGTCACATTATATTATGTTGCCACGTTAGCATTTATTTGGTGGCGTGGTGGAGGAAGCGATTTGCCGAGGACAAGAAAATGCCGCGAGGTAGATTTCTTACCGGGGCCCACGGACAACTGCTATGTTTCTTCTCTACTTCCGTACAGCTGGCCCCTCATCAAGTTCCGGAAAGCATGATGTGTCTTTGGGGTCCCTTCGTAGCTTTTGTGTTGTTTGTGGTAGAGTGATGCGATCCTCGATCGTATGATCCTCGATCGATATTATTTTTATCTTCTCTGGGTTTGCACTCTCGTTTGTGTTTTCGGTGCTTGCTGCTGCCAATCTTTTGAGGCTATTGAAGACTGCGAATCCAAGAGGTAGGCTCACAAACTCCATTCGCTCACAAAACCAGAGATCCACTCATTCAGAATCTGCTACTTTTCTTCTTCTTCTAAAGTTCAGGTCTACCAAACAAGATGTGTGATACCGAACCAAAGATGCTTCAAACCGAAGTCGGTCTCATCCCGCTCCACAGTCAACTCGGCCTAAGCGCTAGCACCAAAGCGGCCTTGGGACCTCCATGGATCCGCCAACACCATACAGATGAAGCTCCTGGTGGCTGGGGAAGAGCCATTGTCCGTGAAGTCCGTCGTACCATTGGTACTTGGTGGTGCAAGGAGTTCTCCAATTTCAACCAAAAGACAATTGCTGTCTCCTTTTTCATCTTTTTTGCTGCCGTGGCTCCAGCCATTACCTTTGGTGCCGTCTATGCCAAGTCCACCAACAACTACATTGGTGCTGTCGAGATGTTGACCGCAACAGCATGGTGTGGTGTGTTCTACGCCGTTGTCGGAGGTCAGCCAATGGTAAGTTCGTTGCTCAGGAAAATATTAAGTGTGGTTGGCCAATGCTGCTTCTGATCACCACCATGGCTAACCTAATCTTACCTATCTTACTCTGCGTGTGTTAACAGATGATCAATGGAGGAACTGGACCCGTCCTTGCCTTTACTACTGTCTTGTACAACATGGCCCAGAGCATGGAGATTTCCTTCCTCACCTTCAATGCCTGGGTCGGTCTTTGGGTTGCCTTTTACCTCTTGGTTGCCGCCTTTGTTGACCTGAACAAGTTCATGAAGCATGCCACAAGATTCACTGATGAGATCTTTGCCATGCTGATTGCTGCTATCTTCATCCTGGACGCCATTGGCAACCCCCTCAGTCCTGTCGGTCTCTTCTGGTACTTTCAGAGGGATCACAAGTCACACGATCAGTTTGAAGAAGAAGAGGACTACAGTCACTACGCCACTGCTTTCTTGAGTCTCATCTTGGGTCTTGGAACCACCTGGTTGGCATTTGCCCTTCGAGGACTCAAGTTCAGCCGCTACCTGCCCAACCAAAGCTTCCGTAACGTCATTGCCAACTTTGCCGTCGTTATCTCCATTGGATGGTGGACGATCGTCGACAACCTGATCTTCCCCGCCGTCGAGACGGAAGAGCTCAACGTTCCTGATAGCTTTGCTCCTACATTCCAGTGCTGCGATTCCACATGCATGTCTTCCTGGCCCGAAGACTGCTCCAATCAACTCGAACCATGGGGCCGTCGTCCATGGTTCATTGATCTTGGTGATCTTTCTGGCAAATCTTGGGTTCCGTTCATGGCGGCTGGACCAGCCATCCTTGCCTTCATCTTGGTATTCCTTGATGATGGTATCACTTGGCACTTGATCAATCACCCCACCAACAAACTCTCGCACGGAGAAGCCTACAACTACGATACTGTCATCATTGCCCTTATGATTGCCGTCAACTCCTTGCTCGGATTGCCCTGGTTGGTGGCCGCCACTGTCCGATCCATCACCCACGTCAATGCCTTGACCGAACGCGATTCCCGTGGAAACATCCTCAGTGTCCAAGAGACTCGCCTCACGCACTTCTTAATTCATGCCTTGGTCGGTGTCTCCATCCTCTTCTTGAGTGCCCTTCGATACATCCCCGTCCCTGTCCTATACGGAGTCTTTCTGTTCATGGGTCTGGCATCGCTCCCTACCAACCAATTCTGGTGCCGATTCACATACTGGTTCATGGACACTGAAAAGTACCCCAACACACCCGCCACCAAATGGATGGACCGCATGCAAATGCACAAGTACACAGCAATTCAAGTTGTCCTCTTTGCCTTGCTCATGACATTCCGAAGTATCAAGGTTGTGGCCATTGCCTTCCCCATTGTCGTCAAGGCGTGCATCCCCCTCCGCATGTACGTGCTCCCCTATCTGTTCAAAGAAGAAGAGCTGTGCTTGTTGGATGCCGAAGATGATGACATTGATCGCCTCGTGACTTACTACGAGGACAATGAGCGCACAAAGGCCATGGAAATTGTGGATGTTGAAGACAGCAACGGAGAGGCTTCGGCAGAAGACGTGACGCCTGCCAAGGTTGGCTTTGGAGATTCGGATGAGGAGGAGCTTTCGGATCAAGCATAAAGCAATGAACGGCTCCTCACTTCAACTTCCTCCAACTTGAAGCGATGCACATCAACAACGCTCGCCGCTTCTTTTTTGTCCTTACAAGAGCCAGACATTCTGGTTGTCCAAAGCGCCCTCTACGCACATACACTCGCAAATCTCCATTGCTCACATGTTAATACTAATAATAATAAATTGCATATCAAGATCCAGCCACTGTCGTAGTTAAGAGTTGGACGGGGTCCCCCAGTCTGGTCGCCAGCGACGGGCAAGAGCGCTTCACGTCAACCATGCTCGCCGATCTGAATAAAGTCGGCTTTCTGGTGAGGGGAGCTCACTTGAAGGCCAAGTCTAGCAAAGAACAACCAACTTGTTTTTTTGCTCCAGGATGTCCGTAACCTAGTAGGTGACTGCCTGTCCATTCGACTCCGCTGCCGGTAGAGAAGCTCTGATTCCGCCAGGAGAAAAAGATGATTCGACACGCTAATAGAACTACCAACTTGTCATTCCACCCGAACCGAAGTGGATAGAGCAGACGAGAGCGAGAGAGCCCTGTCGGTAGCTACCTGGTGTGGTTCGGTCTTGTGCATCTCCAGTAGTTCGTCAATTCTATAGAGGGACACGGCTCCACGAGCAGGGTGCGTTCCACTCAAAACTCTGAATGAGTTATTACCGGCACCATCCTGGACTTGAGGCCGTCGAGTCGAGTCATTGCTCTAGTTGTTGCCTTTGCTAGTTGGCCACCGATGTGTGAACGAGAACAGCAGCAGCATTTGTAGAAATTTCAACAGTTGTCTGCAAGGATATGGACAGAAAGCTACAAGAAGCTGCTGTATGGCTGCTTATTTGCAGCGGCAGCTCTCACGTTGAAAGAATTGGAGGCTTCACCTCAACGATAATGATTAACCAAAGACTTCCTGTTTGTTGCACTGACTATGCCGATTGGAATGCGCACAACGAGAATGTAGGGAACGGTCGCTCCTCTCAGGCACTGTACGGTAGCCACTATTGATATACTGTAGCTGGATGAACTTCGGATTGCAGCGTTCCTCTTCTTTTCAGGTTCTCAAGATGGTCATTGGCAATCGGAGACCAACTGCTACCGGTACATGCATACAATCAGCACCAAGCTAACCCATTTCAACTGTTCCCCCAGTCTTCCCCAATCTCAGGAGAACTGAACCAGGAGCTTTCTTGGCCTATTCACAGATTGTTCGCAAATCCAACTTGTTTTTAGTGTTTTTGGATGTGTTGCTCGAATGCAAATCCCATGACGGTACCGTACCGTTACATGTTGGTTCTGTGATACTTATACTAGTATGGTGCACTTCCGGTTATTGTCGTAACTCAAAAAGTGAGAGAAACCAAGTTTGTCGAAATCGGAACTCTTTGAACTCCAGGGGTCACGATAGCTGTACTGTTAATGGCAGTTCTCTAACTAGCATCGAAAGTTGACATTTCATGGTTTGGTCATTTGACAGACGAACGTTAAGACTTACTCCAGAGTAGTTCTCAAAACTGTTAATTATGTCTCCATGCAGCCAAGGGAACACAAAAGAGAAGCTCGTCATCGTCAAGGAGTAAGAAATAAATGCCGCAAAATTACTGCGGCGATGCGAAGCCCAACCCGACACCTCTGTTTCATCTGATGATGCTCGTTGTCGGCCACAAATCGTTCGCAATTGGATGCAAACGGGCCACAAAACACTTTTGCAAAAACACAATAGACAATCAAACTTAACAGTAGAACGATAACTAACCAATAGGTGAATACAAGCAATGCCGATCAACATGATGAGCCGAGCCGCTAGCAAGTCCTTTGACAGCGACGACGATAGCATCATGGCAAGCGACGACGAAATGTTCCAGGACGACGACGACCACACATCCACAAAGGCGTCGGGGACACTGGCAAACAACTCTTCGGACGAAAGCACGTCCACGATCAAGAATCGAATATCCAAGAAGGAGAGCCAAAACGTATTTCGTTTGCGCCTTCTCGTGGTCCTGGTCCTCTTGCTTACCGCTCTCGCCATTTCGTACACGGTGTATTGGCTCACAAGCAGTGCGGAAGCCGAGGAGTTTAAAGTGCAGTATGAAGGAGCTGCTGAAAAGATTATCGCCTGTGAGTTCCGTACCATTGCTTGGCAATGTAGCGCATAGAACGTCCCTCGGCTGTTTCTCACCTTGTGCCGCCTTGTTACCAGCAGCTTTTGAGGATATCATGCATAAGATGGGATCGATCAGTACACTAGGGGTCGCTTTCACGGCATACAGTGTCAACTTTGGGGACAACTGGCCCTTCATCGCTCTTCCTAACTTCCAACAGAGGGCTGGTAATGCTCGACACATGTCCGGGGCACTGTTTGTGGGTGTCGCGCCCGTCGTTACTCGAGAAAACTTTGACGCATGGGACGAATACGTCACGTCGGAAGACAACAGATGGATGTAAGTTGTTAGCTAGTAGAATGGCATTGCTAATCGACGTGCGCTGGTGGGCTAACGGCATTTGTTGTATCATCGATTTTCAAGTGACGAAGCCGACGTTTACCAGGAGCAACTTGGCATGAATGGGTTCGGTTCCATGGCCAACTATCACAAGACGCATCTTACGGACCGTAAGGTCGACCTCATGCATCGATTCGACGCCACGGGGAAGGCCTTCCGCGAAGAAACGACAGAGTCGCCATACTTTCCCTTGTGGCAAACAAGCCCTTTCGTGAATTCATCCGGTCTTGTGAATCGCAATATCCTTTGCAGAAAGAACGTGACCCAGTTGATTGCCAATGTCATGACCACCGAGTCCGCCTACCTTGGAGATATCTTGCGAGCCCCTCCTGGCAACAGCTCAGACCCAAATACGATGACGGCACTGTTTGCTACGCTGATGAGCATGAACGAAGGCCACTCGGTGCCCTATGGCGGGGAACCACTCGTGGAGATGTACTTGCCCATCTTTGATGCTTTCAACGAATCCCAGCGACGAGTTGTTGGTATCTTGAAAACGATCATCAACTGGGAGTCATACTTGCGCAACATTTTGCCAAGCAACGTCAACGGTATCGAGGTTGTGATTGACTACGAGTGTGCTGGGGCGGAGCAAAATCTCATTGCGGACACAGACAAAAATGGGGAGGATGCCGGTTTCACTTTTCTCCTCAATGGCCCGGAGGTTAAATTCATTGCCTACGGTGATCAGCATGAAGGCTTTGACGAATGGATGAGAAATGGCAACTTGATTACCGACAACTTGGACGACGGAACGGTCCGTGGCATCGAGGTGGACCCTACGTGCTCCTACGACATCCATGTTTACCCCACGCAGAAGTTCTATGACCATCATCACACGTCAATGCCAATGGTCATCACCTGGTCCATTGTTGCAGTTTTCCTCTTCACCATTGGTGTCTTCCTCTTCTATGATCATTTAGTCGAGTATCGGCAAAGTGTCGTCCTGAAAACGGCGACCCAAACCACTGCCATCGTCTCGTCTCTATTTCCAAGGGTGAGCGAATTGACCGTATCTGTCTTGCATCGCCCGAAACAACACCCTAACATCGCCCTACTTCCGTTCTTCCTTCCAGAACGTCAGAAAAAGACTTTTGGAAACAGACAATGACGGCCACCTTCGCCTTTCCACAAAGTCCAGGCTCAAGAGTTTTGTAATCAACGGCGACGCTGAGGAAATTGGGAGCACGGCTGCACCCATTGCTGATCTTTATCCACAGTGTGAGTCCTTTGGCAGCGCTCCTCGTTTTGATACAATGGCCCGGCTAATCATACTTCACATGTTTCGACACCAGGCACGGTCTTCTTTGGTGACATCTGCGGCTTTACAGTTAAGTTTGGAAAGCTCCAATGCATTCTTGTGCGCCCAGACCCAGCCATGATGGATCTCACCTTTGTTCACCATATCTTCGACCTCTTCTTTTGTGACAGGCCTGGAGCAGTACCAGGGAGCCAGCCCAGGTCTTTGTCCTACTCCAAAGCCTCTACCAGGCATATGATGTACTGGCCAAGAGAAGGCGTGTCTTCAAAGTTGTGAGTGGTCTAGTCTTCCCGTTCCTGCGTTCTTTTGAAAGGAGGAATCATCTGATGACTGTTCTTGCTGCTCTAGGAGACCATTGGAGATTGCTATATGGCAAGTAGTCCATTGCTGCTATTTTGCTGCGTGTATAGGAAGGAATAAAACATCTGATGCCTCTATTTCAATTGTTACCTTTGATCACCAGGCCGTCACTGGACTCCCAGAACCTCAGGAGAAACATGCTATCAACATGGTGCGCTTTGCTTGGGATGCTCTCCTTGAAACAAATAAAGTCACAAAGCGGCTGGAATGCAGTCTGGTAAGAAGAATAGAGCAATTGTTCTTGCTTGGTGTCATGAAAGAAGCTTACTGTTGTTGGTTTGTATTTGAACTGACACCCACACAGGGCCCAGACACAGCGGATCTGACTTTGAGGATTGGGATTCATTCTGTAAGTATACATATCCTTTTGATAGTGCACATCAATCCAATGGCTCTAACAAGGACATCCCTCCACGCTTTTGAATCTACAGGGGCCTGTCACTGCTGGTGTCCTGAGAGGAGATAGGGTAAGTGAAGATCCAGTATTTGGATGCTTCCAGCTGTCAATCCTTTAAACTCATCTTGGTGATGCTTCTTCTGATCCGTCTGAACTACAGGCGCGCTTCCAAGTATGTGGATTTGTTTTGATGCAGTGCTATGACCTCTAAGGCTTGTTGCTTAAGTTCCTAACCGTTGGTGTTGCCTCTCTATGTAGCTGTTTGGAGATACTGGTGAGGACATGCCAGCACACTTTTTCACTTTTGCACCTTTCTGATCTTGTCTCACTTATTTCTTGTTTGAGTGCGTAGTCAACACAGCTTCCAGGATGGAAACCACTGGGCGCTGTGGAAAGATCCAGATTTCAGAAGCCACAGCATCTATTCTAAGAGAATCTGCGAAGGAACATTGGCTAACTCCCCGAGAAGACATGGTGAATGTGAGTAGGGCAGTGATGAAACTTTGTGCCAAGTATATGCAATAGAGCTTGGTCTGATCTTGTTTGGTCTCATCTTGTTTGATCCCATCCATCCACACAGGCCAAAGGGAAAGGCATTATGATAGCGTACTGGGCCCACCCATCTTGCCTCAAGGGCAGCGTAGCATCAGGGGAGTCCAGCGAAGCAAAGTCTGCACAACTATCTGATACTCCAACCTTGAGTGCTGATGAACGCCTTGTGGAGTGGGTTGTGGATTTGATACTCTATGACATCAAGAAGATTGTAAGTTTGTTCACAGCATCTACAATTGGTTGGAAGCGCATGCCAATCCTCACCATCGCTGGGTTTTGTATGTTCTTTGGTACTACAGCTCCACACCAGAATGCACAGCAAGCCACAGCCCAGCACAGAGAAGCTGGTCTACCATCCTCCATCAGGCAAGATCTGCCTTGATGAAATCCAAGATATTGTCCACATGCCAGAATACAATGCTTCCATTGCTGCCTGCCGCAGCGCCCATGATGATATCAGTGTCAACAAGGCTGTTGTAAGCCAGTTGAGAGAATATGTTGGGGCTATTGCCAACATGTACAGGTAGGCTTTCATGATTTCAGACTGACACCAGAGTGAATGACTGAATTTCACTGACATTCTCTCGATCCCACCCTTCACAATCAATCTTGTCAGAGGGAATTTCTTCCACAACTTTGGTAAGAACCTATCCTTGATTCCTCAAAGCCATCTTTGTGATCATAGCTAACTCCCACCCTCCCTTCTACAGAGCACGCCTGCCATGTTGTCATGTCCTCCAAGAAGCTCTTGACACGAATTGTCACACCCGAATTGTCAGAGGAACAACTGGAGAAACTCAAACGAAAGAAACATGCTGGTGATCTTGCCTGCCATATCCACAAATTTACCTATGGTATCAATTCAGAGCCTCTGGCTCTTCTGGCTGTCACATTCAGCTCTTTGATCCATGATGTGTGAGTCAAGGCATATGGCCAATGACGATCCAATATTGCTGAACTACCTTCAAACAGACTCTCACACTTTTCTCGTTCATTCACACAGCGACCATCGTGGCATTTCCAATATGCAAATGATGAAAGAAGAACCCGACATGGCTCACAAGTACAGAGGAAAGTCCATTGCAGAATGCAACAGCCTTGACCTTGCTTGGGACTTGTTCATGGAAGACAGGTTTCAAGATCTTCGCCGCTGCATGTTTCTGAATCAACAAGAACTGCTCCAGTTTCGTCAATTGGTTGTGAATATCGTCCTGGCCACTGACATCTTTGACAAGGACTTGAATGGTCTTCGCCGTTCTCGTTGGGAACAGGCCTTTGCGGACCATCACTGTGTTGATTTTGACACAGACCTCAGAGCCACAATAGTCTTAGAGCACATCATTCAAGCATCCGATGTGTCTCACACAATGCAGCATTGGTAAGTCCAAACGCTTGTTGGTTTCTTTTTTTCCTTCACCATGTCACCATTCCTGACCCACTGCACCCCCCCCCCCACTGTCTCCAACCAAGGCAAGTGTACCAAAAGTGGAACAAGCGTCTCTTTAGGGAGATGACTCACGCCTTCAAGAATGGGAAATTGGCCAAGGATCCGGCCACTTTCTGGTATAGAGGTGAACTTGGTTTCTTTGATAACTACATCATTCCATTGGCAGGGAAGCTCAAGGAATGTGGTGTCTTTGGAGTCAGCAGTGATGAATACTTGAACTACGCCGTCCAGAACAGAGCCGAATGGGCAGAACGAGGGGAGCAGCTTGTTGAAGACATGGTGGCAGATATGCAGGACCCCTCAGAACACAACTCCAGGAGAGGAAGCAATCTTGTGGCATCACTTCTGGACAATGCAGATCTCTATCGCCAAGCCACAGAAAGCACCAACCTGGTGACAAATGCTCTCTATTGCCAGCCCGCAGATCATCCCGAGTCCTGCGATTGTTGCAAGGGGGGCAAACAATAATCATATCATAGCTAGCTAGATGGTTTTCGTGCAGGCACGCTTAGTACATTTCATTCTTGGTGTAGCTAGGATTCTACTTTGCCATCAGCTGTGGGAATGAGGTGCCAACTCACTCTTGATGATTAGGCCCCATCAAGTTGCTCAACAAAGGCTTAAGTCTCCCCGGATTGATTCGCCGTTCTCTTCGCTATCCAAGATCTCCACGGGTTTTCCACATCTTTTCTCTTTTGTCCAGGACCGAGTCGAGTCTTTGGCGTATAAGTACCTGCATAGTGAGCGATTCTGTGATCGACGCGGCATGACACAAGAGCCTCCATCGCGTCAAGTGGCCACACTCGGACGATGACTTGGATTGATGGTGTCTGTGTCAAGACGCGGATTTGAGGAGGAACATGTCAGGTGGATTCGAAGCAATGGATCCCCTGCCTTTGTGAGATGGATAGCACCAAGCTTTTAGATACTGGACCGCTAAAGGCAAAGGATTGGGGCGTACTAGTACCACTCATTGTACTCATCTGGGGCAGCTTCTGCCCGCATAGCGCCTTACGCTTGCTCTCCTTGCTGCTCGTGTTCCGGAAATCCACCAATCAAATCGAACGTTGTAACCACGTGTTCAACGTAATCAAGGATCAATTAACTCTATTTCTTTCAGCTCTTATCGGATGTATAATCTTTGAGTACCTATCGCGACTGCAGGATCTTTCTCATCACTTGCGTTTGTGTTGGCCACCGTCATTGACTCATCACGCCGACCATATCGGATTCTCTTTGCCGTTCTTGTGGTTGCTCAGCTGACATTCGATCGAACCCTTTTCCACTGACTAAGAGCTCACTGGTGGCCCTTTTTCTTGGCTGTTGTCATCAGCCAACCCGTTGAAAGCAGCACAAATGCGCTGAGTTAGCGGAACCACATCAGAGGGAAGCCAATTCTTGCCGATCTTTGGTTGCCAACTTCTACCAGTCATCCATTTATTCGCAGTGTGTGGACCCCAAGGAAGCCGAGGACTCTTATCAAATCAAGACTGCAGTAGCCATTCTAAAGAAAGAACAATGAGAATCCAAAGCGCTTCTGTGCTAACCTGGTTGGCGCTGTTCTCGAGCACGTCTCATACAGCTGCCTTTACTCCATTGTCGCGATCAGCTCGTATTTCTCCCTCTGTCCTGGCTGCATCTACCGCCGAAGACTTGGCTTTGGAGGTTGGCTCTTCACCCGACGATGATGGCGACCGTGTTCCCACTCATACTCTTACGGCAGAAATTGTGAACAAACTCAAATGGCGCGAGCTCCAATATGAGCTGCAGGCACGAGAGCTGGACACGGCTGGAACTACCGCCATGCTGCGAGATCGTCTTCGAGAATCGGCGGATCTGATTCCCACCATGCAACCAGTGATGGCACAAGAGCCTGATGATTGTCCGGTTGATCTTTTGGGTGTGGACTTTATCGATGCCAGTGACCCCTTTACAGAACTTCTCAATGAGGTCATGACAGAAGCCAATCGAGGATATTGGAAAAAGGCCATTCGGCGCTTGAGAAAGTTGAGCCGATACTACGGTGAGACTCACTGCATTCCTAGTGATGTATACGTGACGACACTCAGTGCTTGTGCACAAGACCGTCTCAATGGAGCTCGTGCCAGTGAATCGGCACGCAAAATCATGGAAGAAATGGTCAAATTGGACTATCAAATCCCTACCGATCAACTCAATTATTGTGTCCGAGCGGCGTTGGGATATGGACCCAATGGGACTCACGAGGGATTTGGAGGAATTGATACGGCTTTGGCTATGCTGGCCGCTATCGGGCAACAGGAAGCTGCCATGGGAGAGCCACTCGTGTCAGTGGAAACATATGGTAGAATCATTGAAGCCCTGGCACGAGAAGGTGGAGCCAGTGTCAGCGATGCCATGACACTGCTGCGGTCGGTTGTCGTTGACAAGCGGGAGATGCCACCTCTGTCGGCCTTTGCAGCTGTGGCGTTTGCCGAAGCTGGTGCGACTACAGCCGATGTCAAAAAAGCTCACGATGAGGATGTGACGATTGGGCCTGAGAATGTTTTCAACGTCATTGCCTACGTCAAGGCGGCTGGATATGAATTGGATACCATTGCATCCACCGAGGATGGAAGACGAATTCTTGCTGCTGGTGTCATCGCCGCCCAGAAAATGAACAATGTGAGATTGGGTCTACGATTGCTCAAGGCCGCCAGTCAAGCCAGTGGCTGCGCACCGGATCGAGGTGATGTCCTGGTGGCCGCAAGTGGCCGAGCGGCGCAACGGGCTAGTACCTTATTGCACAAGCGAGCGATCAATACTGCCGTCGAAGAAGGACAGTGGCAATTGTCCGTCAAGCTGTTGCAAATGATGATGGAGAGAGAACTCAAGCCGTCTCCTTTGGTTTGGAGAAATGTGGTTACTTGTTGTGCAAAGAATGAGAAGTCACGCAAGGCCACGGCTGTTTTGTTGGACTGGGTTAAGCTGTACGAGGACAAGAAAGCTGAAAAGCCTCCTCTCAACGTCTTTAACACTTGTGTCAACGCCTGTGAAGTTTGTGGAGAACAGGAACTCACCATCCCTGTTCTGGAAGCAATGAGGAGGACTCACGACACGGACGGAAACATCATTACCTTCAACATTGCGTTGAAGCGATTGGCTCGATTGGGTAACCACTGGGCTCCCGAGGGTATCATTATTGGGATGCTCCAGAACAATATTGAGCCAACTGTTGTCTCCTACACCACTGCTATTGCCGCCTGTGCTGCGGCAGACCCTAAACAACCCCAGGTGGCCAACGAGTGGATGCAAAGAATGCGATCTCGCAATGTCAACCCCAACGTGATTACCTACAACACTGCCCTGGCGGCTTGCTTGGATGGCCAGTTTGCCAGTACACAGCTTGCCAGTAAGATTGCCACCGAAATGCTTGCCGATGTGGACAAGCAGTTGCTCACTGCAACGACCAACAGCGGCGAGCGACCGGACGAGTACACCAATGTTGTTCCCGATTTCTCTACCAAAGCGATTGCCCGTCAATTGATGAAACAGCTGAAGCAGAACTGGGTGGACGGTGACATCGAAAAGCAGTTGGCAAAGACAACACTCCGAGTGCCTCTCCTTCAACTGGTGGAATTTTCGAAATCAAAGGCCGCAAAGGAAGCTGCCGAGCAGGCTGCTGCATTTGCCGAGGCCAACAAGCTCGAAGAGGATCAGTTGGATACGACAAGTCAAACAGAAGTCGCGCTGGAATACAGCGATGCCTCCAAAGCACACCGAACCGCCGAGGTGTAGAGTAGCAGGGGGAATTTTCACCCATGGTATTGATCCATGCGACATCTCAACAGGGCTCATCTTGGTGAGTTGCTCACTAGTAGACGTGCAACAGGCGTTGCAATTTATTTGAATCCGTAGGAGAGAGAAGGACCTCAGACTGAGAGTCTCGTCATTTTCACAATACTGACACCACGACATTCCACACAAAACCACAACAAAAGTCAACGATCACAACAAAAGAGTTCTTGACTACTCCCTTTTGGTTCCTTGCTTTGCTTGCACTGAACCACAGAAGCGCCCATAAATTATAAATTTCATTGCTTGCTATTTGTGCGGCGCAGCCAGCTAGTTGTAGCGGCAGCTTCTTGTTGCTGGGTGTTTCCTTGGCATTACATGCATGTATGCATAGTAGGTCCAGCCGGCAGCAGAAATCCTTCTCCGCCATGGTCGAGGATCCTTCCAAAGAATGGAATTCCGAATGAAACACCGATGGCAGGCTCGCAGGAATGAATGTTGCTCTGACACTCCGAGCATGAGAACAGAGACAGCTGAAAACAACCAACGAGAGCGAAGGACATGTGGGATGCATCTGTTTCGCATCAACCTTTTTGAATCTTTTGTGTCTGCAGAACACGTCGCCCATCACAGCTCAAAGCTGTGAAGCTCTCTCTGGGTTCGGTCACAATCAATAAAACAGATCATACGGAAGCACTCTCTTTGACTTGACACTTGACACTCTCAAATACAAAATCAAAATGAAGTCTGTTGCTTTTTTCTTTGCGCTCCTCGTCGCTGCCGCCAACGCATTTGTCATTGTTCCTCAGACTCAACAGAGAGTCCTTTTTGCTGCTGTCGACGAGGAGATTGATTATGATGGTGTGTCTTTTTCATTCTATCTAAAAGATCTGTCATTGGTTCCATGTTCAATGGATTTGGATTCTCACGCATTCTTTTTGGCTCTTTTCTACACATATGAATTGATTTTCTCTTTTCTGATGACTGTTTTATTTGATTTGATTTGATTTGAAGCCCCCATCGAACGCGCCTTTGCTGTTGGTAATGTTGTTGAGAGCGAAAAAGTGAAATTGATGGGTGTCGAAGTGCCAGACTTCATTTCCCGGGCTTTCAATCTGCGAACTCCCAGTGGAGGTCCCTCGCTTCCCATGGATTTGGATGATGAATGTTACCTTGGAAAGGACGGTGATGCCGAGGACTGTGTCGATTTTGACCCCTAGGTTTTTCGCTGGTTGGAGAGTACCAATGATGAAGGTTCACAACTTTTCATTGCATTCTACCGTATACCAAGAACGACAGCGCACAAACTAGGTTGGGTACATGACCAAGCAAAAAAATGATATATGAAACTGGGCCAGCTACAGTTTGTTCTCTCGCAAGAACATTACTTCACAATCCAACCGCATGGGTCCACTGCTTGCTCATTGCCGCCATAACATCACCACTCAGAAGATCTACTATAGAAGGCTCTCCAAGATAAGCAGTATTAGACGGAGAAAGTTACTTGAGAGTGTGTCTACTTCTTTGCAAACTCGCAAGGAGCGATTCATTTGGAAGTGGATATATTTTTTATTAAATTTCATTTGCATCGAACCGCGGGGATCAGGAACTGCCGCGCGTTGTTGCATGTACCTTCGGTACCAGGTACCGTAATATGCGTTGCCCTGCTTTCTTGCAAGCACAGCGCAGTTCTTGCCCGCCAATGATCTCCAGATGGCTGTCAGTGAACATACATCCCGGTATAGAGATTGTCAGGTGTGGGTGCTGGAGTTTGACCAGGCGTCGACAAAAGTCGGGGTAACTAGTTCGTTCATGGAGCGGTTGCTCAGCATCAGGAGTACTATTCTTGTGCTGGACCGCTTTGAGGGCCAGAGGAGGTCCCGTTGACTGTCCACATCTTGGGCCAAGCTTTCATTGAGACAGGATCGGGCCCGGCCAGGGTGCATTGGATATTGGAGTTGAGCGTGCAGTTTAAGAGTTCCGGTACTAGCTAGTACCTGGTACAACGTCATGGTGTTGGGAAAGGAGGACTACGACTGGTACCGTACCGGTACGGTGTTTCTGCTGAATTGCTTTTCTTGCGGAAGGGGTAGCTCTAGTCACGAGCATGATTGAATCATTTCATTCACGGCAATCAATCTTCATCATCCCAAACACAAATAATCGAGTATCTTCACAGTATAGTCAGCTTACAAATGGATCTTGCAAAAGAACGGCAGCAGAGTTAGGATCCGGAACATGACTTACGTGGCCAGATGAAATTGCAAAATGTTGGTCAACACGACTTGTGGATTCGAGATGTTCTGGATCGCTTTAGCCTGCTTTATCACGGTGTCGAGCTTGACTGAATGTTGCTCTGTGTCTTTTGTGTGTGTGATGAAACCCCTGTCAGATAAATAAACAAAGCCACGTATTCTTGAGTTGGCCTCTTGGGCGTTTGTTGGTACTACTGTACTCAGTACGGTATCTTGAAGGCCTGAACAACACGGAGCATTTCAGTCTCCAGAACCAAAACTGCTGTGGCTGGGAAGGGCAAAGACACCTTGGTCTTCGCAAAGCATCTCACTTTCCCATTTTGTATCTTAATTTTTTCGCAGTTGGCTTCTTCGAGGCAATACGTCACTTGCTTCAAACTTCAAACCAACACCGAGTTTTGTGTAGGGGCAGTACCATATTGAAGTAGCGTTCGTTCAACCTCGTGGTCTTCAAGAGCTAAGTGCTTCTGTTCTTAAGCGCAGGTAAACTCGAGGGACAAACGAGGGCAATACGTCTGCTCACGTCAGCTCAATTTCTTCTTTGAGGAGTTCTTTGAATAAAGCTGCATAATTAAATATATCGCAGCCTGAGAAGACTAAAACCGCTTTAGGACAGCTCATATGTTTGGAAGACACATCATTCTCCCTCTAAAAAATTCAAAGCTAAATATCTAAACAAGTGGACATGTCATTATGAGAAATCCTCGTCCTTCCGATTTTGTTAAGTGGCAACTTCAGCTGCGACATTGGGTCGACATAAAGTGTACAGTATTGCCCATACAAGTCGTAGGAACGGCGATATTCGGCTCGGTTTGGTTTAGTTTAGGTGGCGAATCCGATGACCTCAGTCTGAATTTTGGACAAAGTTTGCGGCTGCGCCACGCAAAAGCGTTCGAACCAAGCCAACAAGCAACATCCACCTCGCCCCATAAAATAGTAGCACGGCTCTTTTATTCTTCTCATCTCCACACTCCCTTGGCTATCTTGTCTCTCCTCGTTGCTTTGCAGCACCCCGCACTTCACACTCACACACACACACACACTGCACCCTTTCACCATCTCATCGCTGCAAGCACACCTTTCACGCCAATTTAGCACTATTATCAGTTTCCCTTCAACTTTCCAAGAAAAACCCCAACATCACCATGTCTACTACTACCGCTACTGCCTCTATCATCGAGCAACCCGTGGTCGCTCCTCACTCTTCGGCTGTCGATGACGCTGCTTACATGTCGTTTTCCGGTCTCCTAGAAGGGGATCTCTACGATGACGAGCTTAATGGTGAGTTTTTGATGGGTGCAAAATGGTATCTTTTATTAATAGTCATCTATCCAATAGTCATGTCATATCCTGTGACTAACCAAAGAAAATATATCTTCTCCTTTCTTCGGTCCAACAGAAATTTCTACCCTCTTCGCCCCTGCTGTCTCCGACGATGAAATGTCCGACAAGGCTTCCTCCAGCCCTGTCCCTTCCGTCGATTACGACGAAAACCACCCAGGAACTCAGGTGGCTGTTGCCGCCGCTGCAATTGACAGCGCCCTCCAGGCCGTGGATCCTGTCAAGATTGTTACAACTGTTGTCCCCACTCCAGTTGTCCCCAATCCTGTTCTTCCCGCTGCAGTCGTCCCCACTCCTGTTCTCTCAAATTCCGCCTCTGCAACAACGACCAACAACAAGCGCACTTTGGATCAGGCCATGCCCGAAGCCCCCGTCACTCAGCTCAAGCGTCGAATTACCCTCTCCAGTTCTTGTGGTTCTTTGACCGGTCTGTCTGTCAAGGCTGCCGCTTTGGTTGCTGCCCCTGTTTCTCCAACTTCTGTGGCAGCTGCTCCCATTGTCCCTTCCAGCCCCACTTTGGCTCCTGCTCCCGTCGCAAGTGCCCCCAAAATTCCATCCGTCACTCCATCTGAACCTACTGCTACTACTACTATTACCACCACTACCACTCCAGCTACTACCACCACCACCACCACTACTGCTAAAAAGACCACCAAGAAAGTCAAGACTTCTACCATTACTATCCGTCAGGGAATGACCCCCGAAGAAAAAGCCAAGGCTTGCCGAGAACGCAACCGTGAACATGCCCGTAAAACTCGTCTTCGCAAGAAGGCTTACGTGGATGAATTGAAGCGTTCCCTCAACGAAGTCGTCGAGGAACGGGATGCTGCCAAGGCCCTGGAAGAACAAAAAGCCAGGATTTTGGAACAGAACCGAGATGTTCGATTCCAAGTCATGCAAGATTTTGTGAATTTGCGTGGCAATAATGAGCAAAGTCCTCAACGCTGGGCTGCTATTTTGGTGCCCGAGGAATTCCAGCTCAAGCTTCCTGTCACTGATTATCAGACCATGGTGGCCGCCAAGCCCGAGCTCAACGCCCTTCCTGGTCAACAGGTGTTGGCCAGTGTGCCCGACGTCATGGCCGATGCCGGTTTCTTCTCGGCCTTTCTGCAATCCTTGGGCAACAGCAGCGACGACGAAACTGCCTCGCCCATTTTCTTTTCCTACAACTGCGACCGTGACACCTTCCTCATGGATGGATGTCAAGCCATGTTTGACTTTCACGGTACTTCTTGCGGTGCCGTCCACCAAGGCGCCCCTTCGGAATTGGTCATGTCGGGAACCTTCCGTGCCACCTTTTGCCCCGACACCAACCGTCTTCGTGCCGCACAGATCATGTTCGACACAGGTTCCATCCGCTTCCAGCTCGAACACATGAAACAGCAAGCCGCTGTTGTCAAGTCCGAGCCCGCTTCCAACTAAGGGACGAGAAGAAACAAGATGGAAAATTATTCCTTATTTTTCTTTTCCTTCTATTATTTCCAGTCAAGCCCCCTCTGCTGCTTGAAAAAACCTTGTACATAATTCCTTCAACCGTTCGTCTTCCTCCTCCCTGACGTCTGGAAGCTTCCCTCATCGATGGACCTACATGATTGATATCTCTATTACCTTTATTCTTTCTGCCGAACAAAACTAAACCACCCACGAAACCAAACAAAAATTTCTGCATGGCAACTTTTTTATTTCTTTTTCTCCACGGATTGTGTCTGAACAAAAACTCTCCTCCTGTACATACAAACAAACCCCTGAACAAAACACACAAAGCTGGCATCAAACCATCGACTTTTTTGTATCATATCCCGATCAAGTTGTGCCACTTTTCTTTTAACCATATTAATGTGAATATATTATCCGTGTAAAATCTCGTGCTTCTGCTTGCTCTGAATAGCATAGCTGGAGTAGTAGCAATCCACAGTTTCGGAATATTACGGTTGCGGTTAGGCTTTACTTGGAGAGCACTTCGACTTCGACCCATGTTTTTGTTGGTTTTCATACGTCAGTTCCGTTCTGGTTTGGTGTGGCCTCTATCGTACATGTACTCGTAACTCGTGCTGTGGTCTAAGAGCATGAATCGAATCAGCCAGCGAAAGTTATATAAACATACAAGATGGGAGTACGTATCTGATTCTACCAACACGTGTGTCCCCTTCACTGTCCTTGCCGGTTCGACCCAGCTTGCCTAAACAAGGGAACGCAGGGGGGTTCCGTAGAACCTGGACACATGGTTATAAAAATGGATTAATTCTAGTTAGAAGGTCCCAATGCTGAAGTCGATAATGCCCGGGCCGACCGTGAAGATGTAGTCCTCCCAGTAGCAGTAGGTTCCCCTTTCCCTTCCCGCTACCGCACTCTCCGTTGATGCGGCCTTGGAGCTCCAGGCCATCATTACCAATCACTCTTGGGATGGTTGAGGCCTGAAGAGAGGAGAATCCATCCTCAGCGTCCTTCGGAAGGTGAAGGATGGAGCACAATTCTTGTTTGATCTGTGTCTGTAGAAACAGTACCAGACCCGCGTAAATATGCGATGGCCATGAGGATGATCCCCTGAGCACCACTATTGACCAAACCAGGCTGATATGGAAAAATTCACATGAGGTAATGGTGAAGACAGAGGCTCTCCATGATTGTTGTAAAACCGTAATCACAAGTGGGCCAAGGCCTACCTTGACCAATTGCAAGGATAACCGCTCAACTGGCTTCAACACTCCAATTCTAAGCCATTACAGCTGCTTTAATGGTAGCGTTGACTGAGTCACTCTGTGTGTCTTCAATGGAAGGATGTTGGCTGGATTTCTCCAAGCTAGCAGGGACCTGCGTAGTTCACCTGACTGTCCCCTGAACCCTGAACCATAGCATTACATGTACTAGCTAGCTAGAGGCGCGAAGGGTCCACATCAGGCAGACCCAACTGTTGACAAAGGCATTTGTATCTCCCCTCTCAAGCGAGCACAGGCAACTTGAATCTTGGCGCATGGAAACTTGGGTGCTAATGTGCTAATACCAACACAAAATTCCTTCGCAACGTTTTCGTTTCCTCTCATATGGGTCTACTCGTACATTATTAGCAGCTATTAATAGTCTACATGGAGTGAAGAGCAGTCTATGTCTTTGGAGCTGTCTTTGGTGAATCCTTCGGTCTTTGGTTGAGAATTCGATTCAAGAAGAGCAAGCTTCTATGGCCAAACCTTCTTTTACCACCGCTCAGTCACATAGTTGTTGTGCTGCCGGAAGAAAATCGCTTGGTAATGTTATAAGAGGACTCTCGCATTTTGAGGTGGCAACTGTGAAAGTGATCTTGGAGGGCGAGGTAGAGACATATGCGGTAGGTCCGTGATCGATATGTTGGCTCGAGGTTCATCGGTTTGGAAAGAAGTGTGACCAAAAGTGCCGACGAAAAAATGAGAGTTTGGCGAAACAGAAGTGGTACCAGTGCCACTGTCTGTTGTTTAGTAAAGGTAAGTCATCGGTACAGTCACTGAATGTAACTTTCCAATAAATGGGATTCGTAGGGGTCTGGGCATAAATCTAATTACCAATAACACGCATGACTTTGGCTTTTCAACCAGACACCGTGCTTAAATGATGCGGTCTCCCTTCTTCCGCATCAATGCACAGCCAAGATACTCTCATTCGCCATTGGCCATCGACGAAGAGACAACGAGACGAAGAGAGAAGAAAGGAGATCGCTTTGCAGTGTGGGACTTTGTTTCTTCCATCTTCTATTTGACTGAGCGAGAGTTGCACACGCTGCTTTCTAATAACGGGGCGCATTTGCAAATCTCTACATGTATGCTGTTCTCATTATTCTCTTCGATCAGCACTTTGAAACTGCACTACTAACCTTGAAAGCAAACAAACAAACATCATGGGTAACGCCGCCGCAATGCCAATCAGCGCCAAGGAGTGCGAGAAATATGGAATCACCATGGATGATGTTCATGGCTACAACAAAGTTGTGAAGGAAACCAAGAAGAAGAAGAAAGGAAAGAAATTGGACAAGAGGGACCTGGACAAGATTCACAAGTACTGCCAGGAAACAAGCAGCAAGAGTGGCAAAAACAAGGGTCTGCACAAGCTACTAGAGACGAAATTGAGTGCGAGTGTGACGGACCAAAGTGTGACACAAGCGTCTTCCACTTTTGATGATGAAAGCATCTTGGAATTTGTGCCGGCTATGATCCAGCTCGAGGACGAAGACGAAACAAGCGTCTTGGCCAGTGTCGCGGAAGGGCCGACGTCGGCGGAGGCATAACCTGTGCAACACGCCAGTGTTTTCATGTTGTTAGGGCTCCTTCAGTTTGGAATGTATGGCTTGCTTTTGACGGGGATCGGATCAGAATCAAGCCTGCAAGGAAGTTGAGCACCCTCCAGTTCAGTTGTTTTTCACTTTTCATTATTTTTGATCACAAGTATGCCTGCGTTTTGAGTTTTGGTTAGCCACCGCAGGCATACTCTTGTGCTTTTTACATATTATCTACATGCATCACCACACCAATTTTTAGACTATTATAAGCATTTTAAAAACAATTCTACCGCAAGAAGAAGGCGCCGTAGGTCCAACACCTTTGAAACTGACAATAGAACGTCCACCCTTGGATGTGAATGGTGTCTGATGGCAATCAACGCAGGAGAGTCTTCCCACTATATATCGACCTCCTCGTAGCCGTCGCTTCTTGTGCCGAATTCCAACCACATCCTCTCCATGCCTAGTAGCTAGACTAGCACTCTACTAGGCAACAGCCGGGTGCGCAAAAAATGCCGATGGCCAAGATGGGGCTGGGGCGAAACCAAGACTTGTCACAGTGAACAACTCTGATCAAGCAACCATCTAACACTTCCTGCTACTAGCTAGATAGCGACAGGTGCGAGACCTGTCTCATACATTGATGTTTTCGTGGAAGTCGTGTTTTGCTCAAGTTAGCTTGGTTTCCTCACGACAATCACCCCGCGCAAGAGAAAGGTTGTGTGTGCTCCAAGTCCTGTTTCCACAGTGATTGAATCTTTCCTCTCTTGGCCGAATCACGTTTCCAGTTGGCCACGTCCGGCACTCCGCGGCCATAACACCACCATGCCACCCCAGGAACTCACAAAATCAATAAAAACCACTGTGCAACTCCAAACACAACACCACTCCAAAATGAAGATTATCTCTACTGTTTGTGCTATCCTTTTGCCTGTGTGGCTATGCCACCATGGCGCTTTGGCTGCAACTTGTGGTGGTGGAAACCGAGGAGATTCAATTTGCCCACAGCAAGGCCTGTGTTGCAGCGAGTGGGGGTACTGTGGGAGCGGGCCTGCTTATTGCAATGGTGCCACCACTCCTGCTCCAGCACCTCCCTCTGGGTCAAACCCATCCACTGATCACTCACGAATGATTGCCTATGTTGGGAATTGGCAGTCCTGCCCCACAGCTGCGCAGCTAGCTCAGTACACCCACATTGTCATTGGTTTTGCCGTCTCTTATACATATGCACCTGATAAGAACAACTGCAGCCCCACCTGTGAGATTGACACTCCTCCTATTTGCAATAATGCTCCTAATCCTGCTCTTCTCAGCGAACTCAAGGCTCAAGGCAAGAAGATCCTTGTGAGCTTTGGAGGGGCCGGGATGGGTGAGTATTGGGCTGATTGGTCTGGCCTTGGGTGTTCCTGAAGAATCATTCACGTTGCCATTTGCTCACAGCATGTTTCTTTCTTCATGACAGGTGGTTCCTGGGCTGGCGATCAGAACGATTGCTGGGAGTACTGTTATGGCAGAGAGTCTCAGGTCGTATCTCGGTTGACTGCCATCGTTGATGAGCTTGGTGCTGATGGTGTTGATATCGATTACGAATACTTTTATGAGGACAACCAGAATGGATCAATTTTCAACAAGGGTACACAGGCTCAGAACTTTTTGACCCAGGTGACTGTTGGTCTCAGAAATTCTCTGGCATCTGATGCAATTGTCACCCACGCCCCAATGGATGTTGACCTGGAACCGAATACAGCCTACTTCCAGCTCCTCAAAGCTAATTCTCACACCCTGGATTTTATCATGCCTCAATACTACAATGGAGTAACAAGGCCAGTCACAGATGGCATCAGTGGCACTGGGCAGGGAAGCACTTCAGCATTGGAACACTACAATGAAGTTGCAAATCAATTCTTTGGTGGAGATGCCACTCGCATGGTGTTTGGTTTCTGCATCAATGATTGCAGTGGAACCGGAAGCAATGCAAATGCCGTTCAAGCAGCTCAGATCATGACTGATTTGTCCACATCTCACGATTGTAATGGAGGTGCCTTCTTCTGGGTTGCAAGCGATGATACAGAAGGTTCTTGGGCTTCCGTTGTCAACCAAGCCATTGCCACTTCCACCACCTGCTCCTTACCAATCACACCGGCACCACCAGTCACGGCACCCACCCCAGCGGCGCCAGTGAGTTCTCCCACGTCCAAGCCCACGACCGCACCTGTTGCTGTCCCCCCTGGGCCAACCAGTGGACCATGCTGCCCTCCTGGATTCACAGGGCTCTTGGCTTACAGGGAATGTTCTGAGTTTTATCATTGTGTCAATGGTGCAGTTGTTGGCATTCCTGTGGAATGTGGGCAGGGCCTGCTCTTTGACACTGCCTTGCAGAATTGCAACTGGAGCAATCAGGTGTCGTGCACTGGTGGTGTTGGTTGCAACTAAAGAAAACTGTAAGCCAGCTTGAGGTGGATGAGCGGTTGTGGAGATGCACAGTTCGAAAAGCATTACCCTAGGTTTCCTATTAGGACCATTTGATTACCATTTCGTATCACTTCTATATATGCTGTTACTGAAGCTAGATAGTCTGGTGATCTGTTGTCCCAGAACTAGCAAATCAGGAAAATTGGCACCGGCACAGGAATCACTGGGAATCAAATCTGAGGATCCAGCCACTGGCCTGATAATTGCCGTGCTTCCACACTTGGAAACGACAAGGAAGGGACGAATCCAATATGACGATCGACTCTCTTCTGCGTGCGCGACCTTGTTGGCTCCTCCGTTTGATTGCTGTTTTTCAATGACACGACGAGCACCTGTTCAGACTGGAGATTGAGCTGGCGTTGCGACCGAAGAGCCTCTTCTTACAAATGTTGTGCAGAGCCTCGGATCCTTTTGCTACCCGGAGCGATCCATCGACCGAAAAGGACTCAACAACAGTGTTTCCTCGGCCATCAGCAGTCAGCGAATAGAAAGTATTCTGATTCTGCAGAAAACCAGAGAGATACCCTTGCTCTTCAAATCTCACCAACTTGACTGCCGTTGGCCAAGAAAAGAAAACCTTCCTAAGCTGATATGATTTCAATGCGGATGGCTTTCACTTCTTCTGCACTTGAGCGGCTCTGATTGGCTCAGTTTTGATACCGTAGTAGAGGTTCGATTGACAGGAGTACCGAAGGTGCGGTCAATCGACTGCCTTTTGTACGGTCGCTCGTCTACCGTAGCTAGCTAGAGAGGATTCGATTCCAGCACTCGTTCGATCGTTCGTTCGATCGATCAATCAATAAATCAACACCGCTGTTGTCGGTCAAGCTTGGATTTCTTTGCTGGAAACCATAGAAAGTCAGCGCTGCACCTCTAATGTGCTGATGATAGACTTAGTCGTACGTAATAACAGTGTTCGTAGCGATTGTGTCTGGTGTTGGTGGCCTGGCATATGTTGTGTGGAAACAGTGGTTGTCAGCAAACAGAGAGGCGACGGTCGTAAAAGTGGACATAACTGCAAATAAGGGAACGTTTTCCTCGGACCAAATTCAATGCATATGCATCTGTAGGGATGGCTTTCGAATCACTGGACCTTGGAGAGGCCAGTTCAATCCGTCAAGCTTGGAACTCCTCTCTCTCTCGATGAGGGAAAACGTTGTTTCCTTTCAAAAATTTATAGGGATGTTGACTTGGATCTTTACTAGTAGGAGCGATCGATCGACCGAGGCTCCTCCTGTGTTTGGCTGAGTTCCTCTCATGTAATAGTAGTAGCGATCGGTGTGACTGAGGCTGTCGCGATCAACTCGACAACTCCAACATTGTTTCACGATTGTTTCAGGGGAGGAATGTGGAACATTCTCCGTACTACGGTGGCCAACAGCCTTCTCAGAAAAACAAAGCTCTCCCATAGACCAATACTGAATAAGGAGTGGTTCATTTTGGCAAATTTGGCAGATCCAGGGTGAGCTCCAGCAACCCGTATTAATACCTCTACGACTGTGCCGGTGGTACCACCGGAACCAGGTGGTACATACTCTAGAGCACTGTTACGGTGGCCAAGAGCACAACCCAGCCACAACAACTTTTAAAGCAACCAACATCAATCAATGAAGGTCCAAGCGTTAAAGAAGACGGATCCTAGTGTAATAAAGGCATGTAGTTTGTCATCAGTTTCAAGTTTCAAGCTGCTGCTTCATGACCTCTTCCTCCTTTGCCCAACCGCAAACGTGGCATTTGGCTTTCCCCCCCAAAAAATTGCTTTTCCCACCTCCCTTGTGAATTTGCAGTGCACCTCAAGCGAGTTCAACGACCGGAAACACACATAAACCGCTTTCGTTTCGGGTGGTTGGGTGCTTTTGTAGAACGACTGGTTACTGGTAGAAAACGCGTCCCCCTTCTTGGCTTTTTCTCCTGCTTGTTTTATTTTTTAAAAAAACTTCGTGCTGTTGACCGTGCACCGCTACAGGTGCTTGAGCGATCTGATTGGCTGAGCGGCTACTCAGATACATTTAGTTAATGACTATCAAAATTTTGAAATCTGAGCGAGCACCTTGTGAGAGTACCGGTACCAGTTCGGTACCGGTACTGGACCGTCCGGTGATTTAGCTCCGGGATTAATTTTTGCACTCACGACTGGATTCAACCCCTTGGTTACACGACTAGACTACTTAAGGGAGAGTGGAATTAAGGGAGAGTCGTAAGGGAGAGTCAAAGATTTAAGGGAGTGTTAGGGAGAGGGTTAAATGTCAAGGGAGAGTTTTTCGAAAATAAGGGAGAGTCATAAAAAGACCGACGATGGCCTAACTTGCGCTCCGATTGGCTTCATAATGGACGAAATCGAACCTCACTGTGTATACACTGCAGATGAAATGCTGTTAGAGGGTCTGAAGCTTGCTGGCTACAAGGAAGAGAGAGTGGCTAACTGGAAAGAAAAGAGCAAGGTGGACAAATTTCGTAGTCGATACGGTTCTGTTCCGGTTGTCCTTTGCGAAATTTGGGAGGACCTCCAAACAACAGAGGATCTCGAGACCAGAATTCCTCCAAAGAAGCTTAAGCTTAACTACTACCTCATGGCGCATCATTTCCTGAAGCGATATCCAGTTGAAACCGAGCGCGAAAGCGCTTACCAAAGCACAGCGAAAACACAAAGAGAGTGGGTTTGGTATTACGTCAACAAAATTGGAAGGCTGCATATAGAAAAAATTGGATGGGGAGAGGAGGAAGAAGGTGATGACATTTGGGTTTGCACTGTCGATGGTACGATGTCACAGGCGTACGAGCAAATGCATCCTGACATCGCAAAGGATCCGGCAATGTTCGATTTCAAACATCATACCGCTGGGTATAACACCGAGATTGTGCTCTCGATCTTCAGAAGTCAAGTGCTTCAATTTCGGCCTGCTGAAAAGGCAGGAGATTGGCCTGATCGTGTGATCTTTCGGGACAATGGTGGGCTCCGTGATAAGTTGCGTGCGACCGAGAAGAAATGTATCGCTGATGGAGGGTATCATGCAAAGGAGGACAACGATGTGCTTAGCACACCAAATGGCCATGATCACCCCAGTGTCAGAAAGTTCAAGTCGAGAGCTCTGAAGCGTCACGAGAACTTCAACAGCATGTTGAAATCTTTCAAGTGTTGTGATGACACTCACCGTCATGGCCAGTTTAGGTTGCAAGAGTGCATTACTGCTGTTGTTGTCATCTGCCAATACCAAATGGAAAATGGCAATCCACTTTGGAATATCTACGCTGGTGATATGTAAACCTTCTATTTTAATAGTAGTACTGATTGAATTATCTGAGGTTTTAGTAGTCGCCGCTGCCGCCACCAACACCACCATTGTTGTCATTGTCCACTCGGTTCCACTTCAAGAGCCCTTCCTTTTCGGATGCCGCAACTAAAGACGATGCTGATCTTTTGTTGTGGCCACCCTCATCACTCATGATTGCATTCTCGACTTCAACGTGTTGCGCTAAATCTTCCCCAGAGGACGCTTGCCGCTCTCTCGCTGCTTCGTCTTCTTGACGCAATCGGCTTTGAAGGCGACGACTGGAAAGAAAACTCGAAGCATCACCATGATCCTGATTCAATTCTTCGATCTTTTGATCGATCCAAGCTGCATCTTCATCTTGTTCACTCGTGAACTCAAAATCGTAATCAAAGTAGTTCTTTGAGCTGGAAGAATCACTGCCGCCATCGTCGTTGTCACCACCACCTGGAAGAGGTTGTTGCCGTGGATCAGCAGCAGGCAGGGATGGATTCGACTTTGGTGGTTGTGGTTGTGGAAGCTTAACAGCACTCGAATCTGTTCCAAACAAACAACGAAAGTTAATAGTTATCTCTAAAAGCAAACCGATTGACGAGAACAGCTCACTCAACCTTTCTTTTTCGCTCCCCTTTTCTTTCCGACCTTCATCTTTGCCATGCGAGCGGAAAGGGCTGCTGCTGCTCCTGTGTCTTCTTCCGTTTCGTCTTCAACTCTCCCTCTGCGACGGGCCTCTTGAGCTAGGTCGGCAACGCGCCAAAAGATACGAGGTCGATTGTCAACAGTCCAGATCTCCACTTCTCTCTCAGAATTTAAGTTATCATCAACCTCAACTGTGATCTTGGGCAAGTTGCCATCCTCGTCGAACTCATTCGCAGTGGCAGAATCAGCTTTGATTGGAAGTCCTTCGTTCCTGAGTTCACTCGTTTTCATCTTCTCGTGAGTCTTCAAAACCTCCGCCGACAGCTCAACATGGCCGCCATTGACCTTTGAAAAGTCAAGAATGTAAATCGCCTTATTCTTGTTCTTCTTCATCACTGCTTCATTCAGAGTGTGAGCTGCAGTTTCAATCGCATCAAGGACCGGAAGATCATCAGGATTTTTATCATCCAACATTGATCGGATTTCGTCATCTTCTCCCCCAGCATCAGCAGCGTTAACTGCTGGGCCTTCAATCATGACGCTCTTCGTAGTGTACAGAGTCGCCTTGTAAGGAAACGCCTTTTTGGTCCCATCACCATAAGCATCTAAGGGATGCACCTGCATGATAATGATGTATCCTCGATACTTGTTCTTGTCGTTCACACCCACAAGCCCTGTGGCAGAATAAACTTTGAACGGAGCTTCAGTCAGCCACCACTCTTTCACATTCACCGGAATGTTTTCTAAATGGAGAGAAGAGCAATCAAATGACAAGAAGGTGTGAGAGAGCAAACCTTCCTCGTCGAATTACAAAGAATGCACCATCTTACTCGAGTACAAACTCCCAGTTGCACCCGCGACCGACATTGTTTCCGTGTTGATGTCTGAATCAATGATCAATGCTGGCACCTCAGAAGTCTTCTCAGCTGGAAACTGCAGTGTTCCACTTGTCACCTTTGCCACTGTCCTTATCTCTTTGATATGAAAACCACCAGAGTCCTCTTCACCTGACGAGATCGACGAGTCGTCCTTGTCCCTGTAGGATTCAAAATCAAGAGATACGGCTGCTTTCTGTGGGGTCTTTGCAGCTGTCGCTCTTGATGGTTCCTTCTTGGCTGATTCAAGCTGTTTTTTCGTGATCTTCTTCGCGGGGGCAATATTCCACTTGTCAAGAATCTTCTCGCGATACTCGTCACGGGGGAGGTTCTTCCAACGATCAACGTATTTCCCAACAGTCGCTCTGATCTTATCACCTCTTTCTCCGTACAAGGGTTGGCGACCTGCCTCGTGGTCTAACGCAGCACGCCGATCTAACAAAGGAGCCAGCAGCTGTGTCTTGGGCGTTTTTGCAAGAAAAGCTGAGATCCCCCCAGGGATTTGTGTTTCAATATCAATTGCCAGTTGCTTTTGGATATGACCGGCCAGCCCTGGCCTCTTGCTTCCAGTGCTACTGACACTTCTCACTGACCTATTATCCGGGCTCAATAGGTGAGGAGGAGGAGGTTGTGAAGAGGCAACAGCCGATGGACTCAACGGTGGAAGTCTCGCCTCTCCTTTCTTGGTGAGCTTTCGTCCAGACCGGGTGTTCATTGTGGCGACTTGCAAACCCAAACAAAAGATCTGCTTCCAAAGCACAGCCCTACCCACTATGGTAGGAACCTACACGAGAGTCATAATGTCTTGAAGAGAAATCTTTTGTGGGGTTGGGCAAATTCGGCAAATTGCCACCTCACAATCCTTCCAGCGCGCCCTCTTGCGCCACGTCTTTGCTTTCACATCATTGGCAGCGCTCACTCCATTGCCAAGGTCTCTCTGTAGCAGCAAAGCAACCATGCCACCCAAATCAAAGAAGAAGAAGAAGAAAGGATGGCAATATAGCGATGCCAAGGCAGAGCTTTATGCGGCGATAATGAAAGGGGATGTTCCTTTGGAAGCAACAGCTGAGGAATTGAGTGCAGAAGGCGATACAAAAGCTGTGGAAGATGTAATTCGAGTCTATTTTGACAGCTTGCCACTTGTTCAGAAAGCTGGGGAGTTTCGGCTCTTTCGGGGCCGGCTAAGCGATTTGAGAGCTCAGATTGGGCAGAACATGTCAAGAGCTGATGAAGACAAGGAAGCATTTGATCGCTTTGTGCAGAACCATCCAAAGTCACTCATTGCTGCCAAAGGGAATTATCCCGAGTGGGAAGGGAGCGATGCTCAAAAGCATCTGAAAGAGGACTTGTTGGCAGGGTTGCATGATGAGATGAAGCCAATGGACTTGTGGGAGAGCCGTGATTCATATCTATTGTTTCCACTGAAAGTATTCCGAGATCACATCTATCAAGAATTCCGAACAGCACGATACCTCAATCAATTGCAACAGACAGAAAAGGGGGGTTACAAATGGAAAGAACTCTACAAAGAGATGCAGCAAGAAGCCCAGGCAAATGCGGGTGCTGACGACGAACAGAATAATGATGAGGACGGAGAGGGTGATGATGAAGAGGCCGCCGACGAGTAGATAACGGACGCTACCACTTCAATCAATCGATTATCTTGTAAACAAGCGTACTGCTGTCTAGATAGCTGCTAGTAGCCTAATCAGCTCACTCTTTGTGTTGCTCTTGTTGTTGTTGCTTGTTGGTTGGTGTTGTTGTTGTGGCGGTGGCGGGTGTCGACGAGTGAGAGTTGAAGAAATAAGGGAGAGTTAGGGAGAGTTATTGATCTGGGGAGCGTTAGGGAGAGTTTCACTTAAGGGAGTGTTTCGGAGAAATAAGGGAGAGTCACGTAGGGAGAGTTTAATAAGGGAGAGTGTGTAGGGGAGAGTCGTGGATTAAGGGAGAGTTAAGGGAGAGTCTTGTGACGTGACGTTTTTGAAACCAGTCGTGCGAAATCTTGAATCCCAATTAGTCGTGAATGCTAAATCACCGGACGGTCCTGTACGGTACCGGTGCGAATCACCTTTGCCAATGATTCGCTTGATCATTCTTGCAATCGCGTGGGATGATTCAAACCATCCAAGAAGTGATTACAAAAATCTGGAGGAGCACCAAAATAGGCGTTGCAAATTGCCCTCCACCAACAACCCCCCCCCCAAATTTTTTTTTTAAAGACGGATGGATTTGGCTACGAACCCCTGTTAACCATTCAGGTCTCTCTTCAGAAGAAGGATACCATTCGATTCGATTCGATTCAATCGCGGCCACGGCGATCCTCACTAATTCCAGGAACCCACAAATTTACAAATCCGCTGTGAACTCCACAAAACCACTCCAATGAAGATTATCTCTGCAACTTATGCTGTCCTTTTACCTGTGTGGCTATGCCACCAAGGCGCTTTGGCTGCAATTTGTGGTGATGGAAGCTGTGATGGTGACTCCACTCCTGCTCCAGCACCCCCCTCTGGGTTGAATCCTTCCGCTGATCACTCACGAATGATTGCCTATGTTGGGAATTGGCAGTCCTGCCCCACAGCTGCACAGCTCACCCAGTACACCCACATTGTCATTGGTTTTGCCGTCTCTTATACAGATGCACCAGGAAAGAACAACTGCAGCCCCACCTGTGAGATTGCCACTCCTCCTATTTGTAACAATGCTCCTAATCCTGCTCTTCTCGGCGAACTCAAGGCTCAAGGCAAGAAGATCCTTGTGAGCTTTGGAGGGGCCGGGATGGGTGAGTATTGGGCTGATTGGTCTGGCCTTGGGTGTTCCTGAAGAATCATTCACGTTGCCATTTGCTCACAGCATGGTTCTTTCTTCATGACAGGTGGTTCCTGGGCTGGCGATCAGAACGATTGCTGGGAGTACTGTTATGGCAGAGAGACTCAGGTCGCATCTCGGTTGACTGCCATTGTTGATGAGCTTGGTGCTGATGGTGTTGATATCGATTACGAATACTTTTATGAGGACAACCAGAATGGATCAGGTTTCAACAAGGGCACACAGGCTCAGAACTTTTTGACCCAGGTGACTGTTGGTCTCAGAAATTCTCTGGCATCTGATGCAATTGTCACTCACGCCCCAATGGATGTTGACCTGGAACCGAATACAGCCTACTTCCAGCTCCTCAAAGCTAATTCTCACACCCTGGATTTTATCATGCCTCAATACTACAATGGAATGACACGACCGGTTCCAGATGGTATTGGCGGCACTGGGCAGGGAAGCACTTCAGCATTGGAACACTACAATGAAGTTGCCAATCAATTCTTTGGTGGAGACGCCACTCGCATGGTGTTTGGATTCTGCATCAATGATTGCAGTGGAACCGGAAGCAATGCAAATGCCCATCAAGCAGCTCAGATCATGACTGATTTGTCCACATCTCACAACTGTCACGGCGGTGCCTTCTTTTGGGTTGCAATCGATGATACAGAAGGTTCTTGGTCTTCCGTTGTCAACCAAGCCATTACTACTTCGACCACCTGCTCCTTGTCAATCACACCAGCACCAGTCACCAGCGCTCCTCCTCCAACGAAGGCACCCACACCAGCACCAGTGAGTCCTCCCACGGCCGGGCCCACGGCTGCTCCTGTTACTGCCCCGGATGGGCCTACCAGTGAACCTTGCTGCCCTCCTGGATACACAGGGCTCTTGGCTTATAGTGAATGTGCTCAGTATTATTATTGTGTCAATGGTGCAGTTGTTGGCACTCCTATTCTTTGTACACAGGGCAGTCTCTTTGACACTGCCTTGCAGTATTGCAACTGGAGCCATGAAGTGTCATGCAATGGTGTTGCCGATTGTAATGACTCTCCCCCAGTCGCTCCTCCAACGAAGCATCCATCAGCAGCGCCAGTGAGTTCTCCCCCACCCACACCTGCACCAGTCACCATGGGTTCTCCAACGAAGCCACCCACACCAGCACCAGTGAGTCCTCCCACGGCCGGGCCCACGGCCACTCAAGTGCCATGCAATGGTGGTGCCACTTGTAATGACTCTCCCCCGGCCGCCCTTCCAACGACTCCTCCAACAAAGACACCCTCAGCAGCGCCAGTGAGTTCTCCCCCGCCCACGCCCGCACCAGTCACCATTGGTTCTCCAACGAAGCCACCCACACCAGCACCAGTGAGTCCACCCACGGCCGGGCCCACGGCCGCACCAGGGCAGCCCACGACCACACCTGTTACTGCCCCAACTGAGCCTTCCAGTGAACTTTGCTGCCCTCCTGGATACACAGGACTCTTCACGTACAGTGATTGTTCTGAGTATTATAGTTGTTTTGGTGGTGCAGTTTTTGGTGGTCTTTCGGAGTGTCCACAGGGCACCCTCTTTGACGTTGAATTTCAGATGTGCAACTGGGGCAATGAAGTGTCATGCAATGGTGGTGCCGGTTGCAACTAAAGAAAACCATGGGGGTTGTGGAGATGGAAGCGGAATTTTTAAAAATTTGAGGGAGGAGAAGAGGAGGATTTTTAGGAGACCGGTTGTCATAAAAATCCTTCATCCCGATCGTGTGTGTGCTGTAAAAGGTTGTGAGCCAACCGAGACAGCCGTAAGGGATCGTGGTGGTCGGGCCAAGCAGAGAAATGGCTGATCAAGAACGAACCCAGTTACAGCTGATCGTGTCTACTTTGGATTGGTACCTTTTTAAGTTGAAATAGATGCTATCGATGCTATCCCAAGGATGGTTTGTAGCGTGCGTAGAGATGATCGAAAACATCATGCTATTCGCTGAACGTGAACTGTCGATACCCTCGCGACAGTGCCCGAGTTTCAGGTACGCATAAATTGGCACTGTCAATTGCTGATGGGATAGACAGCTACCGGAGCGCATGTTGATAGTATAGCGGATCGACAAAGCGACATTCTGGTTGAAGCAGGTTGGCTAGTTCAGGAGGGCAACACCTAATAGAAGTAAGATCATCAAGCTTCCTACTATGTGCCTTTTTGATGGCCCCTAACCGGAAGCCCAAATTTTGTTGTAGATTGTGTCACTGGGATCCTCCACAAAGAGGGACTCAAAGAAGTGATAGGTAGGGATGATTGAAAGTACTGTGCCCAAGACAAGGCTCAGGCCGAATTTGCCAAGAATTGGCTCTTTTTGAAATGGATATAGCATTGCGACTCGTAACTTTTCCCAGGAATCAATAGGGGGGTTCGCTGTAATGATGGATAGCAGGGATGCCAGGACCAAGGGCCCGAGTGAAACCACTGCGGCGGCAAGCGATGCAGGAAGGACTTGTGGATTGTTGACATTGTAAATCACAAAGAGAGGCAATCCAATGGCAGTCGCTGCCATGTACAGCATTTGATCCCATGCAGGGATCCCTAGCAGGGTTGATTTGGCATCAGGTCGCGCCATGATTACCGGATTTTCATCTGGTCTGCTAACGCATTCTTCTGCAACTCCCTTGTAGACACGAGTTGTGGGCGCCATGGTTTCTCGCATGGTTCCAAACCAAATATCCAATGGGAAACCGGGAGCTGTAAAGGTAGATGAGTCCTGTTCGAACAAAAAGTTGAGACGGTGAAACGAGAAGTGAGCAAGCGACCTGACGGGCGGAGCCTGTTTTCTAGTAGGAATCAGCGCACTTACCATGCAAATCGAGACGTAGGAAAAAGTAGAAGCAAACGTGAGGAGAGAGGTGTGCACAAACGCGACTTTCCAAACGATGCTTTGGTCATTCAACACGAGAAAACAAGCAACCTACTTACTCCCATAGTTGCACTCAAAATAGCGATGATGTGCTACATGGAATTGGTCGCTGTGCCAATGATCCTCCCAGCCACTGTGAGAAGCACCCGGACTCAAAACTAAATGAATGCCATTCCAAAGGAACTGAAAGGGGCTGGCATGCCAATATACACTGGGAGCAATGGAAGAGATGTAGTAGAGATGTTCTGCTGGGCTCCTGCCATTAGACGACGGGAAGAAAGAGTGTGAGCGATGGCAGGAGACGAGGAACTCGCACTTTCAGCTGGTACCCTTAGACTTACATGCAAAGCCCCGAGAATGGTTCCACATCTGTATTGCGGTGATGAAGAGCGTGAATGTACTTGTAAAGACACCTCAAATGGATGGTGCGATGGGCAAAAAAGAATTGGATTTCTCGAAATACGGGTACCGTGATGACGGCCAAAAAGAACTTGAGCATTTCCATTGGATTTTGGAAAATGTCCTCATTGGATTGGAAGCCAATGCGATTGTTGGCATACAAGTACACCATGATGAGTTCCCATCCAGTCCATTGCAGCACTCCCAACAGACAGTACCATACATTGTGAATTGTCTTGGACCATCGATAGACACGTCCTTGGGCAAATGGTCGCTTGGCCCATCCCAAACCATACAATGTCGTGTGCCAAAAGCCGTAGTATGCCAGCATGACAACCGTGTTGAGTAGTGCTCGTTGGACAAACCACTGCATGGTCATTCCTTCCGCTCTCATCTGGTCATAATCGTACGGCGCCAAGACATACAATCCCATTGCCACGGAGAACCAGACCAAGTTGGGAGAGAACACAATGGAGTGACCGGACAGGATGCTCCACAACTGCGGATTGGACAAGTTCATCTCCAATTCTGAAGTGGTACCAGGCGGCAAACTCGCATCCACCCAACCAGGTACTTTCTGGAAGAGTCGGAACTCAATCATTCCACCGACGCCTCCCAGCAAGTCCATGAGACGGAACGGTGGTTGCTCTTTCTTCTCATTTGACACAATCTTTTGGGTTTCGTCTCCCGATGGTTCCTTCTCGTCCTTCTTGGCTTGGTGCCGCTGCTTCAGAGAAGAGGACATGATGCAGCAACTCTAATCTGATAAAACAATACTATAGAACAGGCGAAACAATCCTCAGAAACAGTTTCCTTTAGCACCGAACCGGTTGCTGTACTGGTAGTGGCTTCATTCACAGCTGTTGTGGCGGCGATGGCAGTTGCGAACGCGAAAACGGTTTTGCCCACTTGGATCTTTGGATCTTTTTTGTGTTTCTAAAAGGCAGTAGAGTTGAGGTTTTACGGTACGTTCTCGCCAAACCACGACCAACGAAGCTCGGGGTTCCAGCCAAGCCATCACAACTTCAGCAATTAGTGCTGACTCGACTCTAGCTAGTGGTGGCAAGTCGGAAGCTTGTCAACTTACTCTTGGTAGCAAGGCTTCTATTGTACACTGATGAAGACCATTTCGTCTTCCCCAGATCCTTGACTTGAGACTAGGCAGCAAGTATGCATAGGACCACGCACACAATTCCAGGAGATCATAGTTAGTTGCGCTTTGGCCTTGGGCTCCCCTGTGATGTTTTGAGACGTAACCAGCCTGACAGTGGCAATTCCTCTCCTACTACCAGCACCAGGACAAGAAAAGACAAAATCTGACAAGGGAATGCACGGTACCTTGACTTGTGCCGAGTGACCAAAAGTGCAGAGGCAGGTGCATCATGTTCGCAGTTCCCACCAAGAAAGCAGGACAGCTGTCACAGTGACCGTTACACCAATGCTACCTTGTAATGTTGTATGGACGTCCAAGAGCCAAGTTTCAATGTAGTTGATTTTACATGTATTAAGATTCTAAAAGTGTCTATCTTTATCGGCCACGACAGGACGCTGATCAGGGAAGCAGGGTTGGAGGTTGGAAGGGGAGGTTATGGTTCTAGTAGTGGTGCAAGCCAAATATGTCATGTGTTCTCATGCTGTTTGACATCGAGGAAGAGTCCTTCGATTTTTGGAAGCGCAAGGGGTAGGAACAGAGACCGTCTCTGAAATCTCCGTTAGGAAGAGTTGCGTCGAATCAGACTCGGCGGGGTTCTTGATATTGTTGATGACCATGTTTTCCAGCTTTTGTTTTCCGTCGGCTGTTTGATGCATGTGCTTTACGAAGGCAATAATGCTATCGAGGTCGTCGTCAATATTACCACTATTCTTGCGCCCCCTTCTTGGCTTTCTTCCCGCACTCGCAAGTGGGAAGAGACTTATGGGGCTCTTCTTGTTTGCCCTCGAAGTCTTTCTTCTGTTCGGCAACGAGCGAGTTCCGCTTGCAATAGAGACAAGATCGTCATCGTCGTCGCTGAGGCTCGCCATTCGCCGCAAGCTGAGTTTCTGCCCCATGCTAGACAGCGTCGCTGAGGCTCGCCATTCGCCGCAAGCTGAGTTTCTTCCCCAGGCTAGACAGCCTGACGTCCTCTTCTTTCCATTTGCAGAAAACCTCCCTGGTAACGATTTGGTGGACCTGGTGCCACTGGCCACACTGAGGGGAGAAGAAGTGTGGCTAGAGAAAGCGACTGTGGAAGACGATGTGGATGATTGGTTGCCCATTGCTTCTGATACTTTCTGTTAGTTGCTTTGTTGGAGGTGGTGAGATTGAAATTATGCACTTTCCCAGCTCGAATCCAATCTAACATCCAAGAAGCACCCATCAGCCACAACCCAAAGACAGCTAGCAGCTACCAGGTAGCATGCAAATGAGAAACTTTCGTTTGGCTGCGTTAGAAAAGGGAGTTCTCCCGTTGCCTGTGATGCAAAAATTAATAGCCTCGTTCTTTTCCGCAAATATTGAATGCATCTTTCCCTTGTTTTAAGATACTAGCTAGTATGTATGTATCGCGGGAGCGGCCGTGTGGTTGTACGTCACGCACAACTCCAACTGGATTGAATGGAACGATTGAATCGAATCATTCGATTCATCACTCCTTTTAACGTATCTATTTAGTATTTATTTATATCATTCAATCATTCATTCGCCTAGAAAGTACCGTACTGGCAGAAGCTACCGTAGCTAGCCTGAAAGCCCACGTAACTGAGACTGTTAGACTTCTGCTGGAGGGCCAAGACACTCAGCCAGCACTATCTCTTTCCCCAAGATATCAACGGGGATTACACTGAAATTTACAACATTCTAATTCTTGCATCCTGCAGGTGAACGTTAACTTCCTGCCGATAGCATTGGTCGATGATCAAGAGCTACATGTAAGTTATCAGTGCGGTCTGTTTTCACAGCTGCTACTAGCTAGCTATTCTAGAATAGAACCGTCAGAGCATCCGCTACATGTACCGTAAGCACGGTAGGTGCGACTAAGTGATATCTTATATTTGAGGTAACCCTGCTGGAATATAATAGCAATAGAAAGATTAGTGGCCTTTTTGGGTTGACAATCGTTGGAATGACTTGAGAATTGCATCAGAGCAGAACTCGAATTCGCTTCAATGAAAGTGGCATCGTCACTATTTTTAATACCACTGTAGATCTGGTGCATGCCGGTAGAACCAGCTGCCGGTATGGTCCGGTATCAGTACCTGGTAGTGAGTGAGGCACGCACAGGGTATGGTAGTGGAAAGCAGAATAGTTTCCAGAAGCTGTCCGGAACAGCGAGGGGAGCGATGAGCCACGGAGCTGTTGCTAGAGACTGACGGGTACGGGTGCAGTACTACAGAGCTACTACAGCCAGGGTGTTTGCCTTCTTGACTGGCAACTACATCCTTACCATGCAAGCTTTACATCCAAACAGTTTTACCGGTTGCATTGTTATCTCCCTTCGGAACTACAGGTAGCTACTCTTGAGAATTCCAGAGTGCATAGCTGCTACTAGCCAGTACCCAGTAGCTCTGCTCCCGCTTTCCTGGAAACCAAATGATCCTTCTAAGAAACTGACATCTGAAGTGTAGTCGTCACTGACGAAATGTGGCTGAGCTTGCAAGCCCGGAGGCCTGTAGTGGCTACATGTAGCTGGCTAGCTGTGGCTATTAATCAGCTTAAATAAAATCGAAGGCGTGCGTCTTCTTCCTTTGTCAAAGCAAGTTCTTGCTTGGTGGCACAATTGTGCTAATAAGGAAGACCTGCCAGCTGGAGGAGGCGTCTTTCTGGCTGATTCCAGTATAATGTGAGCCATTTACAAGAATAGCATGCAAGCTTTGCAGCATACAGTACGGTACAATGCATGAAGAAAACTTGGCCACGAATACGTTCTGCAAAGAAGCAATAGATGGATTTCAGCAGTTGAGCACAGTACCGGTACCGGTATAGCTACTTTTATGGATGGATAGTTGGGTTGATTCCTTTTCAAATCTGGCTGTCGAGATGCATGCAGCCACGAAGAACTGCTCCACACTTCTGCGGCGCTGAGGAAGAAGCTCCATGATTGCACCCTCCTCAGCACGTGCACTGTCGGTGGCGGCTCCTTCCTTCCCCTGATAGGCCCAACTCTTGCTAAAGTGGTAGTGCGGCCCCTTGAGTCGCAGCCAGCCATGCAATATGGTACCGGTAGGAGCGCAGTTGCAACCAACATGAAGCAATCAAGCAATCAAGCAAGCAACCAGCCAGCCATTCAAGAGCAGCACAGCCACAACCAAGACGACCATGATGTGTGAGTCGAGTCCAGTCTCAAGTCGGCTACATGAGTGGAAGTCACGAAGCACTCTTCTTGTGAGGATGGAAAACTCGTTCAAGAGAGATCCTCTCGACTACAGACCATACTACGGTAGCAGCTAGCACCATACGATACGCTTTTCTTCTACATTTTAAACTTGGAATCGAATCTTCCATTTTATCACTCGGCGCGTTCGCGTTAAGAGCCGTATTTGGGTTGGACTTCTGCATGATCTCCTGACATGCAGTGTTGTCCCCTTTTCTACTTCTCTCTCTCTCTCTGTCTACCTGTTTGCATGCGTGGATGTCTTTTTCTACTTTTTGAGTTGCTTTGTCTCAATCAACTCTTCAATATCGGGTCCCATCTTTTCGAGCTCCAGGTGGGCAAACTGTTCCATGGACTTTCCATCATTGACGTAGGCAAACTTTTTTCGCGTATTGTCGTCCACAAATGTCAACATTCCCTGTACAAATTTTTGCAACCAGAATGGGACGGGGAACATGATGGTGCGATACAGCGTTTCCGGATAGTTGGCTTCCATGACGGTATTGACCTTTTGTAGAAAGTTGACGGGTGGAGATCGAATCCCCGAAACATCAATGAGCACCGTGACCTTTTGTGTTTCAAAGGAGGGTCCAAATCGAGGTTTGACCTGATGTTCCATCATCCAGACGAGTGCTTGCACTTCATTGTCGACATTGTACGGTGCGGCACTGAAGCGACGGAGGCAGTAAAAAATGACGGGTCTTCCTTCCTCGTCCGGATGGTCCAACATGTAGAATTTGCGTGTCGCCATGAGCTCTTTGACGGCGCCTTCGTTGGGAACTGGAAAGGTTTCTTTATGCCATTTCAAGTGAGCCTCGTACATTTTGATGGCCTTGGTTGCATCAAAGTTTCGTGCCTTTAAGAACCGGACCAGTTCGTGCGACGACACATCTGGAAATCGCTCATGCATGGCTCTGAAGGGACGACCGTGGGCGGCTTCCACTTCGATAATGCTTTGGCGCCGCGTGGATGCTCTCAGTAAACCCGCATTCTGGCTCTTTTCGGTACCTTCCCAATAACCACCTTCGTCAGGGATAGTGATACTGGTAGGAGCTCTTATGATGCCTTCAAAATCTCCGTCAATATGATCTATAGTGATTGTTTCCTCCATCATGACTTCGAATGTTGGCTTGGTGGCCTTTGAGATTTATTGTCTCTAGTAGCTTTCTAAAATGGATAGAGCGACTGGCACTGCTACCTTTGCCAATGTTCAACAACATTGGCAAGCACTCTTTGCAATTGGCACTCTCGCCTCTCGGTCGTTGTTGGCGATTGCAACAGTTAGATTTCAATGACGTCATTCCAATGACTAAATCAAAATTAGTCACGAGACAGCGTTTTCGAAAGCATTCTTGTCAGAAAGTTTCCGATGTACATGTACTGGTACTGAAACGATAACGGAGACCGGAGGCAAGCGATGCGTGCAAGTGCCAAGATGATGCTGGAGCTGAGCAGGGTCCTCCGTACCAGTACCAAATAGTCCGCGCCAGTTGCTGGAAGACTGCTTTAAAAAGGTAGTCGAGGTAAATAGTTTAGATTACTCCACAGATTGTAATCATTTCAATCATTTCCATTAAAAAATTCAGTTTTAACGCAACTACCTGAACATAGTTGTCTTCCTGTTGGATTGGGCGTTTGTGCTCTTGCACGGGATGCTGATGCGATTGAAGATTCAACATCACCGCTGCATCGAAAAAACCAAAAGCCCTCACTGAAGTTGATGTTGTAAAAGGAGCACTATAACTGTTGTACAGTCCTTACTTAGACTCAATCGGCTGGCTGTGGTTCTTTTGGCATAACTATTGATTGTGATGAACAACAACCACCATGATGATGATGACAACTTGAATGGCACGAGAGCCAGTCAAGATGAGGAAGAGAAGGGAGAGGAAGAGAAGGAGGACGGCGGCCAAACGCCGGCTTCCCCAAGCAGACCTCTTGACAGCTCCGGTACCAAGAACCGTGCCATTGACGCAAAAGCACCGTCGTCGTCAAGCTGTGTGCCAACCAATCCTGAAAGCACAGGCAAAAAGGAACAACATGGTCTATCTACTAGTAGCACTCTGAAATCTCCTCGGGCGAAGCAAACAGTCTTGACCGCGACAACTACTACATGTAAATCCAGTGTCCCAGGAGCTATAGCAGTTATGGCTCAACCAACGACCAACCGAGGGCTTTCCAAGAAGACACGTGGGTCCCCAAAGTCAGAACAACAAGATGCCGGTGATGCTTCTACTGCACAAGGGGCCATCCGCTCTACCACCAACAGAGGACTGTCCAAAAAGACTTCCACCAAACCACAAGCCAGGGTGGTGACGCCCAATAGTGATACCGGTACTATCATGGGCCCAAGTACCAATAGAGGACTGTCCAAGGCCGGCACAAAGGCAAATACTGCAGGGCAATCTGGCGGTGCTGGAACAAAGGCAAGGCCAACCACCATCTCCTCCTACCAACAACATGTCCCAAGTACCACGGACAGTGATGAGGATGTACTTCCCGGTGCCTATGCGCTACAACAAGTGTGCGCACCCTTGTGGGATATCCAAGAGACTAATGGCTTAGAAGAAGAAGAAGAACAAGCCGTACAATCGATAGAGTTTCTAGTGGAAAACGAGATTGACGTGGATGAATTCATTGCGGAACTCAACAACAATGGCAATGGGGAACCAGATGATTGCGACAGCGGACTGGTAGCTGCCAGACCTGTTATGGAGCAATCATTAGCTTTCGCAGAACCTGTGGACCTTGAGGCTCTGCAAGAAATCCAAGAGAGTCAACAAGAGACAAGGAGAAAACGAAGCGTCTTCCATGCATGTGTGTTGGTGATTGGATTTCTGGTCTTGATGACCATAGTTGTGGTGGTGATCTTTCTTGTTGGTTCTGGAGAGAGTTCCAACACCCAAATCAAGGTTGAAAGCACAAGTGGGAGCAGCAACATCACGACAGAAGACGCTTCCCCTCTAGAGTCAACAAGTCCCTTGATGGCGTTGCTGCCAAATTCCACTCAAGCCATCATTTCAGCCAGTCTGGAAGCAAATGTTACAACACCACGATTGCAGGCCTACCTGTGGATGCAGAATGATCCCATGATTTCAAACTACTCCGATGCACGGCTACTTCAACGGTTTGCTCTTGCTACGTTCTACTATGCCACCAACGGAGAGGGTTGGAATTCAAGACGTGGTTCTGAACAAGACGTTTATAGTGGCAGAGGACCTGGGGGAGGACAGTGTAAAAGGGATGGCTCAACTCAACAGGATGTGTATCATCCACCTCATGGAGGTGGCGTTGGTCCACCCGGAGGAGAAGGTCCAAGACCACCGCCTCCGGGAGGTGCTCTGATTGAAGGTCTGTCACCTCCCCCACGTCCTCCATCTGCCAATGCAACTCCCCCTCGATTTTTTGATTGGTTGTCATATTTCACACATGAATGCAATTGGTTCAGCAAGGCGCCTTTTCCTGAAGCAGTCTGCAATGAAGAGCGTGAATACAGAGAGTTGACATTGCTTAGGAATGGACTCAGTGGTTCCATACCTCTCGAACTTGCACTCTTGACTTCGCTGCAGGTGTTACGACTTGGAGAGAACTGTCTTACAGGGACCATCCCCCCTACCTTGTGGCAAGTCTCCTCTTTGGTAATGCTGGAACTGAATCAGAACACTTTGACAGGATCATTGCAACCTGATCACCTGGAAGCAATGCACCGTCACATGATTTCCTTAGATGTTGGCGTTAACCAACTCCAAGGAACATTGCCCTCGGAACTTGGTTTGCTCTCTGCCTGTGCAAGACTTTTCCTAAACGACAATGGCTTCTCCGGAACGATTCCATCAGATCTTGCGCAAATGACCCAGATGCAGTTTTTTTCGTTGGGAGCCACTGAGATATCTGGATCAATCCCCCCTGATCTCTTGTCCAGTTGGCGCAACCTGAAAGTTCTTTTGATTGGTGGGAACAACTTGTCAGGTTCCATCCCGCAAGAAGTTTGCTCGATTGATGTGCTAGAATTTGACTGCGCTGTTAGTCTCTGTGGCTGCCACTGTGAATGCAACAGCACCAGCAGAGAGTAAAAGGCTGGCTAGAGGACCACAGAGGGTCATTTGCCGGATCACTGAATCTAGCCTTCTGTCGATTATGCAATGGAGGGCGAAAAGGTCTGAATGGATAGGACTTTTTGTGGTTGGGCCTGCCCGGAGCTGTGGTAGCTACGATGCTCAATCCTGTCATGGTCTGTTTTGCCGAGCAAGGAGTCACTACATTCTAGTTGCTCTACCCGTATGAAATCTTCTCTCTCTAGTACGATTAAATCACCGTAGTAGTTTGTACACATCAACTGCGGCATCGGCACAAACATGTATCTACTCTCTTTCATAATGCAACAGGAAGGCCTCGAGAGCTCCCACTGCGCCCTTCACGAGCGATTTGGATAAGAAGTCATGAGCAATGTCGTCTCCCCAGCAATCTTTTGATCCAACTGGGGTGTGAGACTGCAGGCTGATAAAGCATGATGCGGGGAGCCTCCAACTTTGGACCATCGAAACAGCCTCTGAATGGGGAATGACTCCATCTTGCAACGCATGAACAACGCAAATGTCGCGGGGAGGCAGAGGGGGGCATTGTCGTAAACCGTCAAGCTTTGCAGCGTTTTCAGAGCCAAACATGATGAGTCCACGAATGTCACTGGCGGTTGGTTTTCCAGCAGCAACCACTGCAGAACAAGCTCCACCCTGCGAATGTCCCACCAATACGACCGACTCCGGTGGGCAAACCCCTTCTTTTGTGCATGCGTGGACGAGATGATGCAATAGGATCTGTGACCTCGAATCTCGGTCATTCGAGTGGAGGTATGATTCTCTGTAATCGGGTATCAGGACTCTCCATCCTCGTGATTGTGCCACTGTGACCATTGTTCGGACTATTGGATAGTCAGGCCCCACATCAGGACTGAAGCCATGGCTAATCACAACCAGACATCTGGGGTCGGCTGCTGGAACGGCTGCTGTTGGCACTGTCATTGACAAAGACACAAAGTGAACAAGCTCTCGCAGATTGATGGTTTCGATAACAATACTCTCGATATCACCAGAAGTATACATAAAGAAAAGTCGACACCCACTCTTGATGGCAGTTCCATAGTCGAATTCTGTGTAGCCCTCTCTCCGTGGTGATGATGGCACAACTTTGTAGTCTCTGCCCCGTACAGGCACTGCGACTCCATCGGGAAGGCTTAGCAGGGCTGCTCGCAAGTGTTCATCCTCCAACTCGTTGGATATTCGATAAAAATGATCTGTTGGGCTTGCCCACCAAGTCCGAGCGTCGTTTCGATGGCCTTTGACAAGGTTTTGGTTCATCGTGAAGTCGAAGAGTGTGGCCAAAGCAGATGAAAATCATTTGGCACGTCTGGAAGGTACAAACATTATCATCGAACATGCAGCATTGTAGCAGTGGCCCGCATTCCCACTCACTCATTTGGCACGTCTGGAAGGTACAAACATTATGCCTTTGAAGTTGCATCTACATACAGCACTCAACAAAGCTGCAATTGGCAATGAGGGTCATCAGATTGTCCTCAATCCTTTCACAAATTGGCTCTGGGACACCTCCAGCGATTCTAGTACCGGACACGTCAAGCTTTGTCAGATAATTCAGAGTGGACAGCTCCTCCGGAATGTTCCCTTGCATCCTCGGATTGCCAGAAACATCCAGTTCCTGTAAATGTGTAAGAACTCCCATTTCTGTCGGGATGCTGCCGCAGATGTCGTTGTGTCCAAAACCAATGTACGTCATGTTGGGACAGTGCCTCAACTCTCCATTGAATTCTCCATGAAAGAGATTAGAAGTGACATTGAGAATCTCGAGGTGCGGCAAGAACCTGTACACATACGATGCACTGCTCCCAACGATTTGATTGCCATCAATCTTAATGACACGTAGTTTGAATGCCGCAAAGACTCCATCACCCACTAACTGGCCTTCAAAGCGGTTGTCGGAGACTGCCAAGACTTCCAAGTTCGGGCTGGAGACTGCCGTCGGGACTCTTCCGTCGAGGTCATTGTTGGACACATCAAAGATAACCAAGGAAGGGATAAAGGTGTTTGTAAGGGTGAATGTACCCGACAAGTTGTTGGAGGTCAGGTTGAGGGTGATAAAGTTGTCATCCTCATCACAGATTGGTTCCTCAGACGGGGCGCTTGAGAACCATTGGCATTCCGAAACATCATAGCTCAACCAGTTGTCGTTGTGGAACCAGTTTCCCCCGTTTGCAGTTCGGTAGAAAACAACAAGGTTGAATCTTTGGATTTGGCGTTCTGTTGGATATCTGTTGAGCATGGATCTTTCAGCATCCACACATTGGCCTTGTAGTATGCTGAACTCACGTCGGTGATGCCGCCACGGACCACGGGTGGAAGATCATCGTGGAAAGGGGGGTGCACGTGTGGTTTCTCCGTCTTGTTGCCTCTGAAGATTGAGCTGCTATTAGAGGTTTCATTGGACGGTAGAATGAGCATCGTCACCAATACTGTGAGCGCGACACCCACGGGGAGTACTGCTACGCAAGACATTCTGCCGCAGTCGGGCATCTGGTTGTCGTATGACCGTTCCATTAATCACTTCATCAACCTGCGTTTCTACTACATCCCTACTGATACAGCGACGAGTTTCTGAGTCTGTAAAGATGACTGTGCCCTCCAAGACGGTATCCACCGGTAAGGACGTGTTCCATCGCTGCAGGCTATCATCCGTGGATGTAGCAATTGTGCTGCTGGATTGTCGCTGCCGGTAAAAGACTGGTGGTCGAGTTCCCGAGACCGCGTATGCTCCGGGTGTAGATTCATGAACTTGCGCTTGCTTTGCACTTGGCACGGAGCTGTTGGTAGTAGATGGAGGCCGGATATCACTTATGCGGATCAACTTGGGTTTGTCTTCTTTCACTGGTGACGCTTGATCCGGTAATGACTCCACTGCATCATGCTTGGCACCATCGTCGCTCAGTGGAGGCATGGGGACCTGCTGTGGCACGAAGACTCTCTTGCTACTGGCAGAGACGGCCTCGGAGATTGTCGACCTTGTTGCTGATTGGTCGGAACTTGGAATGTCGTCGCACCCAGCCTCCCCAGCTTCTGCCTCTCCAGAACTACAATGTGATTGCGAACCATTACCAGAGGCTTCCTCAGTTTCACTCCCGGAATCCTCGACATTGTGCAGGTCAAACTGCTGGTCGCATTCCTCGCCCTCACGAGGTTGGACTTCCGGGTCTTCTGCAGGTGCTACAACATCACGTTCGCTTTCGCTATCACAAGAGCTCGTCTTCGTCATGGTTGCGTTCGCTTACAGCTGCTGGGAATGGAAAACAACTACCTGGAAAACCTTGGTCTCCCAGCAGACCGTTGTTTGAATGCGGAGAGGACTAGCTGGGCCATCCGCCGACTTCGGGCTGCTTCCACCGTAGTACTCTGAGAGCAATTGGTAATGGCTATTTGCGGATGTGCAGATGCCAGATTCGATTCGATGCTTCATTCGGCCACTATGTACTCAGAGTATTGACTATCTAGCTAGCTGGCTACGACTGTAGTATCATACGATTTTAGCACTCCGCGATTGGCTTTCCACTTTCCACTGTACTACCTGGTACTAGTAGTGGAACCGCGTAATTAACATACGGTAGGGCCTATTGGGACAATGGAGGGATTGGGTGGCTGTGGCTGGGTCTTTGGGGCAAACATCTACGGCAACTTGCTAACTAAAACGTCAATTTCGGTAGCATTTATTTTATGATTTTTAAAACAATTTTTGTTCTATCGTGATCTCGTAGACTAAACATAAGCTGGTAGAGCGGTTCCTGATCCCTAAAGGTTCAACCGGGCTATCTTCCGTTGTTGCAGCAGCTGCTGCAACCACTTTCTTTCGCAAGTGGAAGACGCATGGTGCCACCTGGAAGCCCGAAAGAGTTGATGTCATGCAATCATTGATGTGGGTCCACTCGTGATGGGTGATGGCACAGATTGGCCCCATCAAATCCACAGCGACACCACCCCGATTGTATTGATGCACTGCTTGTGATAGAAGCAATCCAGTTGCTACCGTATTGTTTGAATTGGGCCTGTGGCGCTTCTTCTTGCTGGAAGAAACTCCCCAAACGAGCGACTTGATATTATAGCCAAAATGATACGGATATCGAGATGGTGCATGGTTGAAGTGGTGCTGCTATTGGCATTTGCGTCTGTGCTGGCGGCAGCTTCTTCCATTTCGCACCTTCCGACTGCTTCCAGCCAATACAGTCGCAATTGCAAGAATGGTTCCAGAGAAGATGATGGCTTGACAGGTCTCCTGTTGCGATCGCTACAAGCAGGAAGACAAGGAATTTTGACGGCCCACTCCCATCCAATTTGGATGGCCAACAGGCGAGGGTCTTACCAGAACCACGCTGCTGTGGTGTCCCATTATGACAGTCTACAAGTGTCCATTCTCAAAAAGGTATTTCGAATATCTCCCATGATCGTTTCCAAAATTCGAAACTACAATCCACCGGTTAGCTTTGGTCAGTACTATGGATTAGCGCCTGACAAGATATTCCCGTATCAATCGACTGCCAAACAGCAAAAAGACTCTGAAATGGACAAACAATTGGCCATGACTCAGACTCTGTCCGAAACATTGGAAGAAATGAGGAATATGAGAAAGGAACTGCAAATCTTACGCCGAGAAATGTACGAAATGAGAAAGAAAATTACTGGTGAACAAGACTTGGAATTTGAAGGCGCCATGCAAGAAGAGGAAGAAGTGGATCCAGAGGTTGCTCGATTAGCCCAACAAAAGAAACAACGGTACTTTGAACGTCTGGGGCGAGAAGTGGAAAAATGGGCCCGCCAAAAACTGTTTGAAGAACCTCGAGTGGGCGATGGGTGGGTCGAAGTTCCCTGCAACAAAATGGTTAGAAAAACTGCCAACCCCAATGGAAACACACAATGCTATCTGACATGGTTACCGGACTCGAGGGGCAAGAATGCCTTTGCAGATGACAAGAAAGACTATCCCTGCATCAAGGTTTACTCGGTACTGGATGCACCCCTGGAAGACGTCTGTACGTACCTATCGAGGGAAGAACACATGACAGACTACAACGTTATTTTGTCGGCCCAAAGGGACTTGGAAGAGATTGCACCACACTGCAAAATATCGTGGGCAACATCACCTCAAGTTCTCTTTGTCAAACCACGAGAGTTTGTGACGTTTGTCTATCATCGATGGTTGAAAGACGGGTCTGTTGTGTTGATCAATCAGGCTGTAGATCACAAGGATGCACCAGCCGTCACAGAAGAAGGCAAGGGCACGGCATGCCGGGGATATGCTCTGCGAGGGGCTACCTTCTTTTCGCCCGATCCGCAAGACCCCCAAAAGACACGCGTCGCCATGATTAGCCATGCTGCACCCGGAGGGAATTTGCCGGGATGGGCAGTCAAGACTGCCATTGGGGCCATTGCACCGCTGGAGCCATTCAAGTTGTTTAATTACATCAATGAAGAAGTACACAAAAAAGCACCAGAAATAGAAAAACTGAAAATGAAACGAATGGAGCAGGCGTCTGCTCCGGGCCGAAGCAATCAACCAGTTGGAATGGCACAGATCGGTTTCGCTTGCTTCTGGCCCAATGGAGGGGGACTGGCGCCAGCAAGTCCTCCTTCGTCAACTAGTGGCGGCGCAGAGAGTGGAAGTATGCAGCCAAAAGTCACTACAGGGGAAGAGGAGCCCGTCACGCAAGGAGGCAACTGAATATACCCCACCAGGAAATTGGCACAAAGCGCAACAATAAAGCAAGAATCCCTGAGACGGTGGCTTTTTGGCATGTGCTCGGAGAATGCATGCCGAAGGGAAGTAATCTCGGTCTTTACGGCATGAGCGCTACCGGATACAACACAAAGGGCTGCCACCGCATGATGCCAGCCTGACCCATGACATGAGCTCCTTTAGAAAACAAATAACTTCTGGGGCCCTCGACCGGCCCATGACGTCATGAGCTCTACCGGAAAACAAACAAGAACTCAGTGGGCTCCTGTAGCCAGTGTTACCAGACATGCATTAGAATGTACAGAATTAAAGGGTAAAATAGCGAGGCGCACAATTTGGATTCAAGACTCGGCTATTTACCCGAGCTCGCTAGCCAGTCAAGCGTCACATGCACAATCCTTTCATCAGCCCACCACAAAAGTTTAGGCTCCCCTTCAAATTCAGCCCAACATAAAGTATTTCAAAAGGCCGCCCCCATGAAGATCATTACTTTTTCTCCCCTCACCATTACTGCCATCGCATTGATGGCCAAGTCCTGCAGTGCTGCTGTCTGCATAACCTTGAATGTTAACGATTTCCTCAACGGCGTGACTGTATGGTGGGCAGTTGTGCCCCCAGAAGGAACCACCGACATACTATGCGATGTTACCTGCGAATCTTATGACAACATTGGAATTACTCTGGTTCTAGACGGAGATGAGGTGTCTTCAACATACACATGTGGAACCACCATTTCCCACTCCACATCGGAAGATGTGCTCATAAAAGTCAAAGCAGCCAACAACAGAAACCTGGTCATCACGTGTAATTGCAATAATCTCAGCACTTCAGCTCCTTCTTCTTCCACTCCTTCTGCTGCTCCTGTTTCTGGTCATGCTCCAACTCCTTCTCCCGCTTCCTCTTGTTTCTCCCAGGAAGCCACTGTGACAGTGGAACAACCAGGCCAAAGCCAAGCACCGGTGACCACCAAGATGACTGAACTCAAGATCGGAGACATGATCTTGACAGCCAACAACCGATACCAACCAATATATGCCTTTGCCCACAATGATGCCACTACTGACACAACATTCCTCCAAATCCACACCACAAGTGGCAAAAACAAGAACAAGAACCCATTGGAAGTCACTGGTCAACATTTGGTCTATGTGCAGGGGAAGGATGCCCCAGTCACAGCCAAATCCATCAAGGTTGGTGATAGTCTCACCCAAGCTGGACATAGACAAGGAGGAGCTGCTGTTGTGACCAAGATTGAGACTGTCCAGCGCCATGGAATCTATGCTCCCCTAACTCACGATGGCACCCTTGTGGTCGATGGCACTGCATCCTCTTGCTATGTTTCCCTCCAACCAACTGGCAATCCGCAAACCATGGAACTAAAAGGCCACTCCATGTCCATCTTCTCTCACCATCGTGTTGCTCACATCCTCCTGACCGTGCCTCGTTTGGTTTGTATTGGTGGGATCAACCCCAACTGGTGCCAGACATACAATAACGATGGTGTGGCTCTTTTTGTGCAGACAGCGTTTGATTTGTCCGACTGGTTCCATGCCCAGCATTGGGTGGTTCAGTTGTTCCTTTTTGCTGTTTACTTGGTTGTATTGTGTCCCCTCTATGCCTTGGAGCTCTTGTTCGGTACCAAGCTGGCTGCTGTCATGGCCGTTGGTGGATTGGTCTTTGTGGCTGTTGTGCGTGGCAATGCTCCTGCTGTGGGCCCAATGGATGTCAAGAAAGAAGCTTGAAGGACAACATGGCTTTACACTTGGTCCACCCTTGCATTCTGCAAATAGGAAAGAAGTATCTATTTAATTTCAAGCACTGTTGCGCTTTACCCAGGGCTGCTCTTGATGCTGTTGCACCGCCAAATTCACCACCACCATCGAGAGTGTCCTGCCTTGTAGTTTCAATCGTAGCTGCTGCATTCCGTGGTGTCATGTAGGGATTTTCATCCAGATCAAGACTGCTGACAGCATGAGTCTCCTCATTGTTGCCATTGTCTTGTGACCGGCTGGTACACCTCAAGTTTTGAGCCGAGCAAAGCGTTCTTCAGCCAGTGGCTTCATTTCCTTGTTTCCGGAGTGTCTGCGCTCGGCGAGAACTGGAAGGTTGCCATACTCTGATGCGCTGATGTGGTGCCCTTGCCGTTCAATTGGTCGGGAGCTGTCCAGCAAAGCAAGCTCAGGATCTCTCTCCACGAATCCTTCTGGCAAGCTGCATGTCTTTGGGCATGGTGGCAATGCGCTTGGCATGAATGGGGCACAAGTTGGTATCTTCAAATAACCCAACAAGGTAAGATTCACTAGCTTCTTGCAAAGCTAGCACATCCGACTCTTGAAAGTGCAGGTCCGGCTTGAAATCTTGGGCGATCTCTTGGACCGCCCGCTGAAAGGGTCACTGCCCCTCACGGTACGCTGCCACCGACTGATTTTCTAATGAGCGAAGGCGCAGAAACCTTTTCCCAGCCCAGCAGAATAGACAAACACGACAAACACGACAAACACGACAAACACGACAAACAATGCAAATCTAACACGTCGTGTGCTGGCGTGGCTTATCAGTTGCCTCTATAGTTAGCGACATTTACACAAAACCACTACTCTTCCATTGACCCCCCGCCTTCCGATTCCTCGTCTTCTGATTCCTCTTCCTCTGATTCCTCTTCCTTTGATTCCTCTTCCTCGCTCCAATAAGCATCCTCATAAGCTTCGTCATTGGAATCCCACCCAGCAGAAGACGAGTCATCGTCATCGTGCGTATCCTCGTCTCTGTTGTTGATATCTTCAGCATTGTAAAAACACCATGTTTCATCCCCCAACATGTGTGGGGACTGTGAAACGGTTTGATTCCACCACTGGCATCTCCAATACGTTCCAAAGAGAGACTTGACCCCCAAGTGCCGGCCCCTCCCTTCCAGCCGAAACATTTGTAATTTGCTGGAGGGTCCTCTTTGCGCCACCATGGGACTGTAATTGAAACCGGCTCCTTCAAAGTTGGATTCATCCGTGGGACGACCTACGGCAAAATCCACCACCATCCCGATGTGTTCTGCCAATAGACCCGGAATCGACGCCAGTGCTCCCGCCGCATTTTGGCGGTGCTGATCCCCGTACATGATGTTGGTGAGGTACAGATCGGCTGTTCCTTCCACACGAAACGTCACGACACCCGGCATGTCCGGAACGGATTCAATGTGGAAGGATTGCCGGGAGCCGCCATAGTTACAGGTGGTGGTGACTTGGGCGTTGTGCGATTTCTCGGTCAAGGTGACCCAGCCGCCACGACCGCTGCTGCTTATACAGACCGATCGACCACACCATGTCTCTGCGTTGGCAATGAACCGATCGTTGTCGCTAGTAGGGTCGCTCATGGTTTCTTTTTGTGTGTTGTGAGGCTGAAGGCAACACCTCGATCGCTTTCTACTAGCTAGCTTCCAGAACGCAAACGTGGCAACGTTGCCGAGCAAAAACAGCACGACTTCCTTGAGTCTTGGACCAAAAAGGTGGACTTCATGCCACACGTGATTTATGCTGTGACTGATGAGTGACTGGTACTGGTACCGGTATCCATGATTTACCCTCCCCTCCTTGCGAAAGATACTCCCACGCCTCGACACCAGTTGCTGGATGAGGCTGTTACCTGTGAATACCAGAGACCATCCTTCGAGCAACGAAGAGAAGAGTGGCAGTCATTGACTGTTGTGTTCCAAGCATCCACTCATCAGCTTTTCCACAAGAAGAAGAAAGACTTATCATCCGCCATGGGAGCTTTGTTGAGCACCTGTACTTCGCTTGCGTCGTCCGTCCGATCGTTTCTTTGCGAGAGCTACGGTTGGTTGAAAGGCTGCTTCCAGATGACCACCACAACGAAAGATGACGACGAAACGGTTCAAGATCGAAGTCTGAACTGGAACGACCAAGAAATTATTTTGGGAGATGTTTGGGATGAATCATCCAATATTCAGAAAGCCTACGCCAATGGCGAAACTCGGTCGATACGGACCACGGGTGCTGCCGTGCAGACACTCCAGGTTACATTTACCAACGAGTCTCCCACTCAGGAACTGATCTTGTGTTGGGTTTCCAACGAGGGAGAACTCGTTCACTTCTATCGCCTTGCACCGAATGGAGGAAGTCACCTCGAGACGACTCGCTCGGGGGATGCCTTTGCTTTGTTTCAGAAGAGTGCAAAAGCTGACGTCGAAGAGGGACAGCCACCAATCTGCAATCAAGATACTGCCGTGGCTGCCTATAGGCCAAAGGCTACACAAGCCTGTGAACATCATCTCGTTTCGATTCGCAGTCAGGACGACACTGTCACTACTGGAAACCTGCGAGGATCTACCAAGAAACAACGAATTGGGTGGACACTCCAGGTCACACAGAAGAAGAAGCCACAACAATCTGCCAAACCAGAGATTATTGATACCCGACAAAAAATTTACGAACGACGAAAGTACGGACTGTGGACCGTGTATTGTGAACCGGGATGTTGGGATCCCAAAGAAGAAGAAAAAAAGAATTCCGACGACGACTTTTATCCCCAGACGCCTCATGAAGCATTTCAAGCCGATTTGGAGGCACTCACCAAACGACTTCCAGAACATGTGAGGGGAGTGCTCAGCGATTCCACCGCTATTTACATGAACCAATCTCATCCCTATGCCGAAAAGATTGATAATCCCGTAGGGTGTTTCCACCCCGGCAAGTTGTGGTTGCAAGAACATCAAATGAACCCTGATAAATGCGGGCAAGTGGAATTTTACAATGTTCACAACTACTGCAAGCACCGACGACTGTGGGGTACAGGTAAGAAATGTCTCAAGAAATATTATTCTTTGCTGCATGCTGGTGTCTTATGATTTGACTGACCTTATCAACACCACAAACTCGATCCTAAAGGTGGTATCATCCTCCATGAACTCTGCCATGCCTATCACAATTTGCATTTACCAGATGGATACAAGAATCAAGACATTTTGGAGTGCTATGGCGCTGCCATGAAAGATGGATTGTATGAGTCGGTAGAGTATCATTGTGGTGTGGCTGGGTGTGATGAAACAACAAGCAGCTTTGAGTACAAACGGAGAACAGCCAAACACTATGCCTGTACAAACGCCATGGAGTACTTTGCGGAGTTGTCAGTAGCTTTTCTGTCATCCTTGGAGGAGGAAGAAGGCGCCGATGAAAAAGAAGAAGAGGCGAAATCAGACGGAGACGGTGGTGGTGAAGAATACAACAAATGGTTTCCACACAACACTACACAGTTGAAAGAGCATGATCCACGTGCCTACGAGATGTTGCAAAAGCTGTGGGGTGTCACAAAATAAATAGGTAATTTAGCGATGGTTCTATCGTCTTATGAAAATTGACTCTACATCGCACCCAGACGGATGCACAAATCCGTCTTTGATTTGTTTATTTGTTCTCCGGTTTGATGGATGTTTTGCAAAGAGGACAAGATGATTTTGTCTCCAGCCAAGTCTCTACGCACCCAGAATGGAAGAGATGACCGCAAGCTGTCAGCTTACGGAGCGACTCAGTTTCGTCCGTGCCGTCATAGTCACCAAGGCAAATCGGACACTTTCGAGCATCCTCGCCGACTTCCTCCATAGAAGCCCCCAGCTCGGCAAGATAGGCCGCAGGGCTCATTGTTTGAGAGTTCTTTTCCAGCTCTTCAGGATTGATGTCTGGTGCAACCGCACCAACGCGCTCCGTAAGCTCCACCAGTCCTTCATATGTCAAGCCATCCACTTCCATGGCATCTCCTTGTGCTCCTTGGATTCGGCTTTCGAGTTCACCGCGGTACATGACGCCACGGTCCTGACATTTCATTATCGTCAACGTGGCAGATGGAGCCAGATTCAACTCTGACAAGCTCTTCACGCCGTGCAGCTCCAGGCTGAACTCTCGCTTTGGACGAGTCAGAAGAAGCGTAAAGCCCGCAGAAGAAAGCGGCTTGGCAAAGGCTCCGCCAGCACTGGCTGAAGCCGGCGCCACAGAGGAGCTCTTCTGCTTTCTTTTCTTGCTTCCTTCTTCGGGGACCATGGGTGCCAATCGACGGTACACAACAGACAACTGGTCGTCCTTGTGAAAGTCCTCGACTACGGATTTATTGTTGGGAAGTCGGATTCGCAGGCGACAGAGCTGCTCCGGAGGGATAGACTTCTTTTTGGTGGGTGCTGCAGCCGCTGCCGGAACCGCTGCAACCTTTTGGTCCGATGGCGCCGCAGCGGTATTGCCGAGAGCGCTGCCCGTTCCCCAACTGTGATTCTTGCTGCCAAACTTGTGTTTTTGGCCAGGTGGCGCAAACACGTTGTTCCCCAGCCCAGGCGGAACATGACCGCCACCAAATTGTGGTGGGCCGCCGCCCATCGCAAACGGAGGACCCATTGGGCCGGGGGGCAGGTCATCGTCACTATCCATCGAATCGTCGTCATCACCAGAGTCATCCCACATATCGTCATCGTCTCCGCTGCCCTGGTCCCACATGGAACGCAGGGACGCCTTCTTGCTGGGAGGTTCCTCGCTGTCGACGGCTGTGAGAGCTTTGAGCTGTGCCTGTAGGCGGCCGGCTTTGATGAAGTCACCTTCCGTCGCGGCTTCTTGGATTGAACGCTGGAGATCCTCCAATCGCTTGACTTCTTCTTGTAGTTGCCCAGCCAGCACGTAATCGCCACTGCTCGCAGCCTTTTGCATTTTTTGGCGCTTTGTTTCCACAACATTTCCACCTTCTGTTTTGGAAGCTCCCGATGTACTTCGCTTGGAAGCTGACGATGGGGCCGGTTTGGAATCCATTGCCTCTTGTGGAGGTGGTTTTGGCGTGGCTCTTGCCGGCATTTTCAAGTCGCCTTCCTCTTCGGTGACCATTGCGTTGCCCTTGGCGGCGGCGGGTTTTGGAGCATCACCAAGCGGAGGAATCTCTGACAGCACCTCTTCCAGTTTGGGCAACAATGTCTGCAGTTGATCAATCGACAAGCTTCCTTTGATGACATTGCGGTTTCTACTGTAGGCGTAATCCGACATCCACATGCGAACCTCTGCCAGAACAGCCTCACGATTCTGCGCAAAATGAGCTTGAATAATCTCCCCAAATGCCCGGAACATGGCGTCTTTCTTCTTGCTGCCCTCTTCGTCTTGTAGAATTCGACAGGCCGCTTTTAGCGGCTGAATCATGCCATATTTGGTAGTTCCGACTCGAATGAGGTCTTCAAAGATGACCACCTCGGGTGGGACCCCGACTTCGGCTTGCACTTTTGCGCCCGCCAAAGTCTGTCCATTCTGCTGAAAGGCCCCGTCTTTGACCGTCCCTTCCCAACCACCATGACCTGGCTCGAGGTAGAAGGGGTGCTCCACACCCAAGATGAGTCCTTGGATGGATAGCAGCACCTGTGCCATGGAACTGTGCTGTGGGTTCCACTTCTCGCCAGACCAAGTTCCCAAAAGCGAGAGGCAGACCTTGCCACATGCATACAAATTGGGGCCTGCACGCCACGAGCCACCTCCAGTTGACAGGAACTGGACCTTGGGTGATACTTGGGGATAGTCGTTTGGAACATAAATGTCAAAGGCAAACAACCCCCCCGAGTAGGGAGTGGGCCCGGGAAGAGGTCCTGCCATGAGAGCACGAATATATTGTGGAGTTTCTTCGTCAAAGCGCAACCAAATGCTGCAGTTTGGGTCGCTCGGCAAGGAGTCCTTGAGTCCGTCCAATTCTTTGAATAATCGTTTGAGGCATTTTGGGACTGCCATGCCATCACCGGCCATTCCCTGTTTCGCAAAATAAGAAGACTCACGGATTCCTTCCGCTCCCGCACATCGAGGGACCCGTTCCAGAAAAGCTTTCCATTCGGGAGTGGCAACAATGGTGGGTCGGATTGGAATGGGTTGTTGATCAACGACGACAGCGGATGGCTTTTGGTTTCCCCATTCCTCTTCTGTTTCCATGTCCGACGATGATTCCTTGCTTTGGGCTTCCACCATGGGAATTTTGGCTGGCGGGGCTTCCACATCCATGGCAGTGTCATCTTTGGGTGGTGCCGCTGCTGAGTTTTTGACACGCGCCATGCGAGCACGAGCGGCCGCTGCGAGTTGTTCCTTTTGGCTGCCGGGATCGACGGGAGTGGCAAAGGGCTTTGGAAGAACCTTCTTGGGAGAAACTTCTCCTCCTCCAACAGCCGTCGATCGAATCGTAATTCCCGCAGCAAGTCCCTGTTTGGCTTCTTCTTCGACCTTGGCATTGAGCAAGGCTTCGCGACGCTCCTTGGCCTCACGGCGCTTCTCCTCGTCTTCTTCCCATCGCTGTTTCGCCAAAGCCCGTTCCGCTTGCTTGGCCTTTTTCATGGCCTTGGCTTTGGCAACCCGTCTCGCACGGTCTTGTTCACTCAAAAAGGGCGACGAATTGTCGTTGTTGTTGGCAGCAGCATTGGACGCCACCGGTTTGCTGGGTTGTTGCGGTTGCTTTGGCGGTTCGATCCATGGCTCCAATTCCTTTTGTTTGTTCTCCAATCCATTGCAAATGACGTGGATCAAGGCATGTGCGGGAGTTTCTTTTGGTGGTTCCTGCGTGTTGTCATCTTCCAGGTACAATTCCAGTGCATTGCCAGTGGTGGCCTGCTGTCCCGGATTGTAGACGAGGAACTGATCATTTTCCATGTGTTTCTCGACAAATCCCGCCATTCCCAAGATATCCAAGGCGCCTTCGACCTTGACGATTTGTTGTTGAATTTTGGCATTGCTCAACCGGACGCGACGATACTTCTCGTCTGTCTTGAGCGCATTCTGAAGAAGCTTGACCAAGATCTTGGAGGACGTCACCACCGTGGCGGGTGAATTTTGGTCGTGAAACTCGGCGAGAACATTCGAAACAATCACTTCACGCAGAGCGTCGTCACTCGTTACCGCGGCAGAAGACGCGCTCATGGTGGCGTTGTTGTTGTTCGACATGATTTGTTTGGATTTTCTTTCGCAGCGTGAGGGACGATTCGATTCCACGCAGAATGGCAAGACGACAATGAAATTTCTCTTGTTTCTTCGCCTTTTTCTCTGACTGACAAGCGCTTCACAGGGACGTCTCTTACAGTGATCACTGATATGACAGTATCTGAACCCTCGAGCTTGTTCGGTATTCTTTGTGGGCGACAACGACTTGGACTTGACCTGACTTACTTGATGACTGCTGCTAGCTTGCTGGAAATGATAGATTTGCCTTGTTTGTGTCGTGATTTTTGAGCTTCTCTTCTCTCAAACGTCTGAAACGTGGAGTTGGGATCGCAGGCGAGGTCCGAACTCCCAAATCTTTTCTGTCCACCTTCTTCGAATCTGCCGTGACACACCAGCGAAGCGTTGCAACCTGCTCCAAGGGCTGCCAAGTATGGCACAGTACCGGGATGGACTCCGTATCCAACCATACAGTCCTTTGGGGGGCCGTTGGAAAGCTGAAACAAACACCGGGAGAACGGATCGAGGGGCTCGAATATGAGCATGTCGTGGATCCGCACCAGGCCTCACTCCAGGTCCTACTCCTAGCTAGACCTTCTCGCTAGGCCAAGTGCTGGACCTACAGTACCTATACCTGGACTTACACCTGGCCCAATTGAAACACCTACTAGTTCACCTGACCCAACTCCTGGACCAAACTGGGGCCCATTCCAGGTCCCACATCTCTATGCAACACCTTGATCCATCTACCGTGAGGGCTAGACCCAAGCATCACCGCAAGTCCCATTGCCCTCCTGGACACGGTTACACGTATACCAATGCTCTGGGATACATGACCAACTCCATGGCCAACTCCAGGTTCAAACTATGGGATATTCTCCTTGCCATACTCCAGGATTCATACCAGGTGCACTACGCTAAAAGCTAGTGTAAAGATCTTTCGAGTGTTTTGAGTTTGAGAGAATGAAAGTTATGAGAGGATTAGAAAGCTATTACAACTAATCAACGAGAGAGATCCCACAATCAAAGGATCGAGATCTGAACTCCCGCGTAAGACTGTAAATAGGGTTGAAATAGAGTAGGTGCGTCATTCATCTACTCACCCACGATCCCAAAAACACCGGAACGGCGTGGAGAGATTCGTGAGCTCTAGTCAATATCAGCGGCTTGGCAGTACTCCACGCTGGCTAAATATCAGAGCGATGTCTCCCATCATCAACCTATATACCTAGAGCGGTCATTGAGAATTCTGTCTCCAATGACTATCCGAGAGCAGCTAAAGTCATGAGTCGAAATCAGACCCTATCTAGGATCGAGTCGCCGAGAGACACGCTCAAGAGACGTGTATTGCATTCGCCCCCCTGACAAGGAGTCACAAGAAGGCACGACATCAGTCGGGAACAAGGAGAACATTATGATTTAAGTGCGGGGCTCTCTCCGAGATTGGATGTAGACATGATGCGTCGCACGATGGCAAATCCTACGAATAGGTTGGATTGAAGGTGCCTTTGTATGGGTGTAAATATTATGTTCAATGGTAGACTGTCTCCTTTGGGGTAGTATGCGAGCCTACAGTTGCGCAGGATGCTTCTTGGTCGGTAGTAGTTTGTGTATAGCGAAACATGCATTGTTTGTGACATCGCTGCGCTCGGTGACTCGTGTGGGCATGATGCTGTATACGGTTCTGATACTGATGAATCATCATAGGTGTTGACATGGTGTTGATGAAGGGACACTGCCGTGTTCTCCATATCGGTGTTTTCTCTTGGAGGTAAGGTTCACAGTTGGGCGGCGACGTTCTTTATGTATTCCCCGGGTTTAATGCTTGAAACGGAGTGGGTGATAGCTTGTCACGATTGAGCGCTGGAACTTGCGACGAAGTCCATGTTCATCCCGGGAGTCTTCTCGACCTCTACGCGGGACTGACGTTCTCTAAGTCCATTTCTTCGTACATACGGTAGATACTTGGGAACCACTCCTGGTTCAGAAAACGAGGTTACTTCCGTCGCGTCTTGCGAAGGCAGCCCTTGGTAGTTAGTTGGTTCAACGAATCTACGAAGTGTACTTCCTGTTGGTAGGAGAGCGATAGTTGATCGCATTTATTATCTTTTTTTTGTTAAGAGTGTGCTTCCTTCTCGAGAAGTCCAATTGTTCAAAGATACTACCAGTTCTTCCTTCGAGGAATGCCTGGGTATGTGTTGATTTCAACCCCGAACTTCTTGAAGTCTTTGGGAAGGCCATCATCTACTATTCAAACCTCGATCTGCGAGATCGACGTCCTTAGGAATGATTGATCATCGAACGTATGCATCGGACATTCATCTAAGTATGCATTTGCGGCTTCATCCTCTCTTTGAGAAGATGTCGGGGACTATTAAACAGTAGGCCCATTGCAACCCTCTGGTACCATCCGCATTGTGCTTTCCCTTCGGGAGTGCAAAGTGTAAGTGTTGCTTCGAAGTGAAGGTGACAGCCTTCGAGATGTGCGTACGTTCTACGTTTCAGTTAGTACCTGTCCACCTCTGAATCAGCTGGTCTCAAGATGACCATGTTACATCTGTACGTTTTGGGTATAATGGATGAGCGCTTCTCTGCTGATCGTTTGTTCGGTTCCTGCGAAAGCCTCCGCTTATGACTATCGTGGAGGATCCCTTGTTCTCGGAAAATCCAACGTGGTGAACCATGTCCAGAGCTGAAGATGTGAACATTGATAGCGCTGCCAGTCTGCGTGCAGAGTACGTCATTCACCTCCTTTAAAGTGAAATATTAGGACGTAGTAGGTGGACAGTTTAATAGACCTTCGTGGAACCTTAACCCCACTGAGTGCCCCTGTTTCGAAGCGAGAACCGAGCATTTCCGCACTACCTTCTGTACAGATGCGTCCCTACAGATGGACCTAGCGTAGTAGCAAGCCTCACCGGAAAGTTAGAGGATTGTCGGCCGACGATCTTACGTTTTGCTCCCAAAGTTATCTCTCGAATGGGTCGAAGCAATTGGTTGAAAAGGCATGAAGCAGTTCTTGCTCCATTCCTGTTTACGGATTTCGACTCTGGCTTATCTGCCTTAAGCCTATTGTTTCGTATGTCGTATCAGAGAATCTTCTCTGAGACTATCTTCATTGTCGCTGACAGCTCGAGAATCGGAAATGGAGAAGTTCTCCTTTCTATTGGTGTTGCCTCTTTCGGCCGGGAAAATGCTGGTTCACTCCCCACATGACATGGTATTGAAATCAAACTTGATTCTTAGATCGAGAGATGTCTTGACCTATGATCACGTCTTGCGCCCCCAAGTTCTTGGTGACGGTTAAATTCCACTGATAATTCAGCAATCATGGTGGAACTCAGGAATCGGGAGTGTGCCCTACACTTCGTGCGGGTCTAATTCCTTTATAGAAGCAGTCCGTAATGTTTGGACGCCCCCATGATTCTTCATGAGTAAACTCTTAGCATGAGTTGAGCAATTAAAGTTCCGGATGCTTCTTGTATCCAGTAAGCAACAGAGTGGTAACGGGTTTTGTTTCCCCTTTCGCTCGTCTGTTAAATCTAACATAGACGATAGTTTCAAGGTCTTTGTCTTGCGACGTTGAATGAGTTGATTGGCCATGGACGAAGTTAACGATGCTGAACAGATCGTCAGTGTCTAGTTGAGTTACTAGGCAATTATCTAAATTGCCGTAGATCTTAGTTGCAAACAAATCTTGTTTACTATTTAGTGAGATATCTTCATCACTTAGGTATGAGAAATCGAACATGGTTCCTTGAATCATCATCCTGGCCTAAACCTCAGACGGAGATCTCTCCATCCGAATGATTGAAGTCGAATTCGGCAAGCGCCTTGTCGACAGCGGCCATCTTCTTGTCCATCATGTTGATGGATCCAACAGAGGAGTCGTCCTCGTTGTCGGAGTTGTCATACTTGCGCTTGGCAACATGGTTTGCATCGCTTTTCTCTTGCGATCGGCCTTGACCGCAGCTTTGGAACCTTCTTCATGAGGACAGAGAGTTCCTTCTTGGTGTAGGTTTGGCGTCGTCGGACTTGCGTTTCAAATCTTGTTCTCGTTGTACGTTGGTTGTTATCGTTGTCAGACGAGGACTGAGACTTGGCCTTGAGCTTCTTTCGAGTCATGCAGTCAGCAGTGTGTGAGTGCTGGACTCGTGTAGTCGCACCATTTTCTTCGTTCTTGGAAGAGTGGTCGTTGTTGCGAGTAGACTGTACTTCTTGCTGTGTTTCTTCGTAGGAGCTTGCTTGGCAACCGCCCTTGTCAAAGTCTTCGGAGAATTCCATGCGTTCGCAGAATCCAATGGTTTCCCCGATAGGAGCTGAGAAGGGATCGAAGTCGTGTTCGTCCATCTTCTTCATTCCACGAGCGGGAATTCCATGACAAACAATGTCAATGACTTCGTCATGGTTCAACGTTTGGTTGGGTCCAAAAGGTGGTAGACGAGGAAGTTCATCGGTGTTCATCCGACTGAGGTGTTGACATAAGCGAGTAGATCTCAGCAGGCTTACCATCTTGCGGCGCATGAAGCGTTTCTGCTTTTCAAGAGCCTTGTAGGGACAGACCGCTTCGATACAGGCATTTATGCCAAACGTAATGTCAGCGTCGTCCAAAGCAGGCTGAGCTGCTCCGTTCCAGGCAGCCTGGAAACGTGCTTGGAAAGTGGCTTCGTCTTCACCGCCACGTAAATCGCGTGGAGGAATCGCGTTGACTGCAATCTGGCGCAAGGCATTCCAACGTATTTCACGATGGCCTGCACAGCTAGATTCGTAACTGCTCTTGGCAGAGCTAGAAGTCATCTCCCTGAGGAGGTTATGTTTGTCGTCAGGCGTAGCAATGGCGAGCCCGACGAAGACCTTCTCCATACGTCCAGCCCACTTGATGGTCTGACGTGGAGTCTCAGATCCATTGATGATTTGGACCTTGAAGGTGTACTTGGCGCTGTTAGCATCTGCTGGAATAGTGCGAAGTTTGTAGGTGGTAGAGCGAGAATCGTCGATTTCGCATTCATCATCGAGGTCGATGAGAGGAAGGATTTGGTTTGTCACGCAGCTTGACTCGAAGCTGGTGTATGCGTCTTTGGCAATCTTCATGGTGAAGGAATAGGTTGAGGTAGCTGAAAGCTATTGTGTTTGTTAACAAAATGCACTACGCTAAAAGCTAGTGTAAAAGATCTTTCGAGTGTTTTGAGTTTGAGAGAATGAAAGTTATGAGAGGATTAGAAAGCTATGAAAAACTAATAAACGAGAGAGATCCACAATCAAAGGATCGTAGATCTGAACTCCCGCGGGAGACTGTAGAGTGAGATAGAGTAGGTTGCGGTAGCAATCCTACTCACTCCACGATCCAAAAACGGAACGCGTGGAAGATTCGTTTAGCATTTATCTAGTAGCGTGGAAGTACTCCACGCTGGCTAAATATCTAGAGCGATGTTTCATCATCAACCTAGTATGACTAGAGCGGTCATTGAGAATTCTGTCTCCAATGACTATTCGCGAAGGACTATGTCATGAGTCGAACTCAGACCCTATCTAGGATCGAGTCGCGAATAAGGCTAAGAGCCGTGTATTGCACAGGCATAACCCCAACACCCACTTTGGGCATCCCTCTGGGTTCCACCCTGGACCGTCCAACGGTTTTCCCTCAGGTTTAAAAAAACTTAAAATATGGCAGTGGAAACATTCCCCTAAACATTCCCTTAAAACATTCCCTTAAATCCTCAACATTCCCTTAAGAACATTCCCTTAAGGCTTTGAAACAATCCTCTAAGCCTTCATGTAAACCCCATGGAACATTCCCTTAAAAAAATGAACATTCCCTTAAATAAACATTCCCTTAAAACATTCCCTTAAATCCTCAACATTCCCTTAACATTCCCTTAAAGCTTCAACATTCCCTTAACATTCCCTTAACGAGAACCATGATTTGAGCAGTTTTTAAACCTGAGCAAAAACCGTCGGACGGTCCTGGAAGACGCGGTAGTTATTGAATCGTGCTTAATTCTGCTCACGTTTGGTCCCCAAAGGTGCCTGGGTCGGGTAAGCATTTGTTGCTGAACCCAGCAGATATTTAAATTTTCTGAATTTTGCTGATATCAGTAATTTTCAGCAATTCATATTCTTAATTTAATTTTAAACATGTCACGAATGCTGAATCTTGCTGAAATCGTACTGAATCGTGCTGAACGCTGCTGAAAAGTACTCAAATCACTAACCCTACCGCTGTTTTGAGCAATCGATTCAGCAATTCAACAACAACGAGGCAACAATGGATGAGCGACGTTCTAAACAATGACGGCAATCTACTTTATATTCTAAGGGTATGGGTCGAGGAGTCGCTGTGTGCCATTGTTGAGTTGGAACTGGACGAGGCAGCAGACGGCATGCGTCGCTAGACGATGCTGCTCAAGCCAATCCTCCCCCATCCCTCGATGTCGAAACTTTTGCTTCATGATTCCAAAGCACTTGACCCGTTGATTGAAATTTTCATGTCGCGAGAGCACCCTATCTTTGAATTTGGAGATGGGTTTGGGATCAAGATCGTTCTTGGTGCTGATATAATCAGTTTCTGACGCATATATACCATCAGCAATCAATCGCCGACCAGCAGGGAGCTCAGCCTTGAGCTTGCTCCGAAACACCACAAGATCATTCATCTTGCCAGGTGGGGTGGGACCGTGAACCCAACCAAGCTGTGGCTTGTGGATTAGCATGCCAAATTCATAATTCAACGCCGGTTTGCCTCCAAATTTGTGGCTGCTCCATTTCTTTGAGAAAGGCCTTGGCTCCTCAATTGGACAATGTATCCCATCAATTGACATGAAAAAGATGAGCCCATCATGATTGTCGTGTATAGACCCCATCAAAACTGGTAGGTAGTGGGCAATTCTCTTGAGGTATTGTCTTGCCCATCGTCTCACTGTCTTCTCCGTTTTGATGTTGAAGAACGTAGCAAGATCAGCTTCTGTATGGTATTTGAATAAATGACGAATGGCAATGAGCAAATGTTTGGGTTTTGCCGTTTTCGGAAGCCTCACGACGGGATCGTCACTGTCTCTCAGGGCTTTCCATACATCCTCGACTGTTTGGGGCTTCATGCCAAATTGCTGCTTGAATCGATGAATGCATTGTTTTGGCTTATATCGTTTCCAGTTGTGAAATCTCGCATACCGGAGCCCCAAGCCCATGAAGTGACGGGCCGAGAAAAGCTTGGCTCGACCTGTTTCTGTCTCCGCCATCTTGTTGTTGTGAAGCAATGCTGGGATATCTTGCTTCAGATTTTGGGTGCGGGGTGGCTTCTCCAACCAGATTCTTTTCTTTGGGAAGAGGCTGACTTGCAAATCCGTCTTATGTGACACAGATTTGGCTCTGCCGCATGGTTTTGCTTATGTGACATCTTGCTTTCGATTATTTTAGCTGACGACGTGGCAAACTGGCATCCTCGAAAGTCCTTTTTGCCTGAATCCGCCTCAATTCCAATTTCTATCACTCACTCTCCTACCACAATGAGGAACAAAGAAGGAGCCAAGAGTAAGAAGAGCGACAAGAGTAGCGACGCTCCACTCAAGAAAGCTATCAAGAACCAGCTCATCTGAGACATCGAAGCACATCCTAATCGTTCTTGTGCATCTATCATTGCGATTCGGCCGGAACTGTATGGTGGAAAGTATAAGAGAGCGACTCAGAACCGCTTCAACTATCTTGTTCGAGTGAAGAAAAACAATCCGACGCTCTACTATCGTACCCTTGCTGAAGCCGGCAGTGGTCCCGTACCAACAGTAGCTGACATTGAGAGCGAGGAGGACGACGAGGACGTGCTTGGCTCTGTGGCTGGAACAAGAATTCCAGGAGACTTATCTTTGGATTCGGACGACGAAGACATCCTGTCCAAGCCTGATCAACAGTTTCGTGCAACACCAGTCAAGCCTCCAGCATCGGCAAAGAAGTCATCTACAAAGAAAGCCCCTGCTCTTGCTCTTTCTTCGCCTCCACCTCTAAGTGAAGTAAACATCACCTCAACACCTCACACTCCCCAAGCATCCTACAAAGCTCCCTTTCTTTCACCCCTTTCAGCGGCCATGAGTACGATTCAAGATCATGATGGGCCTCTAGCCACGGGAAAAATTCGCTTCAGCACGATCGAGCAAGCAATTGAATATGCTGACTACTGTCTTGACAACTATGAGTTTGATTTGCCTGAAGACAACGCTCATGGTCTCTTCATCCAAAAGATCGATGATGTGAAGGTCGCTCCTACAGAGCTCGGGACAAAGCTGAAGGTGATGCATCCCTTCTTTGTTGACCTTCGTGATTTTGAACGTGTGTCTGCTTTCATTGTCTGCCAAGGAACTGGTTTGATGATCACTCTGAATACGCTCCCACACTACGTGACTCATGAACATGCTGCTCTCCTCCAGACCGAGAAAACAAACTGCGAACGCACCAAGGATAAGACAGCTGAAGTCCTTACATCTATCATCGATGATGACAGCCGTTCTCTCAAGCGTATTCTTTTGTTGGTCCCTCCTGGTCATGGACTCTCTGTCGATTTCACAGAAAATATTCCCCGGTTTGACACGAAAGTGCATGCAAAAATTCGTGAGAAGACAAGCAAATTCACCGTCGGAAAGGCTACTCGTCAAGTGCAGCAGGTTTTCTTCAACCTCTATTGGCAGGTTCGTCTTGTCAAACAGAAGCGCCAGATCCTTATGGGCCGTCAGGATGATGACATTGGAATTGAAGATGCCTTTGAAGGTATGATGGGCTTGGGTGGCAATTAGATAGAGTGTGATTAGTCAAATTGTTTTCTAATTTGTTCCTCCGTCATCTTATAATACAGATTGTCGAATCACAGGCAATGAAGATGTGGTTTTTGCCGAACCTACACCGGTTGCAGCTCCAGTTCCAGCTCCAGTTCCATCAACGATGTCTTTCGTGTCCTCATTTGCCAAGTCGAGTCAGCAGCAGCCACCTGCGGTGTCCTCGATGGCATCAACCGTCAAAGCCCCTTTACCGGTATCATCTTTGGCGGCGGCAGCAGCGAGAGCTGGTGCACCAGTGCCAGCCCAAAACAATGGCTCCATTCCATCCTTGCCACAAGTGCCTGCCCGTACCGATGTTTTCGGAACCATGTCATTTCCGAGTGTACCAACTCACAATCCTGCCCAGCAGCAACCAGTTCCTGCGAAGACCTTTTCGGCGGGGGCAAGCCCTCCTCTTGCCCCACTTCCACAGCTCGGAGCTTCTAACAAAGTAGTGCGCGAAACTGGTCGCTATGCAAATGCGAGTGCTCTCCGGGTAGAACGGAATGAGTTGGCTGGCCGAACCCGCGATCGAAAGAAAGCCGAGAAGCTTGCAAAAGCTCGAAAGATTCAGCAAATGCGAGCGAACATGGAACAGATGCAACAGCAAGCAGCACAGAAAGAGGAAGCACGTCAAGCTGAACATGAAGCATTTGATGAGAAAATTGAGCAAATTGAGGAAGAATTCGAAGAGACGCACAATGAATTCACTAATTTGGAAGCTGAGCTGAATAGCTAGAATGATAATAGTAATGATAATTGTATGGGCTAAGCATTCTATTACTCAACTAGATCTAGCTACTAGAGCTATCATCACGTTGTTTCTCCATGTAGGAAATTGTTTCTGAAGTGAGCACCGTCTCTCTTGGTTGGAGCCCGAATTTAGCTCGAATCTGTTTCTTTTGGAAGCGTACTTTTTGGGAGGCTCTACCATCGATTTCTTGGTAGATGCGCTTCCGGAAGATCTCTAAAGGGAATTCTTTGTATTCATCTCGAGTTTCCCAGAGTTCCATCGGCTTCAACCCAACTTGACGATTATTGTCAATGTCATCTTGCAACAATTTGTGTGCTTTGTGCTTGTGCCATTGAGGGTAACCCAGAGGCCTTGGAGGATCTTTCTTACGCAACTCAGCTAGCACAGCCATGTCATGCCCAAAATATGTGGCATCAGACGCCACTCGTTCATATTCTCTCTTGATTTTTGCTCGTAGATTGGAGAGGTTGGTCTGGAAATTGTTGAATATGTAGTTCGATTATTCTGGTCGCATCGCATAGACTTTACGTACTCCCATTGAAGGAGGAACAACACCACTGACTATATCTGCACGGAGGAGCTCTTTAGCTTTGCTAGCTAGATAACCATGCTTCATCAGCGTCGTCGTCGCCTTTGGTCTCAGTCGCCATGGTGACTGCTTGCTGATTGTGTTTGATTACTGTTGCTGAATATTGCTTAATGCTGCTTACTGTCTGCTGTCAATAATTGAATTTTGCTGAAATATGCTGATGCGTGATTAAATTATTCAATTTTCAGCAGATAAGTTCTGACAGGTGCTGAATTTTACTAATCCGGGCTCAGCAACAAATGATGACCTCACCCCAGCGCATTTGGAATTTTGCACCCGGGACTAAAAATATAAGCATGATTCAATAACTACCGCGTCTTCCTGGACCTTCTACATGTACTACTGTAGCTCTAGCTAGAGCTTGTACTACTACAGGGCAGTATTAAAAAATTAGCAGGCTGGCTGAGAGAATTTCCATTCTATTATTGTTATCTCTTTAGATACCGTACCATTGTTTCTAAATCTCTTGATTACCAGCTGCAAAAGATCCACCACCAAACCTTTCTCACTTCGAGTCTTCGAGGGCCATGAGCTAGGACGAGGCCATGCAGCAGCCATGCCAGTGAACCCATCTTCCGGTTTGGGCAGACGCAAAGGCCAAAGGAAACAACCAGAAGTACGTTGGCAGTATGTTTCATTGGTGTTGAGTTTGGCTGTGGTCTCATTGGTCACTTTCCTCCTCATCACGTCGGGAGACTGCAACAATTGCAGCAGTGCTGTCCCAAAGAACAACATTGATGCTGACAAAGAACCACCCGCACGAAAAGACACCGTGGTCAATGAGTTTCCTGGTGGTTTTGGACATACGCTATTGCTAACATTTGAAGAAGAATTGGGTGTCATCAAAATCCGTCTCAGGGCGGAGCTGTCACCCGAAAGCATCGATTACCTTTATCAAATCATTCTCAGTGGCAAATGCCCACGTTGCAGTATTTATCGAGCTCAAGACAAGGGTGATATTCTGCAAGGGATCATCAAAAATCCCGATATTCCCAAGGAACAAGTGGTCAGTATTCCAAAGGGACCCTGCCCGGAGGAAATGCTAGACCATCCAGATCCAGATCTACCGGAATGCCACGGTCCGATCTTGACGCATGGCATGATTGCCTGGGTAGGAGGTTCCACAGGTCCTGACTTCTTTATCAATTGGTACGAAGAACCACAGCATCGTTGGGGCGCTCGGCACACTGTATGGGGTGAGATTGTACTGGATGACGAGGAAACTGTGGTTGTGGTTGAGAAACTACGACGATTACCAGTTCATAAAAAGAAGGGGACATCATTGACTGACTTGGATAAGTCGGTCAAGTTTACCATGTCGTTGCAATAGTGTAAGAGCAAGCTTCTCTGCGGACTTCTTTGCATGGCTGCTGGAAATGCAGTCGCGGTTGTCTGGTTTGCAGTGATGATTGGAATTCTGACTTCCTCCCTCAGATTCGATTCATTGACTCTTTCTTGGCTACTTTAGCTTCAAGCGTACATTTGAGACCTGTGCTCGTGCCCGTGACGATGAAGTAAGTGGGTTGGGAAGGAGCACGAAGCAAGACTACTTTTTGCTCAATTTTGTGGCGCTAAAGCCTTGGTTGTTGGTAGCCACCGATAGCATTCTGGGAACCCGTGTCTGGCCCAGTTGTACCAAACAGAAGCTACAATCATTTTGAATGTTCCAAGAGACGAGCAGTAACTTTTCTCGGGACCAGGAAGGTTGGCGCCACTTGCCTGTACTGTGGGATAATATGGGACGTAAAGAAGACACAAAGCTTCAGTGCGAAGAGTATCACACCACTACCGGTACCGTACTCCTTGAGCAGCTAGCTAGCAAAACGTTTTATTTATGACATTTTTCGACGTGAATGTTGGCCTTTGTGCTCCAAAATTCTATAGTGCAGCCATATTGGTGCCGTCCCATGAAGCTGTCAACAATAGCACCAACCAAATACATGTAGAGACATCATTTCTACGGATAGAATCCCAACATCGTCTTCCCAACAATAGAATTCCGTCTCCTTTTCTAGAAATTTTCACACAGTAACCTCCATTTCTTTATTTGTTCATTGTCGTCTCCCTCCAGTGTTCGGTTCGGTTGAAAGGAACCACCTGCTTCTCCTCCATTTTCTCCTTCCTCCATGTTCATTTTTCTTTGTTGTTTTTGTTGCATATCAATGAGTTTTTCTAACGAAACCACGGTTGCGCCACTAGATAATCATCTAATTTTTGTTCAAAATTGGTGGCATTGATATTTCCTTCGGTAGGTCGATACAAGGGCGACCGAATGACACACTGCACCCACAATTCCTTGTAAATGTGTTCGAGACTCTTGCAAATCGTATCTCCTTCCGACGGCGGCGCCATGGGATTGGGTGTCATGTAGACGGCCACTCGCATTCCCGAATTGGTTTCGTAATTGTGAATGGTACTGGCACCCGTCTGAACGGTATGCAACGCCGTCTCTTCCGATGGGCTGAGTGAAGCAATGACTTCGCGCAAGGAAAAGAGCATTCCAAAGACGAGTTTGCGTTGTTCTTCCAATTGGGCTTCGTCCGAAATCGACTCGGCATCGGCTTTGCCGTAGCGTTTGGCAAACATGGTCTTGCCCTTGCGATCAAATACTAAAAAGGAATGGACTCCCATGGTGTTCTTTGTTTATTGTATTGATGGTGATGGATTGATTGACGATGGTTGATGGTGGTGTGGTTGTTGTTGTGTTGTTGTTGGAGAAGAAGTGGAGCTTCGGAAGATTGCTGCTGTTCGACCGTTATTGATCCAAAGGGAAGATCTTTCTTAGGGCTGAGGCTAAATCTTGATGTCCAACAAAAACGGGTGGACGTTGGCGTCTCACAACTGCTTCACAAACACCCTCCTGTTGTGTCAATTGCCAGCTGTCAATGCAAAAGTACAGTACAACCCACCATCAAAGCCCCACAGCATTGACTTGTAATCAAGGCTTTTTCATTAGACAGATCGCGATCCGACAGAAGAAAAAAGATAGACAGGCAGAATTCCCAATGACAAGACAATGGCACCCTCATCCAACTGCCAATGGGCGTTGGACAAGAAGATTCTACATTCTTTGCTTATTGTCACTGTCCGGGTGCTTATCGGGAGTGACTGTCGCCAAGAAATCTACTAGTACAACAGCAGCAACCATAGAATCACCGTATGCACAAGATTTGAATGATTGGGTTCGAGCACGCTGCAACAACGACAACGACAACGATATAGCACTGTGGGTGTATCAAGGAGCCTTGGTGGATCCTTTGGAAGGACGCAAAATTGCCAACGTCCAAGGACTCGAGATTGTCCGATGTATTGCCAATGTGGGAACAACAACAAGTCCACAAGACAGTAAACGCCTCTACCAACAACAATGTGGAGATTTACAAGTCGCCAAATTGATTGGACAGGCCAATGCCACCTTTGATCGAGTCTCGACCATTCTTTCCAGAAAATTATTTTGCTATCAACCACCCGATGGACCACCACAACTACAACAACAACAACCCAATACTAATAATACTAATCAAGAACTACTCCGACAAATCAAATTGAGACCCAATGCACCCAAACGATACATTCCCATACAACAATCCATTGCCGTATACGATACGGCCACTACGTTTATTGCTCGTGGAGCACAACTCATTGCACATACGGAATGGCCCGATCGACAGTCCATTTGGGGAATGGTCACACGGACTGCTACTACTACTACGACACCAACTACTAATGCCGACGACCAAACTACGACCAAATCCTTTGAATTTACCATTTTTGCCAGACTCAAATCACTCAAAACGAAACCAGAAGAACTCTTTGACTTGACCACCACAGTACCGCCCACAGACGACAGCAACAACAGTCAAGTAGATGCTGCCGTTTCGTCACCCAAGAGATCCAAACTCATTGAATTTGGTACTGGAAGTTCTCGCAGCAAGGACAAGTTTGGAGCGCGGGAAACCTATTCCTACACCAACATTCCTGCTTCAGGATCACTAGCACCTCCTACTCGTCGTGGGTGGTGGGGGCGACCAAAAACTGCTACGACTACTACGCCACCGCAAGTCCGCTACTCGCGCTATGGAGAAGGACCACCGTTTGTCGGCCCGGGGCGAACATGTACCTTGGAATTGCAAGGAAAGCGTGTTTCCAGTGTGGATGATCTGCCTCCCTTTTTGGCAAATGTCGTGGCGGAACGCTTGTCACCACGCTTCTTGACCAGTGTCATGAATACTAGTAGTAGTAGTAGCGAGCTGCCACAATGGTTCCGCCAATCAGAACGACTGCTTCAAATCCAGCCGGACGATGACAATGAAAAAGCAAGATTGCTGCCAGAGCAGTGGAGGGATCGGGGCCAGAAAGCATGGCATCAGGTTCGACAACGAGTTTCGACACTATTTGGCTAGCTAATAGCAAAATGCAGCAAGAGTATAGGAACGGGAGGGCCAAATTGAATCAATCGGACAACTTGGTTGGAAATCAAGGCTAACACGATCAAAAAGCTGATGGATGGATAGTGAGACTGTGGACTACGGTATGCTAACATACGTTCAAACTGAATCAATCATCAGGGATGTGCGTCAAATTGCAAATGACGGCGAAAGAAAGTAACATTCGCTTGGATTCCGAAGATTGGCTCCCTCTCTTCATCCACGTCTTTCAACGCTAGCCATAACCACAGACTTGTCGCTAGCACCACCACGGCTATTAGCAGGATAATGAGACCCAAAGCAACCCCAGGCTTCTTGGACCATGGTCGCTGTTGTACCCTCCTTTGGCGGTCCTCCTCTGCCGTTCTTGCCCCGACCCGTGCAATGCCCCTCTCTAGTAGATCATCCGAAGAAGTGTCCAATGTGGACAGAGTAGTGTCATCGTCAGCATCCACAGCTATTGTTCCGTCAAAGCTGCATTTCGTGTCGTGCACAGCTTTTGGGTGGCATGGCTCTTTGATCCTCGTCTTGTCGTCATCATTGGAACCAACAGTGCAGCAGTCTTGTGTTGTAGCTTTAAATTCGTCGTATTGTGGTTGGAGTGCCATCCTATGCGCTATTTGTTTTTGTGGATCTTGTTCTTTGTACGTTTGAGAAACCATTGTGGATTGATTGCTTTTGCGGATGCTGTAAGGTATCGTGTTTTTCTGTCATTTTTTGTGTGCTGGTAGTTACAGTAATGATACTTTCCAATGACTAGCTTTTCCAGGGGCTAGTAACGAATTGTTAGGGGCTTCTTTACAAGGAAGCTCGGCTTGCTCTCATAACCGTCCACACACAGCTCACACTCAGCTCAACGAGCACAGGTTGAAGATGCGAATGGATTCGGATGCTCGTGAGGTGACCTATCGGCCAAAGACTCATATTATTATTCGTTTTGAAGATGATGTTGTTAACTCACTTCCGAATCAATTGCGAACAGGCACTCCAATGGGATCCTGAACCGGACATTTCGACCTTCATCGTTGTGATCAAGGTTGCAGCACATGTGGGCGGTGGATTCACCACGTTCATCTTAACGAATAGAACGTCGGCGGGGGCAAGGAAGAATTATTCCTCCGGATTCAGCACCATTTCGAAAGTAACACAATTCGACATCGCATTGGAGACCCGCATAACACAGCTGTCGAGGGACATGCCTCTAATTGGGTTTTCTGCCTTAGAGACATTTCTTTCCGGACACAAGAGACCATTTGCTCATGCTGGGTTGCAGCAAGGCACAATGGCAAAAGGCCCATTTCGCGCGATTTGACGCGCACAGACTGGCTGGACTCGCTCGCTCGGTCGTGTGGTCGCCAACAATCGCGCGATCCGTCGTGTCGTCGTCGCCAACATGCAATTGCGCCCTCCCCACGTTTTATTTCAGTTGTTGCACACGGTGGACAACACACTCGAAACACAGGGCATAAAAATACAGAAGAGAGAACCACTCGACGCAGAGAAAGCAACACCAACACCATGCAGACAAACACCCCGAAAGAAGCCGAACGGTGCACATCACCGCCAAATCTGGCAGCAATTAGCGGCAGCTCTAGCATGGCAACCCCCACTTCACAGGCGGACTCAGATGAACCAGCCGTAGATCCTTACTTCGTGACACTCTTCAAAAACCTTACGCCACCAAAAAAGGTTAACGTTCCCAAATGTCAGCGGCTATCAAAGCGGTTCGGAATTGATTGGGACAATTGTGATGACGAGCAAAAGAAAGTGCTATCTTTCCTCTTTGATAGAGGGGTTCACGGATGTCTGGAGGAAGGCAAGTTTCGGCCGGGGGAAGATAAGACGGCTGCTGTCGGGGAGATGCTGCGACAAGCTATGAACGACAACGAAGAGATTGGGAGACGTGTGAAGGTCATGGTGTATGAGCGCGGCCACAATTTTTTTTCTAAAGTGCCTGACCATGTGCAGCACTATCAAGATTTTTTGAATGAGCGCCCGGAGTGGCGCGGAGACCCCGATGATCCACAGCAGGAATCCGAGGACTTTGTCAACTTGCTAGAGGAACCCTATGGTTTGGAAGTCTTCCAGCAAGTACAATTGTCCGGTAATTGTTATCTTCATGCTGCGGTGCTTGCGTACCACTATCTTTGTTGCTGGCACAAGTTGAATGGTGCGGAAGACCGAATCATCGATATTCCAAGGTTCATGAGGCACACATTTTCAGCAAAGGATATCAAGGACCACTTGTTTGACAACGAGGGTGGGCGAAGCGAGAACATTCTAGTTCGTCTTGCAGGACACATGGTTACTCCAGAGTCCCCGCTACGCCATGTCAACAAGGAAGATTGGCTCCATAAATTGAACAGGCGCAAGGTCGAGGATATGAAGATGTACGGGCCGAAATTGTTTTCTAATGTTTTGCTCCCGAAGGATTTCGGACAAGCGCATTCGTACAAGGGAGACACATCCACTTTTTTCACCCCCGAGGAACGAAACGATCCTAAGATAGACACTGGTCGCCACGCCATGTTGATCGTGGGGGTCCGAAAGGATGATGCTGGTAAATGGCTCTTTCTATTTCAGAATTCTCACGAGCAAACTCAGTTCTTTGAAGCTGATTACGATTGGGTTGTCGAATCACTGGGAACTCCCTATTATCTTCATTTCGACAGGGGGGACTGGAACTCACCAAGTTTTGAGAACCCGTACTTCAATACTGATGACCTTATGATTTATTCACAAGCGTCTCCAGCTGTCGACAAAAGTGTTAGCAGTGATCAAACGAAGAGCTTCTTCTACTCAGAGGGAACTGAACATATCAAGGAGCCTCCAGTGGCTGGTGAGTCCGTCCTGCACTAATCTGGGGAGCGGACTGGATAGCATTGGTGTATCGTCTCACCTATGCGAAGAATGCTTACTATGTTAAAAATATTCTACACCATTTTCCTGTTCTAGGATTTCTTGTTTAAGATTGTCATACTTTTCCTCGACTAGATCATCCGATAAATAGCGAGATTCGAACAGAGGTGGCAGTTCTACCTCAGAATCTGAGATGAGGAGACCTCGGATGTAGTTATTCCCCCGTTGACTTAGCCGTTTAACGTAGATCATTTGCTTAATGCCACCTTCTTGCCAGATGTCATGGAGGACATTGTCGATCTCATCGGGAGGTGACGGGAGGTAAAATGTTAAAGCCATTGTGCTCATAGTTTTACTTGATGTCAAACTTTATCATCCAAATCAAATTTATGACATGACGACAAAACAGTGGAGTTTCACCATCTATTACAATTACAACTTCAAAGAGAAGGACAGGAAGTCGGTTCGGACGCGGGATTGGGCTGAAGCACAAAGGGAAAAGACACTGGGTTTCCTAGAGAGGTTATTCGAAAATAAGGCCAGGTTCTCCTGTATCGCCAAGGACCAGGGCGTTAACACCCTCACACTGAGAGGGTATGTGAATCTTAATTCCCCATGCAAAACGGATTACATCAGACGGCTTCTGGGATTGAAATTGAAGTTTAGCAACTGCCGACCCTCTTATTTTGGGGACATGGTGCAGTTGTGCCGTTTACTGCACATCGACAGAAACCTTTCGGTCACAGGACGATTGCCATGTGGAAACTCGGGCGGAAACAAAAAATTGAAATCCTTTACAGGAGACCCGAAGATTGTAGTTAAGGTCTTGTTGGAAGCTATGGATAAGGACAGTTATAATAAATTTAGTTAAAGTTGGATGGTTCCCAAGATTTGATTGCTTCAATCATAGAGCGCTTTGTGTCAAACAGATCCTGTTCCGTTTTAGGGAAATCGCGCGCATTAAAGGCTCTATTGAGCTTGCCTTGGAGAGAATTAGGGAGGCGGGTCTGTGTTGTCTTCTGGATGGTTTCATAGGCGGTGAGACCACTGTCAAGATATCCTTCGTGCCACCTACCGGTTATTCCATCCTTGTCGATCACCAGGTACGTATACCTGTCTTCTAAAAGCCCGCTTTCGTGAGCTGTCTTCAATGGAAACTCATTCGTCATAACAACGACGTGGGGGCGCTGTTCAATGTACAAGGTTTTGCTCTTGTACTTTGGGGAATTCACTCTACCATCCTTTAATTCTTCGAGGAACGCATACGAGATGTACTTTGCGCGGTCACGTGGGGCGTCCATGAAGATGACTTCTGGATCTCCTCCATCGACAATTTTATTAATTATCTGATAGGAAATGTCAGAGCGCTTGTCGGCGGGGACATCGTAAGAGATCCGGTCCTTCGTAGTAACGTAGTGTTCCGTGAACCAGGATTTACCCGACTTGCCAACCAGATCAACGACAAAGATCACTTCACGGTCGTTAAAGGGGGATTTTAGTTTCTCATCGAGCATCGTTTGCCATGGTCGGTATGGATGGTCTTTTGGCACAGGGCGAAGCCGGGCCTCGACTATCAAACTACGAAAGAAATCCTCGCGCATGGCGACTAGTTCTGCATTCAGTTTCAAAGCCTCCTTTAGGGTTTTGATCTCGCCACTCTGAATGGCGGTAACCATTTCGTCCCATGCATCGCCTGATTCACCTGTGTCGGATTTCGTCTTTTCCTTCACACGCGCAGCTTCGTCCAGGTTCTTACCAACTACAAAGAAACGATTATCCTTCATGCAGTACCGAAACGACGCAACCGGTGGTTTGTGGTTGGGACGACCAGAGGCATCCCTACCATGTAACGAAAGATGGAGGCACGGACGATCATACCCAAAGAATTTGTGAACGCCGGACTGACGTAGCCTCTTTTTGAAATGGATGTACGCCTGCAGATGAGGGGTCCCCGACTCACCCACTTCCTCGCCTACAATAGCGGAGACGACTTCACTACCAGCTGATGTTTCAAGGGCGGTTTTAATTTTTAACAAATCACCGCTGGTGTAATTGTTGAACGTGAAACACCAATGCCTGCCTTGTTCTGCATTGTTCCAACGGACTTTTCCTCCAACATCACATTGATCTCCGGAATAATCTTGGAGCGCCACTGCTTCTCCCACCACTTTAGACGGGCCGGAACTTTGATTCGCTCGCGACGTAGCTTGCAGCGGAAGCGAATCATCTTGAGGATCTCCTCCTTTGCCAGCTCCAATTCGGCGACCGTCATGGTCGACAGGTCTTCCAATGTTAGGAAGGCTGTGGTTTTCTTTGTCATGACCGTTCATCAATGAGCTATTTTTATTAACAATAACTCTAATTTGTGACAAGACTATGAGACAAGGGCTTTCGGGTTGGGGGTTCATTCACTGCTACGCGGTTTACCGCGTCATCGATAAGATGTCAGAATTGCGATTTATTTAGAAAATTCCAATCATGTGTACTACGTAATATATGAGTTGTGGGGGGGGGGCACGGCGTTTAAGGCTATGGTGTCGACACGGCGATGCGTTTAGGGTCATTGGTCACTGCCTATGGTGTCGGCACTGCGTATGGTATCGGTGCGGAGGTCACTGCCTATGGTGTCGGCACTGCGTATGGTATCGGTGCGGAGGTCACTGCCTAATAGGTACGACGGATGCACGTTTAAGGCTATGGTGTCGACACGGCGATGCGTTTAAGGTCACTGCCTATGGTGTCGGCACGGGATGCGTTTAGGGTCATTGGTCACTGCCTATGGTGTCGGCACTGCGTATGGTATCGGTGCGGAGGTCACTGCCTATGGTGTCGGCACTGCGTATGGTATCGGTGCGGAGGTCACTGCCTAATAGGTACGACGGATGCACGTTTAAGGCTATGGTGTCGACACGGCGATGCGTTTAAGGTCACTGCCTATGGTGTCGGCACGGGATGCGTTTAGGGTCATTGGTCACTGCCTATGGTGTCGGCACTGCGTATGGTATCGGTGCGGAGGTCACTGCCTAATAGGTACGACGGACGCACCGCAGGCTGGAAATGAGACACGGCGTACTGCGTACAATATGGTATCGGCACGGAGGTCACTGCCTAATACGTACGACGGACCACTGCGTACAATATGGTATCGGCACGGAGGTCACTGCCTAATACGTACGACGGACGCACCGCGGGCTGGAAATGAGACGGGTGGGCCCTTTTTCTGTGACAACTTTCCTCATATGTGACAGTTTTTCATCAATATGTGACAACTGCTCATTGAGGGTTTAGGCCATTTAAAGGGCCTATTGTCTCATTTCCAGTACTAGGTTGTACACACTTCCTACGTAAGTGTGACAATTTGCCTGTAATAATCAATGGGGGGGGGTCCTTTTTGGTCCGTACGTTGTACGTTCTACCCCTCCCCATTGGAGATCTTCGATCTCATTCAGGCAAATTGTTTTTTTCACAACCTGTACTGGAAATAAAGATAGCGTTATTAACTTTTAAAGAACTTTCTAACGGATTCAGGAGAGTCATCAGGTAGACGGGCACTCTCCAATTGCCTGACTTCTTCGTGCTGTGTCAAGGTGTACACGGTAATGAGCTTGTTTCCAAAGCCCAGTCTGGAGCGGATTCGATCTTCTGCATCAAGGAACATCTTGCGCAGGACGTCCTTGGACTTGGTGGACGGGTACGAATCCAATTGTAGTAGGAGGACCTTTACTGCACGTTTGACAGTACCAAAGAGGTTGCGAATGCGTTTCTTCTCACTCGGAGTTAGGTTATTCCATGACTCACTTTCCTTGTCCAGCCTAAATCCTTCCGGGTGGTTGTCGACAAAGAACGCAACAGCTACATCGGCTACCGACATCTGTTTGGTGAGCGCTTTACTGCTGACGGAGAACTTGATAATACCTTCCTGCTGAGTGGCAGTGGAAGGTTTCGATTCTCCAACAACCCGGGCTTCGATTCGTTCAACGGATTTGGTTAACTTCTGGAAGTTCTCTAGCATGAAGTCTTCCAAGACCCGACTCGATTGTTGGTTTCGACGGATGTCATTGACGGTGTGTTGCAGACGTTGGATGTTTGTATGCATCGTCTGAGTGACTGTTGCCAAAACATTAAAGTGGTCTACGAAGCATCGCGGATCCATCAAGATCGAGTCCTTGTTTCCGGAGTACAAGGAGAACTTTTCGATGGGTATGCCGGGAATATTGCGAGACATGAATGCATCATGAGATTCGGACACCCAACCACTAAACTGCACTTCACCAACACGGGCTTTATCCAATGCCTGCTTCACCCGACAAACGAAGAGATGGTCGTGGTAAAAGCGTTGGCGCATGCAGGCGTCTTCAGAGGCTGGTCGTCGCGCCTCTGGATGTGACTCGAGTATATCCAAGAACTGGTCGTACCGGAGCAAGAGCGCCATCACCAACAGCTCTCGAACTTTCGGATTCCAACGACCCGACGTATCATCTTCGAAGAGCGCATCAGTAAATCGTTTGAGTCCTGATGTAACTTCTATGTCATCAAACATCGGTGGCTGACCACCGACGATTAGATCACCAATCTTTGCAGTCCAACGGCTGATAGTCTTTCCAGCATGCTGCGACATGACAAAGGACCCGCATATGTATTCGAATAGCGTGTCACAGCCACGGAGTTCCCAACCCGTACGGAAGATCTGTGCTATTCCTGACACGGAAGGGGATTCTGCCATAACCTGATTACTCCCTTTCCTCTGGCAATGCGAGGAGAGTTTCTCATTGATGCGATCGCTCAGTTCCTCGAACGTGTTGCGCAGGTCATCGAACAGATTGCTCCAGAGCGATGAAACCTTGCTGTCAGATTTACCGGATGTGGTCTTCAATGCTTCTCTGGAGAACATGGGAAAGATGTACGGACTGTCACAGCCAACCAGCACGACCTGATAGATCAGACTGAAATAGAAGTCTTCGAATACACCGTCGCGGTGGGGGTAGATGGGCAGACTCTGGAACGGACCACACTTATCCCGCTGGATATCAAGCTGCAAGACGCGGTACTGGTAGACACTTTCGTTGACTTCCACACAGGATAGACTCTCTGTCCTAACGAGCGCTACTTCAGAACCACGGCCGCTACAATGGTAACTTGTATTCAGAAGGTGCCAGAACTCAGCAGCTTCCGCGGTTCCCAACCAGATGCAGCCTGTAGCCATCGCTTCACGGTCATCACGAGTGCTTGACGCCTTTCCTTCTGTCATCCGTTTACCAGACGCACGACAACCCTCACGGTATAAACTTCGGAGCTTCTCACGTAGGCGCTTCCATTGATCAATCGAGAACACGGAAATTGGGGGGTCGTATCGAAACCTGGAGATGAAATATAATTTCACAGAGGAGCAATATTGTGTTGCGGATTGGTACGCAAGGCGTCGTCCTTTGGGGGAGCAGTAAATCCTAGCTTCTGTGCCCATGTACGTGAAGAAGGCTCCAATCATCTTACCCCAGAACTCGTTAATGGATTTGGGAGATCTGGGTTCTTCACCTTTAAGACCTTCATATGGGATCGAAGCGGCGGTGGCTAGCGGGACGCTGATCTGAACGCAGTATGTCTTGAGGAAGTGATCGAAATGGTTGAGGGCATTCTGTTGTTTGTTGGCGGATTTGGCTAACAGTTCATCCTGTGCATCCGCGAAGGCGATCAGAGAGCTCATGTTGGTGCGAAGTGAGGTCGAGTTGTTGTGTTGCTGTAGGAGAGTCACTCCAGAACTGTTGCAGAGGGCCCCTCGTTAGGTAACCTGTGTTGGGGTTTGCAATCATCGATGTAGTTTCGCACAAAGGCCGGAAACGAGGCGCATACGGAAGAGTGTAGTTCTCGGAGTTCGGTGCATTGGAGGTTATCGGATAAGCGTTAACGGTAACGGTTGACGGGCATGCGTAACGGTAGTATATCCAAGTGCTAGAAAGGGCTAGTCATTTCAACGAAAAGCTAGTTATCTTTGGCTACAGTACCTAAAAGCAGTCAATCGGAAGTGACCACTCTGTGCACTCCAGGTGACAACGACTGTCCATCAGACCTGGACCCGTGCAATCCCCAAGAGCACAAGACAAATAAGGCAATGTTGCCAATGTCGCGTGAGTGTGTGAATGAATCAAACCAATACTCTAGTACATGTACCGGTAGCTACCGTACCGTGCGGTACCAGTAGCCACTACATGAAGAACCACCTCTATCATAGCTACCTGGAACACTCTCGATAAAGTCTTTTAAAAAGATATATGACCGGCATAGCCTTTAAATCATATGGCCTAAATGACGGAAGAAAGTTTCCCGACAATGTCCCGACATTTTCCGACAAATGCAGACATTCTCGTACAAACACCGACATTCTCGTACAAACGCCGACATTCTCAGACATTGCCGACATTCTGCCGACATTTTGCCGACATTTTGGCGAGTTAAATCCGACATTTACGATTAGAGGACCGTTGAATGAGTTAACAGGGTTCCGAATTGTAGGGTTCTATCAAAGAGAAAGTACCAACCAGTGAAGAACACGACTTAAACAGCGAAAGTCATCCGTTTTAAATGTCGGAAAATTCTCGCTGAAATGTCTGGAAACCTTCCGACATTTTGCCGACATTTTCCGACAAATGCAGACATTCTCCTACAAACGCCGACATTCTCGTACAAACTCCGACATCGTGGTTTCAAAATTCCGACAATCACGACTAGAGTTAGGCCATATGACTTAGAAGGCTTGACTACAGTGATTTAAGACTTTTATCGTGGGTGTTCCTGTACGGTACTAGTAGGCCAGAGAGACCGCAACAAGAATGTCACACATGCAGGACCACTCCCACACGACTCGCTGCAACAAGTATGTGTACCGGTATCCACGCGAAAACCATTGCAAACCTGACGGGTCTACAAACCCATCACCCTAGCTAGCTAGCTTGGTACCAGTCACTGGTACGAGAGAGACCACGGTCAGTCAAACACGGAGAATTCAGGACACCAGAACTCCAATAAGCTGAGAAGCAACAAACTCAAACCATCGTGCAGGTCTTGCTTTCAGTCTCTAGTTCGACCTTTTTGGATCTTATCCATGACCCATCAACATGGGATCCAAGTCCCCCAACTGGAGCAAGGTGGAGCCTTGCGTGACGATTTTCACGAAGAAGATACCACCATGGAGCAAGAAGAATCATCACCTGAAGAGAACTGAAGGTGAATGCCCGAAAACGAAACGAGCATGATCAACGGGCCATCCAACTTCTTGGAGTAGCCCGATGAATCTCCCGATTTTGATATCTGTTACAACCCCTCTACATGTTGTGAAATAGGCAGACTGGATTTGTTGCGCTGGCTGGGTACCAATGTACCAATGCCTTAGAGAAAAGAATCCTCTGGGCGGCTTCTGGTTCACCTGCCAGCCCCTCTAACCCCTCTTTTGTGAGAGCAATCATCAAACGCTATTCTGGCCAAGTGAATCGAGTTCGTCACGATTGTACTAGACTTGACTTGCAGAGTGATCTACGGAGTAGGTATCCGCCGTGGCCCAAACCCGTGGATTACTGGTACGTATCTTGCTAACTAAACGGCAGCCTAAAGTACATCACAGAGCTTGGTCTATCTAGTATCCCGGCACGGTTCAGTTAACCCCATTGCAGCCGTCATGTGCTTTTTCAGATAATTCTGTGTTACTCATCCTTGATGCTGAAGCAAAGTCGACATGAAACAACGGGAGGCTTCAATGAGGTGAAAGCAAACGGTCCAGGGCGCTAATACCCCTATAGCTAGCTATTCACAGCAGTTTGTTTTGAAGGAGTTCTTGCTTCGCTTTGGCAGTCTTTTGTGCTTCAACTTCTCACTATGGTGGTGGTGTTGACTTGCCTCGGGTAACATGCAAGGACTGTGCAATGTGTTGCCCTGGATGGTGTGGGTGGATGCTGATTTGAATGTTATTGTTATTGTTGTGGTTGTGGGGCGTTGGAAGTGGTGTTTTGTGAAGGATTGCGTCACGCGGTGTGGAGAAAGCCTCGTGATGAGGTTGTAGGGGGTGCTTGAATGTTTTAAAGTGCAGAGTACTGTACAGTCAGAGCTCACAGTCAGGCAACAACACAATGACGCCAAAAACGACATTCTGGATCAACCACGTTGAAAGAAAGCGTCTTTTGGGTCCCTATAATTCCAGGTACAAATCTAGATAGGATACCGGTACTCGAGTTCCACTTATTTGAGAGTTTTGCTTGGCACATTCGAAACAGTCCGAATTGCGGGCGCAGAACATGTGGAGACTACAGCCTGACTTCACGTGATTGCACACGTCAGGCCTCATGAGCCACGTCCTTGTTCTCCATATTAAATCACTCGTGCTTCCGCATGTGGACGGCTCGTCCGATGTGCTGCAATGCTTCGATCAGTCTGCAACCAAACAGGCACTTTCAATGATCAAAGAGTTTGTTTGACTGTCACTCGACTCATTCAATCGAGGGCAGGTAAATGTCGTCTTCAGATACACTGGAAGTGCCCTATCCTGGTTCTACCAGTATGGACAAAGCAACTGGAGGCAACGATGCCAAATATCCGATTTTCGAGTGGACAGCAGCTGATGCTACGGCTAGATTCGCAAAACTCCTCCATGGCGACCTTTGTGACGATGAACTTCACGGTATGTCGAAAGCTCAGAGCTGCTGGTGGCGCGGTACCGTCCACTCTTTTCCTAACCCAAAGTTCTATTTGACTTTGTTTGCCGCTTTCGATTGGATAGAACTGCATGATTTGTTTCTTCCCGAAACCAACCTGATGACGCCAGATCACAATGCTTCATTGGTGAGCTCTCAGTTAGCCCTTGTGGGTTCTTCTTTGGCTTTGCAAGATGAGAAGAGCATGGCCGATATGAACTCCCGCCACAGCGTACCGGTAGTTCCAGAGAACACCTGTTCTGTTTCTTCTTCAGGAGCTGTCGAGAAGACCGTTGCTGTTCTGACCGAAAGCATCTGCTCCGGGGATTCAGGGACAAGCCCACGAACACACCAGCAACAAATGGAAATTAAGGACCAGAACTGGAGTGACAACAAGAGACCTGTTGAAACATCATCTTTTGGGCCTGATGTTTCGCTCTCCTTGCCGCCACCTCCAGCAAAGAGACGGCACGTAGGCAATGGCAGTGCCAATCCTTGCCAAAGTAACGCTGAACAGCATATGGAACAGGTGCCGCTACCGCTAGATGGTAGTGCTCAGTTGTTTGGAAGAACAATCAACTTTCCAATTATCCCAGCTCCCATTGCCCCGAGGCCTTGTCTGACTACGCCAGTTTTGCCGCCGACTCCAAAGCGAGTGAAGCCGCCAACACCAATTGCTCCCAAAGGAACGGCAGAGACATCTAGAAATCCATCGGGGCCCCTGACCGAACCAAGTTTGTCGGGCTCACATCCAAAGGCTGATTCTTTGGCTCCGCAACCACTGAATGCCACCATCCCTGCCACCAATGCTCTTCTTTCCTCGAATGCATTGAAAGGGATCGCAGCACCCACCGTGAACGTGATCCCGAAAGCTTCGCAACCACCATCTGATACCCCAACGAAGCAGAAACGACGCTACACTAGGCGAAGAGACATGTCCAAAGAAGAGGCTTCAGAGAATCATCGAAATCGGAACAAGCAACATGCCAAGAACACTCGGCTTCGAAAGAAAGCATTCGAAGAGACGTTGAAAGAAACTATCATCAATTTGGTCGAGGAAAGGGATACCAGATTGAATGAAATCCGCGTCAAAGCTCAGCAAAAGCAACAAAATCGACAGATCCGATTTCAGGTTATTGAGGCATTCCTACGGCTCCGAGGAGGTGTCACCGCTGAAGGTATCACTGCATCCACCAACCAGGCAGCTGGTTCGTGGGCGGCTATCTTGGATGAATATGTCACGCTTAGTCGTCCAAGTCTGGTCAACCCAGAGAAATATCATGAGACCGTTCTTGAAGGTTTGAGTTCTGTCATGTTGGATCCCAATGAAGCTTGCCAGTTGATGACCGTCCTGCAGCGAGGTGATGCAAGCTTGCAGGCCCCTCATCCATGGAGCAACCAGAGTTCCATTGATGTAGCATACCAGTGTGACCAAAGCTCTATGGTGATGGAAGGCTGCACATGCACAGTACAATGGAAGGGAACTACTCATGGTGCCATGTCTACTTTGGTAAGCAGGCATTGTTGCACTGTTCGAAAACAGCCCTTCCCAAATCATGCAGTTAACTCACAGAAACCCATCTTTCTCCTCTCCCAGGGGCTTCCAAGAGAGCTCAACTTTGCAGGGACGCTGCGGGCCCGCTTCAACGAGGCAACGAACAAGATTCTTTCACTTCATCTACTGTGTGACACTGGAAACATGCTGTACCAGCTTAATCAGAAGTAAAGCCTCGTTGGTTTGTCCAAGTATATTGAAAGTAGTATCCTGATTCTTATTCAACAATTCTTTGACACTCTCGATAGGATTATTCTTCGTTGATCCATCCACCGCTTCCAACCCAAACGATTCTCCTGGAATGAGATGTAGAAGCTAGACTATTAGTTCCATCGAGCTTTTGGACAGTGGCTGCCCTCATTGTTGGTTACTAGTGGGGAGTTCAGTGGAAGTAAGATGAATTTTAGAAGGTATCGGTAGAAGAGATTTAGCTATAAATGATGACATACAACAGGAGCATGTTTGCTCACTGCTCCAACTCGAAAAATGTGCTTGCAGAGTATCAGATGTGGCCGCCAACGGGAAGAAGTAGTAAGGGAAGGGGACTCAGACTTAGTGGATCAATGAGAAGAAGCAAACCAATTCTTCTGAGAAAGGATACCTCCCATGTCGAAGAGCATCACAGCAGAGACGACTTTGTTGGACTCAGGATCGAATTCAGCCTTGATGTTGCCATGGAATCTGACTTCCTCTTTGGCGCCGTTGTTCACAGCTCCAACAGTCATGGCTTCCCAGTCCAAGACTGCAGTGCTACCGTCCATTATGAGGGTGCTTCCAGTGGTGTCAAAGTGCACTGTCACGATGGAAGAAGCATTGACACTACCAAGTGTTTGCAGGAATCCAGAAAAGCACCTCGAATTGTCCACAACTTGGTTGACTCCGATCAAAGTCTTGTCGAGGACTGTTTCGTCGATATTGCTGATAGTGGGAGTGCGCAAAGAGAAAGATGGCATCAAGATCGCAGCCCAGCGACCAAAATCCTGACTGTTGCCGCCATGCATCTTCAAAAACTCTTGTAGCACCAACATTCTCACTTTACGTTGTTCCTCTTTTATTTTGGTTGCTTGCTCTTGACGCAATAGATCAGCATCCCTTTGTTCCGCGAGAGCCATCAGAGTGCGCTTGAGTTCTTCCACATATGCCTTTTTGCGGAGGCGAGTGTTCCTTGCATGCTCTCGGTTTCTGTCGCGACTTGCTTGGGCTCTCTCAGCAGCTGTCATTTGCTGCTTGCCGGAGCGACCGCCTGAGCTGGGGAGATTGCAGGTGATGACTTTGGCACATTCGGCAGGGCCACTTTCACTGGTCAGCATCTGAATGTGTTCCGAGCTAACATTGACTGGACCCAGCGGGTCCACCTTGAGAGGCGCTCGTTTGGAAGATGGAGGTGATGGCGCGGAGGTAACTTCTTCGAGAGGTGCACTCTTAGCTTCAAGAGGACGAGGCAATAAGGGTTGAACCTTGTTGTTGACATCCGTTGCGGTGTTGCAATCAGGAAGCTCTGGAATTTCTACGAGGGAATTTTCTTGTGTGGGATCAGCAAGCATGGCCTGTTCCATCCCAGACAACGACGACAAAATGGGAGAGACCACGGCAAGTGGTGCAACAGAAGTCAAGCGGGGGCTTGCCACAGGGGAAGATTGGGCATCAATGCGGCGCTTCTTACTCGCCTGACTGTTCTTCTTGTTGACAGAACGCCTTTTGCCAGGATTTGCCGAATCACCCGAGTCGTCGGAATCGTCGGAAATCATGCCGGAATCGTCCGAAACTATACTCGCAAAATCCGTACCCGTAACAGACACAGTGGTTGGCTGGACGGTTATCTCTTGGGTAGCAATGGAGGCTGCTGGAGCTGACTCGACCTGTTCAGGTAGGAATTCGAAGCAGCCAAGAGCTCCATCAATGGCAGAAGCAGTCAAAGCGATCTGGGTGGCAGGGTGCTGTTCACTGAGAAGGGATACCACCTCTGACATATCGGGTTCGAACTGGCAATCATCCAAGAGGAGAGAGGGGATCTCTGCATATGTAGAGTAAGGGTAGCATTGAGTTAGTTAGTTAGTTGTACTGGAAAGGGCAATGTGAAGGGATTGATAAAATCGCGATGACCAACATTGGGAAAGTAATGACCAACATCGTTCATCGTCGGGAAGGCTTACCGTTGAGCTCATCGGCACCAAGATCTCCATCGAGCAAACCGGAGACTTGAGGAACGTTTTCACTTTCAGCAAGAGGAGCAGGAGCTACTCCAGAGGAAATCATGGTGGGAAGCACTTGGACTGTCATTATTCTGGTCTGGTGTTGCTATTTCGATTGGATTGGATGTGGTTGTGGATGAAAGTTGATGAGTTGTCAGATTATGAGGTGAATGAAGGATGACGGTGGTGGAATGCTTTTGCTTTGTGATAATGGTTCCTCTGCTATGCCGTTGCAAGCTCCTCCAACAGAATCTCGTTTTAGAAAAAGAAGCACTACCAAGTTGTGTAGATTTGAACGCGAAAACCCTTCTTTCGAATAATTGACGTAATTGCCCCCCTTCAACTGGCATCAAAGCAACGCAATTTGATTGGCTGCTTTATTGCCGTAGGTCAGTAATTGAAGTGACGGAGTTTGGGTCATCAAAAGAAACAGGTACAATGCTGCTGGCCTTACGTAGAGAGGCTTCAGGGTCGGCAAATCGCCTGATTTGATTGGGAGTTCGTTCGGAGTAACCGTGGGTTGGAGATTCTTTCAAAGACTTCGGGAAGCGGAAATGGAAGAAGCCGAGAACCAAGAAGCCATCGTCCATCAACCATTTGAAGAAGGCTGAAGAAGCCAATAGCCCGAAGGGCTGATAGGTTTTAGAGATAAGGTCTGTGCTTCAACAGACTAACTGGTGTCACGGTCACTGAAGATGAGTTATTTTGTTAGTATTGCCCACCAAGAATGCTTCTAACTTTTCAGTCTCAACTTATTAGTACTCGTATTGTGTTCTTGCGTTCGCCTGCTTCAAGCCTTCTGCAAAAGTTCCCCGAAATACACTTTGTCACTATGCCATGGGCTATGGCGCGATCGCGCTTTTATAGTTCCAGATTGAGGTTCAGTGATTTACGGCTATTGGCGCGGGCTTTTAATTAATAACTTGAGAAGGGTCGTGTCGGTGAGCCTGTCAGTGATAAAAAAAGCTCTCAGGCCGCTCTCTACCGGAGGGACTAAAGTAGCGACTAAAGGAATCCTTTAGGTGGTTGTTTAGTTCAAGATTTAGTCATTATCCTTTAGTAATGGTGGTGTCTACCAGCAGATGACTAAATCTCGGACTAAACAATTTAGTCAGTTCTTTAGTCATTTGGACCTGTCTACCCAGCCGGGACTAAACAAATTGACTAAACAATTCATGGGAACAGTACTGGACTTAAAGGACTCAAAAAAGATTTAACAAAAGTGATCACTTGGTGGGCTACCAATATTCTATCAGCATGGTGGATTTAAAGGACTTAAACAAAGACTTAATAGAAGTGATTACTTTTTCGAGTTAACAAGACTTCGAGTTAACAAGACTCAAAACGTTGGATCGTTTGCACCTCTACTATCGGCCGTTCGATCGTTCGATCGTTTGCACCTCTACTATCATTCAGTCAAAGGCCGAGAAATGAAAGCCATCCCGCACTCCATACTCTGCAATGAGGGATGGCTTTCTATTCTCAACCGAAGACTGTCGGCTTGATAAAGGGTAATAAGTGCGATAGAGGTGCGGCTGATACTCTCTTCGATCGTTCGATCGTTCGATCGTTCGATCGTTCGATCGCACCTCTACTATCAGCCGATACTCCTCTTCGGTCGTTCGATCCGATACTCCTCTTTGATCGTTCGATCGTTGCACCTCTACTCTATCAGCTCTGTCGCGATGCTCTGATAGTGAGGCTGTGCAATGAGGGTGCTGTTCTTTTTTCAAAGTGCTGTTCTTTTTTTAAAGTGCTGTTCTTAAAGAGTTCTTAAAGAGCTTTAGTCGTTATGTTCGCTCACCGACTAACCAGCCTCCGTTAGTCGGTGAGCGAACATAATGACTAAAGCCTTTAGTCCGTGGGACGTTTAGTCGCTTGGGTAGACACCACCCTCAGAGACTAAACTATCGACTAAACTACGAAATATGGCTTAGTCGCTACTTTAGTCGCTTGGGTAGAGAGCGGCCTCACTGGCCATATTTATTTTGAAAACTTACTGTATGCCATACGATGTACGATGATGTCAAAGTCCTGGGAGCGAGTTGGATGTACTGTAGCACTTTCTCTGCGAACATGCAGGCATGACTTCTGGCACATCCTTCCTCCGGATCACCAGTGTTCAGGAGGCCTGAGCTGCCGGTTTGCCTACTGTGCTGTGAATCTATCTCGACGATTGGCTATCTAGTCTATCTGCAAGTGCAATGTTTGCACCAAACAGTAACTTTGGCTAGTCTTTGGTACTGGTTGCTGGAGGCCCCAACGAAGGTTGGCTTTGCTTACTGTACTTCGGTCACAGATGCAAAGCAAGAAAGGGCGGTAGCAAGCCAACCAGTGAGCGACAACACGCAAAGCATGATACAACGAGTAAACTGAGAGGTATCCCGATACCGCATCCCAGCCCAGCTGGAGACACAAACCATTCCACAGTGAAATTTCCAAAAAGTTGCTTGCGGCGACTGGCTACTTCCTTGTCTGGCTCCTCTTGTATGATAGTAGTCCCTTCCTTCGGCTCGCTGTAGACAACGGTTCCCCGCCCCCTTGGATGCCGCGGCAGCTTCCGCTTCCGCTTCCGCTTCCAACTGCTTATACACACTCAATAAAGCAAACTATCTTGGAACTGTGATGAAGCCCCACTTGTGTTGAATCTTTGTCGCCAGTCGCCGGCTCCATCCTCCTCAAAAACGAACCTTCTACAGTAGCGACATTGAGTATACGACTGTACGCGTTCGTAGCCGTGGAAAACAAAATAAAAGAAGCAGCTTCCTCCTATTGACTACTACCATCTACCGTACGGTACGAGAGTAGATGTTCTCCGCGAACTTACACGTAAAGGCAAATGTGTATTCATCGGTTCAGTGAACCACTGGGCTCTGGGCTCATACGGTAGCTCGCACTACTACTACATGTAGGGCAGGTTGATATATATCAATACATGTTACTGTAGACTATTCTAAAGCAGAATGTAAGAAAAGAAGCAGTGGTTTCGCCGAAGTCAAGCCGAGCTCGGACTTCCTGGATTCCTAACCCGTGGATAAAAATTTGTTTTCCACCTCGGCTCCACTGAAGCAACCTCGCCTCAGTTGTGGATTGGCAACCTCACTTGGTTGTGATGGGAACGAAGGTCCAGGTCTAACAGTTGGCTAGTGCCTCGCAGTTGTGTGTGGACAGGAAAGTCGTCCACAGATTTGTGGACGAGATTTGTGGACGAAAGTCCTCGTTTGTGGTCTGTTGTCTGCAGCTTGTAAGAGACGTCGGTGAGTGTTCCTAGAGGCTTGTTTGGATCAAAAGAGCAAGTGGGATAACAATACCAGCTATAGCATCTCCTTTACAAGCATATAGACCGTCTCGGTCGAAAGTTGTTGTTGTTTGTTGTTCTCTTCTTCACCTGAAAACTCGGAATTTGCTGGATATCAAAGACCGAGACAAATAACTTGCCTCCATGAAAGTTGCTTCCGACACGATGACGCCATGGTCGCCTCTCAATATTGAGCTGTATGCTGAGCCTTTTTCTTCTGTCGCTCTAAATACTCTTCACGGTGGATGGCAATGCACCTTCTTGTGTTGTTGGCACCACCATAACGGTCCAAGTTCTTTCGTGCTGGACACATTGAACTGCAGATAGCAACACCTTGAATAAGCTTGTGTGCCCCGTGCCCCATGCCCCATGCCAAGCAGTCAGGGTGGCTACATTCGTTCCGCGTGCCAGATCCACAGACAACACAGCCTCCTTGGGAATCGACTCTTAACAGCATCATGGTGGAAAACGTTGCCACTGCTCGCAGTCGACGCTCCAGTGAAGAAACCACCCAAGGAAGCAAAAGAAAGAGGGGAAGGGTTGGTTGGTGCGCCGCAGTTCAATGTCAAGCCTTCCACTGTTGCAGCAGCTTGGTCCATCCATGTATTTGATCTCTCTAGAGACGACGCAGAACGTTAAGCTCCGAACAACAAAAGGTAGCAACAACAGATCTTGGACTTACTTTCGGTCGTCGCATCGGGAGCGAGGTAATTCCGAGGATTATGACTTGTTGCGTCGTGGCTGAATGGATTGTGGATGCAATCGTAAGCAAGGTAGTCAGCAAACTCTTCCACCGACAGATCTTTGAAATGAGGGCAATGGTAGTGAACTCGCTATTCCTATAACCGTGAACTGTGTGCGCATCCAAGGATTGGGAGTCCTCCAATATTTTTCTAAACCAAGCGTGTGCTGCCTTGCATGGTTGTGCATGTCAATGACGTTGCTGTTGTTGAAATAGAGTGAGATGGCCTCTGGTCGTGGAACCTTCCTCTGGCAAACGTTCTGCCACTTGTCAGTGAATTTTGCAATGTGGGGCTTTTGCGACGGAAAGGTAGAGGAAGCATTGGCAGTCATGACAAAGCATTTCACGGACTTCGAATTCCAAATGTGGCCAATCGCCTTCAGCTTGATGTTAGTGCCTGGTGTGGTACACTCCATAACAAGGTGAGATCCAGCGGGGAAACTGGCCATTGTCTTCTCCAGTTGCCGCAAAGGAAACCACCCATAATTCGCAATAACAGTGGCAATGATCTCTGGTGCGTCTGGATTCTCTCCTCTCTCTCTATCAATGATATAAGACTCAACGCGACCACTGTTTGATCTTTGACTGGCCACAACAGCTTACGATTTTCTGCAACCTTCACACTGCCAAACCAAGAGTCTGCAAGCACAAGATGCTTGCGGCCTGTTTCGAGTGAGTTCTTGCGGGTCGATGTTGCTTGTCCAGTGTGTATTCCACCAATGATACAACGGAGAGTGCAAGCTGCAGTCGCGCCAACCTGTCGATGGAACTCAGCATCCCTCATCTCAGGCACAGTCCACTGAGTTTCAAGGAAAAGGCTCATCTTGGTTTTGGAGCAAGCAGCCATTTTGAACTCAGTGCCGAGAGGCTTTGGCTTCCTTTTGACGTAAGTGTTGATTAAACACTAGAGAGACTGTTTGGCCATGGTGAGCTATTTTAAAGTCAGTCTAAAAAGAAAAGTGAGGAATCGCTTTGGTGGTCCAGTCAATTTCGAATTTCAGTCCCGGATACTCATGACTCAACA